TGTTTTTACAGTTAGTTGCAGATCATGTGAGCCTGTGTTATTGTTTGTTCATATATGTGTGCACATGTTGGTTTGTGTGTTTTATGGTGGGTGATGCATGGGCAACTATGTACGTACATTCATAATCTACTACTCATTCATTTGTCTTGTTTTGTTCCTTCTGCCTTAACTTGCAGCCAACTTGACAATTTTGCTTGTAGAGAAACTCATGCTCATTGTTCTGATCTTTGTCCCAGCCGATTATGTTAATAGACTGATTTGCAATAATTATATACATTAAATAATAGACTTTTTCTTGTGACTTCTATGTTCTCATCTTTTTCTTATTTCTGGATCAGGGCACACACTTGAGAAAAAAATTGTTTTTTGGCATAGGCAACAGCCTGGAATGCAACGACACACCCCTCCACTGCAGCCTCGAAGCAGAAGGGGTGGTGCTAGTGGTAGTGGCTCAAGTGGTGGAAGGTGTGGCAGCAGTGACAGTAGCCGAGGATGCAGTCGGTATAATCCATATTAGTTTAGTTTCCAATTCCATATCTTCTATAACCTGAGGCTAGAAGAGGAAAGAAATCTGCTTAAGTTGCATTTGAGGCTAAGGATTATCCAATAGTTTTTGTTTACACAATTTGATGGCAAATTGTAGCTGTCAAAAACTTGATATTTATTTGATGCTAATTCCAATGACTAACAAAAATTGTCCATTGCATTTGGTTTAAATGGTATTTTCTTCTTTCCAACAAATGTGGAACTGAATGTTTGGTCTGTACGTAGTTGAATTAAACAAATAATATAAAGTATAATCAAAATGGAATAAGTACTTTTTCATCTTTTCATATACCCGTAAATTGGTTCAATCTGTTTCAGTCACTTGTTATTATCATTAGACCCAAACCAAACGAGTAATTGAAAGAAAATTTTAGTTATACTGATCACATTGCATCCAAATTTAACACATACAAACTCCACAGTCCTAACTCTTTTTCTTAGATAAAAGCTGATTTTATTCATCCAAAGAAAGCAGAAAAAATGTTACAAAAATACAAAGGTTACTAGAAAGCAGCAGATCAACTCTTAATAAAGATATATAAACATAAGACTAAGCAAGTAATTAAGGAGACGAGTGCTTTAGACCACAAAATTCTGACAAAGTGTACAATTCTGCAAGGTATGATCTGCAAGCTAGTTTTTAGTTCCAAGTGAAGGTTATTTCCATCTTGTTCAGCCTGTTGATAAGGACTGGCAGAATTGTTTCGGGTGAACGACGCAGTTGATCCACCACTTGTGACCCTGAATTCCCATACATTTTTTCTATGAATCTGAAATTGTAACCGGTGAAATGCTTGTTGACATCCTCCACAGTTGGCTTCTTGATTTCCCCCTCCTTTATCGCTTTAAACAGCTTGGTTGCATTCTCCTTTGTGGAAAGCTTCCATGCCATCAACATATCCCTTTCAAACAACTCATCTTCATGTTTATTCAACATCATTTCATGAGAGTCTCTAGCCCATACCGGCCTGTGAAAATTACCTGACCCCTCAGAAAAGCAGCATGAATTCAGTACTTCTTTACCAAGTTCGGTAACCCCACTACCATGAACTCCTGAAATATGTTTGGCAGAAATTTATAGCTTGGTGTCAACTTATTATCAAGCTTTTCGTTTGGCTTCTCCCCTTTGTCACCGTTCTGCTCTCCAGATCCTGATGATGACCGACTTAAACTCGCATAGAACTCCAAAACATGATCAAAATCGTTCATAAAATCTGGAAAATAATCGGCCATCATCATCTTTACACCGACCATTGTGATTTTTCCGGTGGCATAATCGTGCAGGCATTTCAGCAATGCTAAATAATCCTCGGAACTGGCTTTCTTCATAACTTTTTCACAAAACCCTAATGCTTGAAACAAAAGATCCTTGGTTATGTTTCTTTGGGTAGATTCAGGGTCAGGTTTTTGAAAAGAAGTAGAAATCTTTAACCTGATCCATTTGTTGTAACCACTGATTTCTCCAACTCCTTCATAAACAGGCTTCTTCCTTTTGTTGCTGCTCCCAGCCGATTTCGTTGGACCATCAGAGAAGTTGAAAACAGAAAGAAACTCATCAAAAAATCCAGGATATTCACCAATCAAATCTTCCACCATCTCTGTTAAACCACCCATCGTTATTCTTCCAGTGCTGTATTCATGAAAGTACTCCAACAAGGCCAAATATTCATCAGACCTGACCTTTTCCTTCACCTTCTCACAAAACGCCTTCATCTTTGAGAAACCCAAATAGCTTTGATTTTTTTTTGGTTGCAGTTAGCTGAGGGTTTAATCCCTTAAATTAATATTAACCGACTCTCAGTTCGTAATTTATTTTCAAGTAATTTGGAGTAACCGCGTACACATTATCAATCCTATTATGGACTTGGAAAGAAAGATAGTTGAAAATTATTTAAGCTATTAATACTGTAGGTATTAAAAAAAATTAGAATAAAAACAAAAATAAAAAAAAGGAAAAAAATTAAATAACCAGATAAATCTTTCCTAATTTACCAATCACCTACTTTTTTTTAATTCAATTTTAAAAAATTCCTCTATACTTTTATTTAGTAATAACATTTTAAAATATTAATTGTTGTATTTAACAATATGTTAATATTTATGTACACATAAAATTTCAAGTCACTATCATAGTATTTGTATTCGTTGATTTGAGAATACCTTATTTTAAAATATATATATTTAAATATATGTATATATATATATATATTGTTTACGAACATATATATTTTACAATAACTTATTTTTTTTTTTTTTTTTTTCCTCATCCTTATGAGCTTGGTGGCATTGCTAAAGGTAACACTCTTATTCATAATGGCTCTTAATATATTATTATTATTATTATTATTATTATTATTATTATTATTGGCTTGACGTTAGATGTTGAGATATATTGATAGCTAAAATGAAAATTGAAATATCAAATCAAATTTTTTAATACAAATATCACATTAGATAATTTTTTTTACATCCAATATGAATTAAGTATGTTACTTTTAGTTATGCTACCAAGCTTATAAGGAAAAATGAGAAAAAAAATTATAAAATATGTTCGTAAACAATATTTATATACATAAACGCTTATATATATATATATATATATATACTATAAAATAAGGTGTTGTCAATTCACATTACCAGCTGATTGATAGTGTCTACGCGGTTACTCGAAATTACTTGGAAACAAATTAGGAAATGAGAGTCGGTTAATATTAATTTAAGGGATTAAACCCTCAGTTACCATCAACAAAAAATAAACTGAGCTATTTGAGTTTCTCAAAGATGAAGGCGTTTTGTGAGAAGGTGAAGGAAAAGGTCAGGTCTGATGAATATTTGGCCTTGTTAGAGTACTTTCATGAATACAGCAGTGGAAGAATCACGGTGGGTGGTTTAAAAGAGATGGTGGAAGGTTTGCTTGGTGAATACCCTGGATTTTTTGATGAGTTTCTTTCTGTTTTCAACTTCTCTGATGGTCCAACCGAATCGGCTGGGAGCAGCAACAAAAGGAAGAAACCTGTTTGTCAAGGAGTTCGAGAAATCAATGGTTACAACAAAAGGATCAGGTTAAAGATTTCTACTTCTTTTCAAAAACCTGACCCTGAATCTACCCAAAGAAACAAAACCAAGGATCTTTTGTTTCAAGCATTAGGGTTTTGTGGAAGAGTTATGAAGAAAGCCAGTTCTGAGGATTATTTGGCATTGCTGAAATGCCTGCACGATTACGCCACCGGAAAAATCACAAGGCCGGTGTGAAGATAATGATAGCCGATTACTTTCCAGATTTTACGGACGATTTTGATCATGTTTTGGAGTTCTACGCGAGTTTAAGTCCATCATCATCAGACTCTGAAGGGAAGAACGGTGACAAAGGGGAGAAGCCAAACGAAAAGCTTGATAATAAGTTGACAACAAGCTATAAATATCTGCCAAAGCATCTTTCAGGAGTTCATAGTAGTGGGGTTACCGAACTTGGTAAAGAAGTACTGAATTCTTGCTGCTTTTCTGAGGGTTCAGGCAATTTTCACAGGCCGGTACGTCCTAGAGACTCTCATGAAAAGATGATGAATAAACATGAAGATGAGTTGTTTGAAAGGGATATGTTGATAGCATGGAAGCTTTCCACAAAGGAGAATGCAACCAAGCTGTTTAAAGCGATAAAGGAGGGGGAAATCAAGAAGCCAACTGTGGAGGATGTCAACAAGCATTTCACCGGTTACAATTTCAGATTCATAGAAAAAATGTACGGGAATTCAGGGTCACAAGTGGTGGATCAACTGCGTCATTCACCCGAAACAGTTCTGCCAGTCCTTATCAACAGGCTGAACAAGATGTAAATAACCTTCACTTTGGAACTAAAATGTAGCTTGCAGATACCTTGCAGAATTGTACTCTTTGTCAGCATTTTGTGGTCTAAAGCACTTGTCTCACTAATCACTTGCTTAGTCTCATGTTTTATATATCTTTATTAAGAATTGTTGATATATATTGTCATTGTGTCTGCTGCTTTCTGGCGACCAGGTACTGTTATAACAGTTTTTCTTCTTTCTTTGAATGAATAAATCAGCATTTATCTAAGAAAAAGAGTTATGAGGGTGGAGTTTGTATTAGTTAAATTTAGATAAGTTAATCTGTCCATTCCAAGCATTTACTTAACCATCCTTTCTCATTCATTGCTGTTTTATTCAACTACGTACAGAGCAGACACCCGGTTCCACATTTGTTGGGAAGAAGAAAGCACCATTTAAACTTCCATATTCTTCCACATTGCTGTTTAATTTCAGGAACTCAATCGAGTTTTCTACACAAACTCCATCCGTCAATTGAATTAAACCTCCATCTTCCATGGACTACATTAAAACTTTAGTTTAAGACCCAACACCATAAAGGCAATAACTTGGGTCTCCATAAAGTAACAAACCCGAGGAACATCTTGAGGTAGTAATAACATATCATGATATATTAAATGACACGTCAAGGATGAAATTTAGCTACTGCTTTATTAAACTAATTAGATAAGAAATTAAATTACATATGATCAACTGTGCTGTGTTTGAATCAATTTACAAGGGAAAAACACTTAAATTTGAAAGAAAAATAAATTAAGATTACACAAATTCTCTGAAAAGCATGAAGAAGTGCTTCCGTGAATACAGAGAGCATCAATGGAGTTCTACCAAACAGGGTTATTGTAATACATAATCAACTCCTTCATAAGCAATTATTCTACAGCAAGCATTATTAGACATTCCATGGACGCTGTGAAAAATATAAGTAGATAAAAATATCACGAGTATGTTGTAAAAGCTTTAAACATACTCACTTGTACTACTAGTGTTCTTCAGATGAAGGGTGAGGCACCCTGGGGTGGTTCAATCCATATGTTCTCAAAGGGATCTTGCTCTCCCCAGTCATAACACTGTTTACGGGGATAGTATCTGCAGTCATCAAGGGAGTATGATACGCAACGCTTTCCAAAGAAACGAACTTTAGAGAAGTAGACACTATTCCTCATTATTCCAGGGAGATCAGTTCTTGAATGAGACGACAAGAAACTAGCAAATAGTGTCACACCGTTAAGGGTTCGCATTTCTTCCCATACCATTTCTGATTGATCCAGCTTAAATATAATGGGGTTCTCAGTACAACATGTATAGATAACTAAGATATCTCCATTGTGCTCTGTCATAAATTTGCCCTTCCACCAATTTTTGGCAAAAAAATTCTCAGGGCATTTTGGAGGAGGCACAGCAAGAACATTCCAAGTATGCTCCAGTGGATCATAAACCCCTAACCAACCAGTGAGGCTTAGACAATAAAAGATTCCACTGCAGAATACAAGTTTGTTCCAAATGCTACTAACAAATGGCAAGCGATTCTGGTGATTAACAGTGGCCCACTCCGATGCCCCTGGATGGCACGTGCTAATAGCAACAATAGTAGGACTGATGTGCTTAATTGTAAAAACCACACAGCTGCTAGATGTTGGGGCACAAGAGAAGGCAACTATCTGATATGTCAACTCAAATCTAGGAAGCTTAATCATCTCCCGAGTGAAGGGATTAAAGAAGAATACACGGTGATTTCTGAGTTTGTATAGCAACAACCAACCATCTTTAGTGTAACAAACCCTGGATCCATGCAACTCTGGTAGCTCAAGGGAGTAGGTTTTACGCTTAGATGGATCATAGAACTCATACAAGTTACCATATTTTGGAAAGTACATGAGCCATGGTGATTGATTCACCACCCGGACGGAAATTGCAACCTTATGCCACCTCTGGCAGACAGCAGATGCTCGAATGTTATCCTCTAGAGTTAGGTGGGACATAATCAATTCCAAAAGTTCTACAGGAAGATCAGACCATGTTTGAATCTCCAACCTTTCCTTCCCATCCTCAGTTGCTATTCTTTCATCCCCATTTACTGTTTCAGCTAACCTATACAGCCAAAAGGAATATTGATATTAAAATGCCATTATCAGCTATAAATTTTAAAAAGAAGTGATACAAGGCTGAGATTGAAACCCAGCAAAGGACCCTAAAATGCTCCAGTAAGTCAGACAGAATATCATGCTTTATACCTAATTCAAAATTAAATGCTAGTTGTTTATTAAACCTACACAAAAACAAAAAAACACTTAATTGACAGATCAAATAAAAAGGTAAATTTTGATCTTCCATTTATGACATACCGCATGCTAAAATGTCACTCATGAACTTAAGATAATACACCCAAAAAAAGTACACTTGACCATAGGACACCTCCCAACCCCAGGGGGAAAATTCAAACCAACAGTCCAGGTAGGAAAGAAAAAAACAAACTTCAGTTGCCATTCAGTGCAATTAGAAGTCACAGTATGAAACATCCAAATGCTTCATATTCATATTCAATCCAACACTAACTATCATTTAAGTCATATTCCTATTTAAGAAAGTCATTTTTGTTGTTTAGCCTAAAACACAACAGCTCATAACAAATGCAACTTTTTCTTGGATAACTAAGATCTCTAACAATTTGAACCCAACTTTAAAAACTATAATTCCATGACTATGTTTAAAGAAAACAAAACAATCAATCAAACAGTCATTGTTCTAATCCCTAAGCCTTGGATCGAGACACTATTCAAAATCTTATAAAAAATTCAAGTTCCATCACAATTTCATGAAATGGAATTTATCTTAGTTTAGAAGAACGATGATACTTTATCAAATCCTCAATGAAAATCTCATTGTCTGATAGATGCCTATTGGTAGTACAAAAATCCATCAAAAGATGTTGCCAATTGTAAAATATCTTTACATTTTATCCCCCATTTACAGTATGCTGCAATGACTCATGAACTTAACATATGGTAACAACTCAAAGACCCTTCTTTGACTGACCATTGGAACCGCTATCCTTGTGGTGCAAAAGACACTACCCAAATTCAGTGATCCAATCAAACTGAAGTCACATTGGAGCTGAAATACCCCAACATTGTATTCGATTCAACATAATCTCTGTATTTAAATCAGTTTTTAACTGCTTAACATTAATCATCAACAATATCCCAAAAGATTAATAGCTCATGACTATGAAAAGCACCACAAGCCTATGATCACTTATCATAGTGGATTTAACTAGAAAACCAGCAGGAAAATCAAAATATCCAAAATTAGACTCCAACATGCACCGAAACAATACATGCAAAATCAATCAACACTAATTGCTCTAATCCCCTAAACATGCAAATAATTTTTGGGCATGGCCAAAGAGGCAAAGACCCAATTCAGAAACAATCGACTAGCTATCCAATTTCCCAAAACCCAAATTGACCAATAGTTGAATAAACATATTGACACTTTATCAAAACCCTAAAATTGCTCTAATTCCGAAAACCCTGAATTATTCCCAAACATAGCCATAAACAAAAGAAAAAAAAAACCCAAATTCAGCCCAACTTAAAAGGTTCAGATTTTACAGCAATTTTGCATAATTCAACATAATATTCAGTATAGAACACATTTTTATCTCATATTAAGTACTCAAGAGGCTCTAATTCCTAAAATCCAAATGTCATTTCAATGAAACCCTAACCATAAGCAATTAAAACTTTCATGTTCTATAAAAAAAAATGCTAAAGTTACTTACTCAAACAAAACCCAAAAAAAAAAAAAAAACTTACAATTTAAGCTTTCTTTTCTTTCTCCCGGCCATATGTAGCAACAAAACCGAAGCTTTTGCCGTGTAACTCTCAAAGTGATCTGAGATAGAAAGAAGCAAAGTGAAAAGCTAATAAGCTCAAGTGTAGTGGGCAAAATCGTGTTAGAGGAAAAATCAGGTGTGGCTGCTTCTCATAATGACAAGGGGATGACCAATGAATGGAAGCCACGACATTTACAGTGTTAGATTGAGTTGACTTGGATGACGCGGCGCGTATATATTGATTAGTTTAATGAGAAGGATGACTGAAGGTCTGCGTTAAAGTGAAAGTGATAGGGAAGGCTTGGTTTTACAGTGGCCATCTTGGTCAATGGCTTTCTCATTTATGAAACAGAAAATGGATTAGTCCAAAGACAGATGAGCTAAAACCTAGAAAGACTTTTTAAACTCATTTTCCAAACTTCAGAGAGAAAAATGGTAAGATTCATGGTATGAAAAGGGACACCATATGATTTTTTCATCCTGCTACTGATTACCTTAAAATTCAATGAATCTTTTTGTTTTTAAGAAGATGAATTAAATTTTGAAATGGTTATTATTGAAGCCTATAGATTACTAATAGCATTTAACAAAGAGAAATGATTTAATACATTAATAGTTGAAGACATCAATTTAATTCCGGGTCTAAATCAAAAGCCCTTAAATCAAATAGGCTCATATTTGATTCAAGTTTAATTATCAAAATTATATTTTTATTTTATTTATTTATAAATTTTTTATTTATTTTATTTATTTTATTTTATTATTAATTTTATCTTGTTTATTTGTTGTTTATCTTTAATTGTATTTTTTATATTTATTTAATTTTTTAATTTATATAATTATTTAAAAAAAAAATAACTGAAAAAAAGAATGAATGACCATAAATTAAAAATGAATGACTGGTGATAATTTAGTTTTATCATGATTAAATTTGAAGTTAAACTTTTTAAAGATAAGTTTTATTTTTTTATAATAATTCTAATTTTTGGAATTGAAATCAATATAAAATTCTTCTTATTGTACCCTTATAAATAGATTTTTAAATTATAGAACAAAAGAATATACCAATCATAGAGCAATTAAAAAAAGAAAAATAGAAGAAAAAGTGAGAGCGAGAGTTTGTCCCAATCTCAAAATTCAACAATCCATACTTAAGTCGAGTCAAGTTACTTCCCAAGTCTTTTTAATCAGTTTTGTGCCTACAGTTGAGCTATGCTCCAACCACGAAGTTGAACCGTGGTGTTTTTGTATTATTTTTTTTTTTTCTCCATTTTATTTTTTTATGAGTTTTGTTTATTTAAAAATTATTATTTATTTATTTGTTATATATTTTATTTGATTTTTTTAATTTTAAAAAATTGTTAGGGAAGTTAATTTTAAATTATAATAAAAATAAAATAAAATTTTAATAAGATTTTGATAATAAATAATAATTATTCAATGATAAATTTTAAAAATTACAAATGGTTAATTTCTAGAAATTTTTAGATGAGAATTTTTTTAAAAAAATTTGACCAAAATGAAAGAAAAATTTAAATAAAGTTTCAATAATAATAATAATTATTTATTTTTAAATTTAAATAAAAAATCTAAATAAATTTAATAAAATTTTTGAGATGAATTAACAATTATTCCAATGATGAGATTTTTAAAAATTTCAAATGATAAATTTTCTAAGAAATCTTTAAGTGAGAAATTTTTCTAAATTTAACTCAAATTGTGAAATAATTTTGATGAAATTTTAATAAAAGTAATTGTATTTCCTTTTTAAATTAAAAATTAAAAATATGACTTTAAAAAAAATTTTGTGTGAAAATATATAATGATTATTTAAAGATTAAATTTAAGAAAAAATACAAATGGTTGAATTTGCATAAAATTTTTAGGTAAAAAGTTTTTTCTAAATTCAACCTAAAATGGTGGAAAGATTTATATAAAACTTCAAAAAAATAATTGTAATATTATTTTTCTTTTTTAAAGGATAAATGGTGAATAAAATGGAGATTAAATTTTAGGAAAGATATTTTTAAATTAGGTCCAAATGATGAAAATTTTAGAAATAAAACTTGTAAAAATAAAATAAATTATAAATATGAAATTTTTAGTAATCGCAAATGGATGATTATTTAAGAGATTTTTATGTGAGAAAATATTTCTAATTTTGGTTTACATGGTGAAAAATTCATATATATTTTCAATAAAAGAAAAATTTAACAAAAAATAAATGATTAAGTCAATTTTCAACAACAGAGCTTTTTCAAGAAAACAAATGAGATTTTTAAATACTCTTGAGGTGAGTAAGTATTTTTAAAGATTTTGCCAGATCGATTGAGATGTCTTGAAAATTATTTTCAATATTTAAACATTAAAATAAAAACCATTAGAACCAAGATTATTATTATTATTATTATTATTATTATTATTGGGATAAGTTAAAATTAAATGATATCATCTTAGGATAGGCGCTGTGGGAATACTATAATCTTTTTTATATGTAATCGAACTCTCAAACTTAGTTATGAAATGTAGATCAAAACTTATTCTTTTAAAGATCCTTAGTTAAGTATAGCATATCCTTAAAAGAATAGATTCATTAGATGACTAATCATACCTTAAAAAAAAAAATGATGATGATTCCTTAGGTTATGTCTAATTATAGATTTACAAATATATACGTTATGACAATAGTAAAGTTTTTAATTTTACAAATGAGATTAAGATAATGATACATATTTTATTTTTAATTAATTTTTTTAATTTTTTAAAATTACACTAAGAGACATGTTTTATAATTTTAACCTCATTTATGGAGTTAAAAAATTTTGTTACCAGTATATTTAATAATTTCTCTTTAACAAATTTATAAAACAAAGACGACAAAAATGAAAGATAAAAGTGGATATTTTGTAGTTAAATAGTAAACCACTTTTAAAAAAAAATTTAAATTCAAAGCGGTACCAAGGATTTAATAGCTACATTTGCAGCTCAAGAATGTTTTATCTTGATGTGCCAAGATAGATTGCACCTAATGAAGTTATTAGGAAATATTTACTCATAGGTGAGGTAAGCTCCTTTATTCGGTTTATGATTTCTCTTAGCTAGAGGGAGATATTGTGCTTCAATAGTGAATGGTTTCATCAATACACAAATGCATAACTAGCCAGGAATTTCAATTGCCCATATATTTCTATTTGCTTATCATCATTTCTTATGACATTGTGTATCAACCTCTCTTATTCCAATTTTATAGGAACATCAAAATCCATGATCTTTTTTAGTTAATAGTTTAACTGTAAAAGAGATTTGTTAGCAAACTCTGGAGGGAGGCAACAAATTTTTTTTTTTTTTGAGGCTAAATAGAAAAACCAGAGTAAAAGAATATGAAAATCCCACTGAATTCATATAGTTAAAGGAAACAAAATATTGGATTTTACAATATGTTGATAATTTTCTTTTTAGCTACCATTTCAAATGCAAGGGGAATAGGGTACTTTGGGTTTTGATGATCTCTGCTTTTACACTAGGAATGAGAGGAAGTTGAACCTAATCTTTCAAAATTAGGATAAAAAAGTTGTTGAGAGGTATGATGATACTCTTATACTGCAAGATTTTGCTCATAGGAAACTTAGGCCAGTGCAACAGGGACAGGCGGTTTTATACCTTCCCCATACAAGGCCATTTAGCTTTAGGTATATGAGCATGGTCTAGTCTTGTGAATTTTGATCTAAAACCTCTGAGTCTGAGGTCCCAGGTGTGGAGATTTTGGGGTTTCAGTTGAAGGGAATGTCCCTGGTTTGACCCCATTTGTTTGAAGGGTGTGATATTTCTTTGATTTGCAGTGGTTGATGTGGGATAGCAACTGCAGGCGCCATTGCCTCTACTGAAAAGGAGGTAGCTGGTTAGCAGATTTGCAGTTTGCACCCCCGACGACTAAGTGCCTATCCCAAATAGCTGGTTATTACCAAGCACTTGGCAGTTGGCACAATAGAGGTTTTTGACACATTGTGCTATATATAACACAAACACAACACAACCTCCAAAAATCAACTTTCTGCAATTGTTTCTTTTCTTGCTATGCGTGAGTATTTTTAAATTCAGGCTTATTGTGCCTTGTTTTCGATCTGCCTGCCTTGTGTTCACAGTTCACCAGAGTGCATTGCCTTATTTCCAGCCTGCAGCAGATTTTCTCACTAATGATAGGTTAGATTCTTGTCTTCAGTGTGAAGAGCCATAGGGTTGCAAGATTGCATCTTGCTATTATACTAATTCAGTTTAGCAAAGAACACAACTAGTTGAAATAAAATTGTTCAAGTTTAAGCAGGAGTCACAAATTGCAGGCTTCAGCCACAATTCTCTTGAAGAGTAATAAGGGGGGGGGGGGGGGATTTTACCAAAGCATAATTCACTTATCTGATGCTGCAACACAAATGAATCAACTAGCATAATTGAAACAAGTAAATGGACAAGCTATGAACTAAAAATCAATCAAGCTCAAATGGATATGTAATGACAATATGCCATATCAATCATTGGAGTAGACATATTTGTTAAAATATAAGCAGGGATTAATAAATCAAACGACCAATGTTTACAATGTGGCAATCGAAACATCAGCAAACAGAAGCCCAAACCCACTTTAGACTTCCCAAAATGAGAAAAAGGAAAACTCTTCAAGAAATCATTGTTACAGCTTGACAATAGATAAATACCATACCTAGTGGAAATCCCAATTCCTGGATGAATCCAAGAGGGTTATAATTCAACTATATGAACAACAAATAGGACATCGTATCAATCCATTTTCATTGCACTCACCACACCTCATCTTCTTCTGTTCCCCATCTAAAACTTTGCAGCTACCATTACATTCCGTACACATCACAAATCTCACCCCAGCACATCCTTCGCATCCGGGAATCGCCCTAGGAATCCCATCAAACAAGATTTCCAGTTTCCCTTCCTCTTCTAGCTTCACAATCTCTTCAACTCCCCCAATCAACCTTCCTTTAACAAATACTAGTGGAACTTTCACCTCTTTTGTGCCCGTTAGCTTCCTTAACTCTTCCTTAAACCCTGAATCCATTGATATGTCATGCTCAAACATTTGGACATGGTAGGATTCGATGATGGATCTCACAGTGTTACATTCCTCAAAAGTCTTCCTAATCCCTCTCAATGTTGTAGTGTAAATCACAACTGCATTTTCTCTACCAGCAGGACATTTTTGCTCGAAAACTTGAAGAATACCCTTTGAATCCTGAAATTTCTTGGATTTTCGGATTTCGGGTCCTGATGAAATTATCCTCTTGATTTGTTCCTCTTCTTCGGACAACTCTTTCTCGTACAAAGCAACAAGCTCTGGATCAAATAAGGGACTAAAACTCCTCCTCCGAGATGAAAATCCCGAATCACCACCTTCAAAGACCTCACTTCTTGTACTTTTCACCGGATAACTCAGCTTCAACACTGCCTTACACGAACCATCCGCAGAACTGTTCACTCTCAATATTGATTTCGGGCTAAAATCAGACTTCCCATTCCCATAACCAGCCCCATTAACTCTTCCCTTGTTCTCTTTCCCACCAAACTTCTTCACTTTCAATGGAGAACCAATCTTATTCAAGAACTTCAATGGACTTCTCACATCTTTTTCACCAACCCCTTTAACAAAAACACTCGAATTCGGGCTTCTTTTAATATAACCATCTTCTTCAAGATCTTCCATGAGTTCCCAGGCATTGATTACCTCTGGCTCTTCGCGAGGAGGCGATCTCTGAACTGTCTTTGTCCCTGGAACTTCAACTGCTTCTTCTTGTTGTTGAAGTTCAATGTCGAGATTAAGGACCCCATAAGTGCTTGACTTGAGAGAAACCACGTGGTTGATGTAGTCGCCGCCATTGTTGAGAAGAATTTCTCGTTTGATCTCTCTCTTGATGAGTTTTGAAGAAACACAACCCATTTTTTCTTGGGGGAGTTGTCTTTGTTTTCCGTTGTTTGTCATGTTTTGAAGGAGAGAGAGGGAGTTAGCTTTTAAGGTTTTGAATGGTAACCGTTGGTTGTCAGGGAACGGGCCCCAACGGTCGATTTTTTCGAATGTGGGAACGTGGACAAGATCATGGGAATTTTTTTCGGAAGCCCCTGTAATTATGCTTTTTGTTGTCCGTTTTCGCCTCTTATCTTTTTGTTATCTCTTTAATGACCCATTGACTTCCTGATTATTTTCTTTTTCATCCTTTTCTAAGTTTTGACTTTTGAGACTCTTTGAGCTTGTCACGCTTATAATCTTAGCCTTTTTTCATGCTTAGTTAATTAATATTTATGATAGTCAACAAAATTATGATTATAAAGCAAATATATTCGAAATAGTAAGATGACATGCAAATGGAAAAAAATGCAAAATTTTATAATTTATTGACACTAGAATTTAGCACACCTACAATGTGGGTGACTTTTTTTTTTTTTTTAAGAATAATTATTTAGTTATTTTTTATGTGGAAGTGGAATATTTTTGTGAAATTTAAAATAAAAAATGTTTTATAAAAAATCTATAAAAGATATAAATGCCTTTCATTTTTATTTATTATAATATTTTTTTAAAATTGAATTGGTGTCATTTGATTACAAGTTGCATTATATTTGTAAAAAAAAAATAGAATTATCAACTTTTATAACATACCAAAATTGCTCACTTAAATTTGTTAATTATTGAATGTTAATTAAAAATTTGATAGAAGTTGATATATAATACAATAGTTTAATCATATTGATAATCTTGAAAAATTAAAAGTTACTTAATAAATATTAATAACTTTTAATAATTTAATCTCATTAACAATTTTAACAATTACAAAAAAAAATAATTATTTACTTTTGTTAAAATACAAAAATGCTAACCTAAATTTTCACAAATCTATTTATATCCCAAGACACTTGTCAACAAATGAAACCTTGTAGTTAAGTTTCATTTTAAGGATAGGTAGATAGTAGCATTTGAAAATTTCAATTTGAATTCTAAAAGTAATTGTGGATAGGCCGCGGAACTAGTTTAAGTGAGATAAAAAATAATGAAAATAATATAATTAATTATTATTATTATAAGATTAAAATTAATAATAAAATATATATTTGAATATAAATATAACGATGATAATTATAAGATAAAATTGAGTGAAAAAAATATAAAAATTAAAAATATGATATTAAAATTTATAATATATATTGATATTTTTGAAGTTAATTAAAAAATTACTAAAATTATTAATTTATATCAAATGATATTTTTTATAAATAACTGTTTGAAATATATTTATATGTAAATTTTAAATTTATTTAACATTTAAAATCTTAAAAATTTTATTCAATAAATAGTGACAATAATATATTTAGATTTCTTGACGAAAACAATCGAATATTTGATAGAAGACAATAAAAATTTTTAAATTTATTTTTAACTTTATGTGTGACTTTCAAAGATTATTCTATTACTGAGAAGAAAACAAATCCAATTGTTCAGTGAAAAACTCCCCTTTCATTAGACAAACAGAATGTAATGCGATTGGAAATTTGAAATGAATGATCCAAACAGCCGTCGATGCGATTGGGTAAAAGAAAAATCCAATCGCATCGAAACAGGGGTGCGATTAGATCTAAGTCAGGTCCTAATCGCAATAAAGAAGGTTTGGACTAAATGGAATAAGCGAGTAGCCTTCTTTGGGTATTTTTCAGTGGTTCAAGTTGTCCAATTGGACACCCAAGTAGCCTCATGTTTTTAACTATTTTTGTTTTTTCCTAGAGTTTTGTCGAAGTCTCAGAAGGTGTGCTTGTTCTCTTTCCCGACGCGACGAGGCCCACAACAGAAAAGCCCCAATTAAAATTTATTAGAAAACAATGCAAGTTTAATATAATATATCAATTAATTAATTATGTTTAGAGGTGATTAATTTTTTTAAATAATATATAATATTATGATTTTGAAAAATTATTCAAATTAAAATCAATTTTTTTTAAATCGATCTATCCAAATCGAATTTTATCGGTTTAGTTAATTAATTTTTAAATTTAAATTTTTTATTTTTATATTTTATTTTAATAAAAAAATTTATATATTAAAATAATTATTTTTATTTTATAAAATTTTAATATATATATAAATTAATAAAAATATATAATTTAATTTAATTTATTTTTATTTTTATATTTTTATTCAAATTTAATATATATTTAATATCTGACTTTAATTCAAATTAAATAAAAAAAATCAATCCAAATCAAATTAAACATTATAATTTTAGATTAATTTTTTTTATTTTATTTTTTTTACTTCTAATTGTGCTGCAAATAAAAAAGATTTAATATTAAATGAATTTCTAATAAAACAAACTAGTGGTCCAGAAAAGATCAAGGGTTCCCCGCTATTCCGCTTTTCCTACTCTGTTTTTATTTGAATTTCGCCAATGGGAATTGGGAAACCATTTCCAATTTGCTCTTCTAGAAAACTTTTACCAATTACCACCACTTACTTTTAACATCGAGCAACCGCGAAACTCAAATTCTGCTCTTCTTTTTACAGTGTTTTTGTTTTCCATATCACTACTTTCCAGGAAAATCGTGGGAAATGTATATATAATATATTTACCAGTAATCATATTCAATTTCTTTTTTAATATTAAATTCCAAAACATTCATTCAAATTCTACCTACAACTTTTAATATTTTAAATCTCCAAAACATACTTATAATAATTAAATGAAATGCTATTCAATTTTGCTATTGCCACTTGTTCTTTCCTAAGCTTTCGTGCTTCTTTAGACATAATTTTTTTTTATTTGTCCGTAAAAATGTTATTATTAAGTATAGGAAAATGTTAAAGAGCACTTATAAGCATTTATTAAAGTAATATTTATAAAAAAATATATAATTAATGTCTTTTTTTTTTCAATTTGTTGAAAATAATGCATTAAATAAAAATATTTTTAATATAAAATTTAAATTAATCTTAAAAAGAGTTTATAAATACCCTTCAACAAAAATCAATATTTTGGCTTGTTGCCCTTCACTATAATAATATACCCAACATTTAAATTTGAGATATTCAAACAAAAATTTTGTTGAATATTGAAATATATATAGTCAAAAATAATTTTTTTTTCAGTCTTACACTTGTTTACTAATTATTTATGTACTTCTTTTTATTTATGTACAGAACCCAAGAACAAAGAAATCATAGTCACATAATACACCAAAGTCATGAGTCCAGTACTGGGAAAATTTGACCAAACCGCCTTGCTGATTTTGCATTAGTGGAAGAAAAGTCAAGTTTCTTTTGGGAGATGCCCGTTGATTTCATCAACAAAATTTTCATATATATCGACAGCAATGGGTTTTGTACTTTACTCAACAAAAATAGCTTTTTCTTATTTGTATATTATTCAATATAATTGTATACAAGATTGGCATCGGGTCGGGTTCGAGATGGGTTTTACTCACCTCAAATTCGATCCGATTTAATGCTTTAATAAATCCGAATTTGATCTTATCAGAAAATTTTTTTATTTTTTCATATCAAAACTCGACCCGATACTATATAAATAATATACGATTTGATCCGATACAAAATTAATAAAATTTTATTTTTAAAATATAAATATTTAAAAATATTATTATATAAATATATATATAAATAAATAATTAAATTATATAATATCAGGTCTGATTGAGTTTACCTAAAACCCAAACCCGAAATCGATCTGACCACGATTATTTTTTAATTTTATCCAATCCGATCCGACCTGAAACTCGAATTAAAAAAAAAAAAAAAATCGACCTCATAGGATCGGGTTGGGTCGAAACCTGTCGGAGATGGGTTGAATTGTCGTCCCTAATTGTATATTCTCTAATTAATTAAAATTAGTAAAGTGCATGTTATCATAAAAAAAATTGTTCTATATATTAATATATTGTATGTTAGTTTAAATAAAATTTATCACTTTAACGTTAATATAAAATTAAAAATAAAATATTTGAAATATTTTTCATCAAATAAATATATTTAATGAAAAACTTTCAATGGAAGTAGAGCTTTTATTTGTAAATTAGATATATCTTATTAATATTATCACAAAAAATTAAAATGGTGTTTTAGAAATATAATTAACAACCATACTTATTATTGTCAGTTCAAAATCTTCTTCACATCCGTACTTTTATTATTATAGATTTTTATTTTTTTATTCAATATTTTTAGGAAATTCTAGCATGATATTGAATTTGAAAATATTTTTAAATATTATAATCTTTTGTACTTAAATTTATAGAATAAAGAATTAGTAAATGGTTACCTCTTAAGAGTTTGTATCAAGTATATAACCATTGACAGTGTTGATATAATTAGTTACTTTGGTTTTGCTTAATAGAGAGATGAAATTAAGTGAGAATGAAAAGTTTATTAATTTAATGGTTAAAATTAATAATATTTTTTAATTTATAGCTTAATCTTTAAATTAAAGTGTCCATTGAATGAAAACATCCTTGTACACTCGTAAGTCATAATTCATTAGAAAGAAAATATGCAAAATAATGTGAAAGGATGTGAATAAAATTTTCAAAAACTAAATATATATTTATATATGAAGATGGATTTATTTATATTAATATAAATTTTTTTAATTTTATACTTTTTTAATCATTGATATATATATTTTGTTTTCTTGTGTTATTCGTTTGGGTTAAAAAAATATTAATTTTCTTGTCTCAAATTGAATCAATATATAATAATAATAATAATAATAATAATAATAATATATTAATGAAATTATTTGATTGTGATTGTAATTCGATAACATTATGGCTTGGCAGGGGATGGCATAGATGATAAGAGAGAAATCTGAATCACATAATTCTTTGATTATTTTTGTCATTGTCAAGAAAATATCATAGGGATTGCCAGGGACAAGATCGATATATATAAACAGCGGCACAAACACACACAAAAAGAAAAGGGGATCGTGCCATGTTTGATGTTTTATATATATAAATATATAGGCTGGCAATGAAACGATTAATGCACGGAGATGGGATCCATGAATTTGCTGGATGTTTCTATTTCCAGGTAACGATGAAGCTACACGAAAGGACACATCACATGGCTAATTGCTTGTCAATTTCCTATATTCCCCCCCCCCCTTATTTCAGCATTTTTGCCTAAAAAACAGAGAGGTCAAATTAATTAGTTCATTCTTCCACAGCTATTATTTTATCCCTTTGAATAATGTTCATCATCTATAGGTGAAGGATATTGCCCATCCTCAAAGCTGTACAGAAAGATATTTTTGGTTAATATTATGGGCAAGCTTTATGTTAAAAATTTAAATTTAAATTTATGAAATATCATAAGTAATTTGTATAAACCGACAAAATTAAATTTGAATTTGATAAAATTTTTTTTTGAAAGATCATATGAGTTGGTATCTCTACATTCTTGATCTCATCATAAATATATTGATAATATAGATGATTTATTTAAATAAATACAATATTAACCTACACATATGATTGATGATGTTTTAATCATTGGATGGTGAGATTAAATTAATTAAAATTTCCCTAAGATTGATGCATGTAATCTTCAATTTTTTTAGTTGCAATCTATAGAATAAATAATCTAAAAGAAAAAAATAAATAAAGTTCACTATCCCGCTAATAATTTATATTAAACTTTTTGGATGATTGTGGACATATAGAATAAACTCAAACATTGATGGAAGATATAATATAATTTTAGTCACAGTAACCTACATTCTTGATTGCACCAAACATCAAGCAATCAAATCCAAATACGATTCTTCTTTTTAACGTCATGGATGAAGTCCATTAGTAACTCGGAATGGCAAGAAACAGAATTCTGTGGGCTTTTTAATGTATAAATAAATAAATAAAGTAATTATAATTCATAGTTAATTCAACCGAAGAATCCTACCAACCAAACCAAACGAATATAACAGAGATTAGCTAATCTCAATTAGTTACGTAAAGGCCTTCACCAATCCCAAAAGGGTTTTCAGCATTAAGCCTTTTATTTTTTAAATGTAAATACAAAAATTTTAGAATACTGATTTAATAATAAATATATGTATTTTATATTTAAAAAATAATTATAAGTGTAACAGTATGAATTTTTATATATGAATTTTTAAAAATGATTATACGAATAATTAAATTTAAATTTAAATTTGATTTGCTTTATATAAGTTACTTATAATGTTTGTCTTTTTGTGATTTTATAAGGCATAATATAGATTTGATTAATGATTGGAAATTTTTTACTTGAAAAAAAAATAGAAGGAGAAATGCGGGAACCTCTATCTTGTTACAGTTGCTACGAATAAAATACTATAAAATAAAGAATTTTATACTTTTTATTTGAAAATTCTATTTTATTTTAACTTAAACAATAATAAGGCATAAATATAAAAAAACTTTGAATTAAAATTAAATAATAATTTAAATTTTTATTATTTTATTATAATCAAATAAGATTTCAAATATTTATTTTCATTAATTAAAATTTTTATTAAATAAAATTTAGTTATAGTTAATATTCCTTTCATCTAATAAAAAATTTTATCAGATAAAAAAATTTAAGAATTTAATTAAGTAAAAATAAATATTTAAAGATTCAGTTTATTTAAAATAAAATATTTAAGATTTAATTGATTATAATAAAAATTTAAAATTTAAAATAATTATTAAATTTTTATTTATGTTTTTGATTAATAATAATAATAATAATAATAATAATAATTTTCTTTCTCCCATGCTTCCTAAATGTTCGGCTACTTAGTAAAAAAATATTGTTTTATCCCGAAAGCAGAAAACCCACCAGCAAAGGAAGAGAGCAAGCAAGCACTAGTCAACAGCGTTGAAACTCTCCCTTCACTAACAACTTCTTTCTTTTTTGTATAAATCTTCTCAAATCTACCTTCCTCTCTCAAACTTCCTCTTTTATTTTTTCCACGTTTAAGTGTTTTTTTCTTCTTTGTTCGTACAATGCCACAGGGCAATTTAGAAACCCTTGTTTCTGCCTGCGCCGGCGTTTCTTGCGACAACAAAATTGTCTGCGAGACTTTAGCAACCACCGATGGCGACCCCGACGACCACCTCCACACGGCGGAGAAACCTGTTGAAGAAGATATCCCGCCGGAATCGTTTTGGTTATCCAAAGGCGCCGAGCTCGACTGGTTCCATCGCAACGCGTTTTACGAACGTAAAGAATCGCAGAAAGGAAACTCAGTTTCTAACTCCACAAATCTTAATCCTAGTCTTAACTCAAACTCCAATTCTCAACGCTTTTCGTTGAGAAAATCTAAAGCTTCCATAATCGGATTACCGAAGCCGCAGAAATCTTGCTTTGTTGATACGAAGAACAGGAAGAATACTAAGTCTGGAAACACTAGATTGTTTCCTAAACGGTCTAGCTCGGTTAAATCGGATCCGCCAGTTGTTGAACCGTCTTCGCCTAAGGTTTCTTGTATGGGAAGAGTGAGATCGAAGCGAGATCGGAGTCGCAGACTAAAAAAGAACAGCCAACAATCAGCCGAAATCGTAACAGTTAAAGGGAAGACGATGAGAAAAGGAAGCGGTTTCTTTTCGAGTTTTCGTGCTATTTTTCGGTCCATTGGTAAAGCACGTGAACAACACGCTCTTCCAGTAGCGCCGTCGCCGCCAAGGAACAGCGACATTAGGTCTCGTTTGCCGCCAGATGATCGTGATGCAATATCGATAGAGCCTGAAATTGCGGGGAGTGAACCGGTTGGTGAACCTGTCAGTCTAGGTGGAATGAAGCGGTTCGCGTCTGGTAGGAGATCGGAGGCGTTAATCTGAGCCGTGTGGGAAAAGGCCTTCTTAGTGGTGGGCCAAGGCTAAGGCGTGGGTTGGTCTGCGGTCGTGGTTGGGTAACTTGCGGCTCCCGCCTAGTGTTTAAAATTTCCTTCGTGGTGATGTGGCATGATGATTTACGGTCGGTTTGGGAAGGTAAAAAGGGCACAATTTCCCTATTTCCACTTCTTTTTTGTCCTCTCTCTGTTTGTCATTTTGATTTGGTTTTACTTGATTAGCGTTTGTAGATACGAGTAATTTTGGATTACACAGCTGTAAATTTTGTTGTTGTTTTTTTTAATAAAATTTCAAAAGGATCATGTAAAATTCATCTTGCAATGAATATTTTCGGTAAAGTTTAAGCATGATTATACTTTTTAATTAAACTTTATTACTATTAACATGAATTTAGAAAACTTATGAAAACAATATTTATTAAGAGTTTATTCAGATAAACATTATGAATAATTTTGATAAAATTAAAAATAATGATATTGGTGATATTAATTACTGATGTAGTGATTGAAATTAAAATTATTTGTATGAATATGTATTTGAATGCAAATATCAAAATTGAATATGTAAAAATAAACAATTAAATGCCCGACCAAAGGGTAATCGAAACAGCTATAAAGATTACAAAAAGCTTTGCTTTGGGTTGACGGTGATGAGTGTTAAAATTTAAGGAATTGGGTGAACTGCCTAAGTTAGAGATTGCATCCTCCAATCAGTTTGAAGATAGGGAGGAGGGAGTGCTCAAAATATTCCTTCATTGCCTTATCCGTTTTAATATTCAAGTGTTTTCACAATCACGAGTCTTTGAAATTCAATTTCTTTTAATACGAATTTGTTGGGGTGTGGTTCTCAGTCAAGCAATCCCTGTTTGGAAATTGTTGACAGTTTGACATTCTTGACTGCTAATGTGGATGGTATTAGGTGAATGGTTTAGAATCTTGACTATTTTAGTGTCTTATAGTCTATTTTTTTCACTTATTTTTAACTTTGAAACTGACTATCTCACCTATTATCACATTTCGTGTTCAATTATAGCAGCCAAATGGTCTACATTTCTGTCTTCTGTTTTTTTTTTTGGGTGAAAAATATGCTTCAAGTTTGAGTGTATTTCTGCTGATTCAAGCCCTCCACACATGAAACAGTTTCAAAACCTGTAAGAGTTTCATTTTGTAAAACTCAATGTTGAACAAATCAAATCTGATTTTGGGGTGATACGAAGTTTTTCTTTGTCCACCGTCCACCGGTATAAAGGAGAAAATTCTGATATGCAGGCTTAACTCAACACTCTGTAAAATACAACATATGATGTTTTTAACTAGTAAAATCTAAGCATATGGAAAATATTCATAAACCACACCAACTACTTCTTCCCCCACCCTGTTTGCACCCTGATAACGACAAAAGTTTTAGCCAATAAGCTCATCATACAGCTCAATCTTTCGACCATTCAATGGCTGACAAGGCCTTGCGTTTTTCTTGCAATTTGAGTTCACGGGAGTTTCCAGAGCGACCATCTGCTCTTTCGAAATCGATCTCACCTGCACGTATATATCTTTTTAATTTCTTGTTTCTGCTTTTAGCCATTTTCAATGTAATATATACTTTTCCGAACATTCAATACATTTTTTGCAGGAAAAACATACCTTTCCGAGAATGCTCCATATGACATTCTCCGAGCATGGAGGAGTGGTAAGAGAACCAACATATCTGTAGTACTTGCGGCAACTTCGCATCAATTGCTCGGTATCCAAGGTACCAAGGGGAACTTCAGCTATTTTGTCTGCTTTACTTTTCTCCTTAGCCAAATTATTCAATCCATCCATAATCTGAAATCATAAATTACAATCTAGATTTAATTTCCCATTTTTTCTTGTTTGAGTTCCGAATCACGCTTGGGTTTTAAATTAGTCATAAAATATGTGATATTTCCAGAAAAATAAGAAACAAGCGATATAGATGATAGGAAGTTTACCTTAGAGATAAGTGGATCGGCATCCTTTTCTTGGTAGAGTATTGCTACAACTGCAATGCTGTTATCTGCTGCCCGGTGGACCAAATGAAGCTCAGCAGCAAAACTGTTGCAATGAAATTGTCAATACAATTCAACTTTACAGCTTAAAATTTCACCCTAGTGGTAAGGAGGGGTAAGAATTCGGGTAAAGATCTTAATTTCGAGTTATGATATTATTAAACAAAATGAAAATCAGGGCAACGTTGTCAGAATTGGACAAAACTTGTCCTGGCCGAAACACTTCATTCAAGTGGAAGGGGCCAAAAATAAGATTAAATAAAGTACAAACTAATCAAACCAGTTGTTGAAGCTGATTAGATTGGTCCATGAGTTAGGCCCTTCGTTTTTCGGTGTTGGGTGGGGAGAAAGAGCCCATGAAAGGGAATTCAGCCTCCATAGACCATAATACAGCAGCATGACTTGAGGCCAGAATAAATTGGACCAAACCAATAGAAAAAAAAAAAAAAAAAAAACTCAGAGAGATCTTAAGAAAGTGCGTACTGTTCTCCATCAATTTGGTGCTCAGATGGTAAATGCCAGTGCATTTGCCTGAGCGAGTAGTTTTTGCCATCAATCGATACCTCTCCAGCATTTTCCTCAAAATGTACCTGCAATAAGAAATTCATCAAACCAGCAAATTTATTAGCATTTAATCCTCAAATGGATGTTAAATTATTCAGTAGTTTTCAACTATTATATGTATATTCCTTTGTATAATCTTACAACAATGGGAAGTGAAATGTTTGTTTATCGTCATATTAAGTTATAGCAACCAACCCCAACATTGAAGCCATTGTTAACGAGGGTAGAATTTGCAGGTATATAATTCCTGGTTAAAGGTTTCAATAACTTGTTGTGGACAGTCAGATTCTTCTGAATGCTTATAGGAGACTGGTTTTTCCCTGATGAACATGCTGAGAATGTTGGATCCAAATTTCCCCACTTGTCAGGGCCATTCTTGCGAGAATAACCGAACCCAATTGCACTACGCCCTATAAAAAAGAACACCAAAAAAGAAAAATCAGGAACTGAGTCAGGGGGAAACATAGATCATTTCCAAATGACTTATCTGCTAAACATGATCATACCATCACTAGCAGAAGCAATGCCAAGAAGCAAAGTAAGCGCGAAGATGGACAAGGAGATTTTGAGTGCCATTAATAACAGAATACGTAAATCTTAAACTACAAAGCCTTTACCTTGACAAAGAGAGGAAAGACTGAGAAAAAGCTTATATTAACCTATTATGTGTTATTGCTTAACTTGAGGCTATGGTTCCGGTTGCCTCCACAGTATTGCTACTATCTTTAGACAGGTTCTGCTAAATAAAGTAGAGGTTTCTCGAGAGTTTTGAGGCACCTTACATTTTCCCATGTCTTTGTCTTTTTATACATGTATTCGAGTGGTAATATCCGAATGCCATGTTCTGCTAAAAAAACTGAAGGCAAACCTTAAATTATCACTTAGTTGAATCTTGACTGTTGTCAACTTTGCAGAGATAAGGCTGCAAACATTGGTGATTACAGGTAGAATCCTTTAAAAAGTAACAATTAAAAGGTAAAATATACCCTATGGAACATGTTCACGGGGCTAAACTGAGGCCCTGTGACATTTGGATAAAGTTCTGGGCCAAATTTAAAGAGGTATTCCAGCAGTCAGTCTCAAAAACTGTGCCTCATCTTCTGTTTTGCTAAGGGGAATGGGGATAGAGCCAAATACTACCTCCCCTGGTATATACTTGGTTTAATTCCAAGTGGATGGAACCCACCAATGGACAACTTTGGTTAAGATTTTTCTTTTCCTTTTTTTTATTTTATGAGAGTTTAGGGATGATTGACTAAGTTCATGATCAAGAAATGCTCAAAAGTTAGACCCCAAACCTACTTATATCACATGTGATTGTCAAGATTAAAATTCTTTTGTAATCTCTGGGTTGCTTCACCCATATAACAGAGACTATAAAGTATAAACACTGGCCTAATGCCTGTTCCCAAACTGCAAAGGCAGAAATAATTTTCACAATCATCCTGCTGTTATAAAGAACAAAGCCAAAGAAAATCTGCCAAATTGAGATCTTCACCAGGACATTAGGGATTAATTAGTCTAATTAAAAGAGCCAACTAGGCTATTTTGTTTCGTATATAAAAGTTTAGGATGAGGGAAGTTTCCTTATTCCAAGGTCAAGGGATAACGTAGGCACATCAAAAGAATTGCTGATAGCAGGAGTTGAATCTAAATTTTACAAGTACTTGATTTTTATTAATTCAATCAGTTTTAATTTGTGACAGTCAAGCTATTTTTATAATATAGTACATAGGAAATATTATATCAGTAACTAAAATTAAGTAAAATTTAGCACATGTACAAGGGAAACAGAATATGAAACAATGGCATTAAGCAGAAGAAAACGAACTTACTGAGGCACCATCTATTACCAAGGTGCATAAAAGTATCTTAAACCATTTATGGAAAGGATAAATGGGAGGTCTGGCTTTAGCGTGCAATTGGATTGATACAATGAGCAGGACAACACTTCAAAAAAGCTAAAATCTAAACTTATTGTGCCGTTTCTGAGTCCACGCTCCATGATTAAGATTGAACAAAAGGAAAGAGCCGAAAGGGTACAGGATAAGTAAGGACTTATGTTACCTAGTTTTTTTTAAATGAATACTTTAATGGCGCAGCATCTGATTCCATTGCCAGGTCCACGACCACAATGCATTATAAGAAGCTGTCTCGGCTCGATGGAAGGTGAGAGACAATCACAATGGCATACTCATCAATTGGAATGCCACAGATAATGGTGATGAGAATAGAAGCTACATTATTTGTTGACAACTCTTTTCATCAGAACTTCAAGCAGAGATAAGGATTCTCCATTAAAGGTTAAGAGGTTAACATATGGATATACTTTAGACCCCACAATATGAGGATCATATGGAGAACATACTGATACATTTTGATACAAAATCTTATGTAGATGTAACTGTTCCAAACAAATCTTATATTGAAATAACAATAGTTATTGTTCTATAACTATTATTGTATTCTTCAAAAAAGTGTTCTTTATCAGTTCTATTTTTTATACAATATTGAGACATATCTTTCTTATGATTTTAGTAGAATTATTTTTATTAGACTATTGGAGCAATTAAACAGTATTTTTTAATTTTAGTTTTGGCTACATTCCTTGCACACAAACACATCACTACTGCATCATGTTATGCAGCCCATTTGTCAAACAAATTCAGTGCCATATTGAAGCAATTTTCATTAGAAAGAACAAAAATGATAATAAAAAATAGGTACATAGCTAACTCTTTTCTTTTTTTTTTTTTGGATACGGAGGGAGTAACAGAGCTTGAACCTAAGATCATGGCTGATCCCAACCCACCCTTACTTGAACTAAAGACCAAATGATGTTATATACCTAACTCAGCTCACCTGGTGTGTTTCATTACAAACAAAGTGGTAGTATTACGAGGAAAAAGGTAAAATTATGTATCACACAATATCAGAAGGAAAACCTCCATAGGGAAAGCTTTGATTATTATTGAGCATAGGTAGCTCTTAAGTACTCCACTATTTCTGCACTTTCAAACATTTGCACTCCAGTATTTGGATCTTCTAAATAAGGTACCTGTCAACCATTTTTGTAGAAAATACCACTCTCTTACCACTTGTGGCAAAATCAGGCAGCAAGGAAGAATGAACTTTATAGAAGTGGAAACTTGTTAAGATAAGTACTAATATACCTGAAAATGTCCAGCTTTCTCATAGAGGATCTGCCGTTTCGTGCTGCCTCGAGCACAACTGATAGAAGAGAGAAGAAGAATTAATCAGAAACTTCATTCAGGTGAAATGGCGCATGGAGCTGTTACTGTTACTCAGGGTTGCAACAAGCAGCAACTTCAAATTAAGGTTTCTGTCAAGTAGACTTTGCACACTTGGTTTTTATCTGATGCTAAGTTTGCAGTAATATGTGCTATGATCTGAATAATCCTTTGGCTCTATCAAACGATAAAGGCAAGGAAACTTAATAGACAACACATGTCTGATACATTTTACATTATTCACAATGTTTTAGCACGTATGCAAGTATAAAGTGGTTTCTCAATTCTTGACATAGACTTGCGTGAAACCATAACCATGGATCTGTAACTGAATATTTGGCATTTTCATGGACTTTTTAACCGAAGCATTAATTGAACAAATGGCTCAACCACCGAAAACCCCGATGGTATTAAAGAGTGTATGTGATCAAATACAGTCCAATATTCATGGACCGTTAACACCTGAGAAAAGATGATGCTTTAATAAAATAGACCTAATCAAGCAAAGTGATAATTTAGATTTTACCTGCGTTGAATGTGTGGTAACTCTAATTCCACCAGCACTTCTCGCACAATGTTACAGAATGGAGAACCCTAAAAGGGAAAATAAAAACATTTTAAGGTCAAAACTTGTATATGCATTTAAACTATATTTTGTTTGGAAATCATAGTTGCCTCACATTTTGGAGAAGCAAATCTTAACTACTGAACATAAATGTCTTCAAAAATCAATAGTTTAAATCCTCTATTACCTCATATGACCAAATCTCAAGTGGCTTGGGAGGCAATTTTGATGGACTGTAGGAGTTTCCCTGCATAAGACATAGGGTGTCATTTATAGTATTTTCCAGAAAGAAGAAAATTTATGTAGTAAAATTTAGCATAATTGCTTTAAAAAATAAACATGTTAATGATGCATAAAATATGAAATGTAATAGAGAGAAAAAAGTTTCTTCACAGATATCTTCAGAATTTAATAAAATAAGAATTTCATATCTGTCTCACCTTTCCCATCCGACCTGTCATGGCAAGGCCTGCAGTCAAAGTCTGCAATACAAGAAAATTTTAGGAATGTTTCATAGAGAGCAACAAAAATTATTATCTCATAGAAAAAAAGAACAATTATTATAAAAAATATTGCCGACCGTCAGTTGACCAAGTGATAGCATGAAAGGAACACTTCCATCACCTAAACAAGAGAGAACAGCATTAATGAGTACATGACTAGAGCAAACTAAGTTACTGATAATAAGAAACCAAATGAAAGTTGAAAATTTTGAGATATCTTAAATATGAATCAGCCTAGAGGAGGTAGTAATCAAGACATCGTTAACCAGGTAGTTCTTAACCTAGAAAAAGTTAAGGAAACACACTTTCTAGAATTTTCTAATAGGCCAATTGAGAAAACAGAAAGCAGCTACATCAATATAAAAATGGAAGACTAAATGTATGAATTGAGTACTGATATCAGCAAATTAGATCTGTTGATTAAACCCAACAGCACAAAGGAACATAATGATAGTATGTAGATGTAACTACATATACCATATTTTCGAACCAGATACTTTATTATTTCATCTGATTCATACATAGCAACTCCTGTATTTGGATCCACCTGAAACCAGAAATAAATGTTTAATTCGGACTCTCACTTGACATCAATCTTTTTAATATCAATTCAAAGGCTTTTTTAATACAAACGAAAGTACAAATCTCAAGAACAAAACCAGGGAAAAAAGTGAGGAATACGGATTAACCGAGCAAGAAGCTGTGTTGTGGACCAAAGGAAAGAAATAATATCTAACCATGTATGGGAACTGCTCCTTTCCACCCATCTGAGCAACCTTGGGACGAAAATTTGGACCATTTTTGGGGCAAGGATAAAACAGAACATCAATATCCAAAACTGCAACAATTTCCCTCACCTGCATATTATTAAAATGTCAGTCTAAAACATGAAGAAGTTCATGGAATATGGCTTGTCATATGCTCAGGTGAAAAAATTGAAGTTCTGTTATGGACATTACACATCATTGAGTGACTCTAATTCCAACTAAAGATTTATTAGGAAAGTATGAGAAGCATAATTCAATAGAGGTCCTCGGTGGACAATTATAGCTATCACCAATTAGAACCATAAATGCTACGCATCAAGAGATAACTGTTGAGGCCAGTGATCCTACTGTCATATTAAATGGTTCCATTCCATCAAATTTCAGAGTAACACCTTATCCAGGAGTTACATTGAAGTTGGTATTTCCAAGAACAACACAGAATGGTCATGTCTAACTAGCGTAAGATAGTGTCCAATGGGACATTTGCTCCATTATCTTTATCATCGTAGTGGTAGCAAGAAAATCCAATTATTGAATGCAATAGAAGTAAAAAAGTGTTAATAGATGCGGATTGTTTACTACCTTTCGACAAAATGGACAACTGGAGTAGCAAGCAGTCCACCATTATCCATAATTTCAAGGAAAAAAGAAACACACAGAGTCAATCTTTTCTTCATCAGAAACGAGACATGAAAAACTACAGGGTAGAATAAAGGGTAAAAAGGCCATACACATTGAAGGATGATGAAATTCGGCAATTAGCACAAGCATTAACAGGGGGAAATGAAAAAGAAATGGAAATTTGAGTACCCTTCAAAATCATATATCTCAATAGGCTTCTCTGGACGAGGGCCTATCTTTGATGTCTCTTTCACCTTAGAGCCTGTTAATTAAAGCTATCCGATCAACATTTAACTGTGAAATTTGAATACCATTGAGACAAAAAAATACTTTGCTTCCTATCGGAATTCAGACTTGCATCAACATTTGACAAAATAATACAGAAAAATATGGAAATGAAACAAAAAAAATGACCCCATACCTCCCAGTTCTAAACAATATTGGCCAGGTGGAATCTCATTCTCAGAAACAAGAGATGCCGAATAGCTGCCACGATACAAGAAGATACAAGATTATAAGAAGCAAAGCACAATGCCATTACCATAAATCATCAAGTGAAGTGCCACAAATACAGCCTAATACCCTAATTATTAAGAATGTAGTATAGGGCTTCTTTTCTTTAATTAGCCAGGCGGCCAGTAAGGTAGGTGTGTAGGACTAAGTACATTTTGCTTGAGAACGTCAATTATCATTAACAGAATTTCTTGTATAAAACCAAATATCCAGTTAAATAATTCAACTTGATTTTTATAAACCTCAATTTTGTTGTGTTCATGCTTTAATTTTTTTTATAGCATACTCAAACCTATCAGGTGCCATTTACAATCAGTGCCACCAGAGCTACAATACCAAATAATTAAGAACTAATTCAACTTCATCCCAGTTTCCTCATAACTAAAATTTCATTCCATTTATTTATCAACCCTTTTATTTTTTTATGACAAACAACATAATTCAAAAGAATCCCACCAAATAAAATAAACAAACAAAAGCAGAAATGAAAAGAAGTGTCGATACCCAGAAACAAAAATACCAGTTCCCCACCGAAAGAACAAGGCAAGAGATGCCCCAACGATATCCAGAGTCTTATCTGGTCTAACTGCAAACCGCTTTGGCTCTGGTGGCTTGAAGTTTGGAGGAGGAGCAAATGTTGTTGTTGAAGAAGAAGCAAAGCTTGGTTTTTGCTCTTCCTTGGTACTTGACGAAGCAGAACTGACTTGGGAATTTGAGGACTCTGAAGAGGCTTTAATGGAAATGAAGGGCTTTGATTGTCTACGCAGGTAAAGTGGCGAGAAAAGCGGGACTTTAGGGATGTTATGGACTCCCACCATGGCTTTGGGCCGATCAAGTTTTTTTTTTTTTTTGATGAGAGATTTGTGTAAGAGAATGAGAGTTGCTGTTTTTGACAACAGTTGAGGAGTGGCTCTTGTGAAACTAAAAACTAGAAAAGTAATACTCCGTTGTTGTCTTGTTGAGTTGGGACAAGACAAAAGAGTATGACAGTGACAGACAGGAAAAACAACACTGTTCTAATGCTTATCATTGAATTCAGCCAATTCAGTTATCGTCTTGTTCGCAAAAAAAGCAATCCTTTATAAATATAGAAATTTAATAAAAAACTTTTTGTTTATTACTTAATTTTAGAAGAAAAAAATTTGAAAAAAAAAATTAAATGAGGTTCACAAATTATTTAGACTCTTGCTCAATTGACAAACAACTGAAGTTGGAATATGATATCAACTTCTTTCTATAGTGCTAAAAGGAGAGCTTCAGTCTGCATGAAACTGACACCTATACCATGGTCATGACCATCAGCTATCATATATCACCCAAACATGCAGCAGGGATCTTCAAACTAATATATTGGCTAGATAATTATTTTTCTTAATCTTAAACATAGTCCAATTATATTAATTTCATTTAGATCAAACCCTATCAAACTCGAATTTGTAGTCGTATTTGTATATATATGGAGTGGTAAACAATTATCCCTTTGTCCGTAGGCCGAGTTGCCTGTCATGGTCGTGGGCCGGCCTGATTTAGTTCAAACTTGGGTAAAGATTTTAAGTTGTGGGCTTGGCCGGAATTATTATTTTATAAATTTAATTATAAAATATATTAAAATATTAAAATCTTAATATAAGACTATGTTTTAAATTTTTAATTTTTGAGTAATAAAACATGTCTATCCAGGCGTAAGGTGGACGAAACTTACATAAAATTTTTTAGGTGAAATATGTGAAATTTTTTTAAAAAAATAATTTAATAAAAACTTTAATAAAAAATTAAAATCAATAGATTAATAGAATTTAATGTAAATATTGATAATATATAAAAAAATATAAAAATGTTATTTATAATTTAAAATTGATTGATAGTTATTCAATGACAAAAATTCTATTAATATTTTTACTAAAATTATCTATATAAAAAATATATAAAAATTCATTAAAATTTTTTCAAATTTTACACACTTGATTTATGTAATAAAATTTTTTAATTTATCGATTTTAATTTTTAATTTTAATTTTTACTTAATTATTTCTAATAAAAAATTTTATGAATTTTACATAAAATATTTTATTTAAAATTTTCCCTAAATGGATAGGCAAGATTGGGCTCTAAACAAAGTCTTGAAAATGTTAACCAGATCTGATTCAATCCTATCTGATCCATGAATGTCTATTCGAGCCATGAAAACCTCTACTTCAATGTATGTTGACATTGATTTTTTAAACCATCCAATTGGAAGAAGGGGAATCAAATAAATGAGATCCATGAGACATTGAGACTTACCATATGTTAGTCACGAATATATTTTATTTTTATACTTTTAAGGAGTATTACTGGTAATTAGCTTCAGAAGAAGAATCCTTGATGTTTCGTAGAGCAATACGAATAAGTAGTGTAGTAGCTTTCATGGTCCAGCCAGTGCTGAAATTTTGTATAGTCACTTGGACATGTTAGACATTAATGGTTGGTCCCTTACGAGGGTCAGAAAAAGTCCAGCCAGTGCTGAAATTTTGTATAGTAACTTGGACATTTTAGGTATTAATGGTTGGTCCCTTACGAGCCCTTCCAATTTTTCTGCAAAACAGGTTAAAAGGTCACTCTCAGTCTCAAATCACGTTTAAAACAATAAAAATGAAATATGGAAGTTAATTTGAGCCTTCATGATAATATGTCAAGACCTTTGATGAATTCTTATATTGCGGGTTACAGCTTTTTCTTGAGACAAACTCGACTTTCGGAACAAGAGATATATTCATCTATGGTTGAGTCAAAATGTCCGAGTGTATCAAGTGATTATTCAATATTGGTTTTTAGTATAATTTTCATCACCACTCCATGGATTGCAGATAATCGGATATTTTTACCGGATGAAGACTGTCAAGTTTTGTTTGTAGACAGGAAACAATGACAGAGCAAAACCAAGTGAACTGCTATTTTTTAGAGGCAGTTCAGACTTTAGATTGCTTTGTATCCAGCACAACCTGAAAGGCTGAAACAGCCAAAAGGTTCGTTATTTTACAAGGCAAACATACTCTCAGTCTCAGATACAAGTTTCAGCCAATTTTCTGTTCAATCTTTTAAGTTTTTAATTTAATCACAGAATTGTATATTGTCAAAATCAATGAGTTTACTATCACCTGCAAAATGGGTTTTTCTGCTTGTATCAAACTTTTGAATGATCCTACTAAAAAAAGTCATTGCTGATAAGAATGTTGCTGCTATCAAATTCGCCTAGTTTTTGGTGAGGACAAAGGTATAGAATTTTCTCAGTTTGCTTTTAACTTGATCATAAGCTTACAAATATATATATATATATATATATATATTACAAAGGAGAACGCAACATGAGAATAAAAAAAAATAATTGTAAGTGTTGATATATAAATTGTAAATACATCTTCTTAAAGATAACTATACGAAGCAATTGATAATCATAAATTTTGATAATCTTTTAACAACAGTCCATTTGTATCCCATTTCTTTTCCCTTCAATATATGCAGTCCATTCTATTTTTCCTTCCTTACTCTGAAGCAGGATAGTTTAAAATATACAAGAAATTTTGAGTGAATTCTCAATACAGGCCATCTTCCATGCAAGCCGTTTGTAACTTCTAATCTTGGTCGAAGAAAAACTCAGACAAGACAATTCATTTGTCCACTTCTCAATCATTCATGTTTTAGACTTTGGAAAACAAGTTCTTAGTTTAATTTGACATTGACCGGCATAATTTCCACAAAATCTTGAAGAAAACATCAGCTAATTCATTAATGTCAGAAGAAGATGATGAAGACTACCAACATGAAAAGACATCAGTTTATGAGTCACGTGTCAACTATTTGATAGTACACGTGGCAATAAACCGAAAATATGGTAGGCTGATTAAGCCAAAAAAGTTTGAGGAGATCTTCATGATCATTGAAATTAATCTGAGTCAACAATATTTGGCTCAAGGAAGAGAATTCCTCGTGGCGGTGCCGCAGAACCATTCAGAGACAAGTGTCATAATCTCGTGCGCCATGTCAGCCGACCATGGTGCCCTCCCTGGACCATATCTAGAAACCAGAAAAAAGTTGATGGCGCAAAGGAAATGTTGCAGGTAAAAATAAAAAAGTTTGAGGTTCATTTGTTTGGTGAGTGAAGTTATTTAGATTTATATCAGAATAGATAAATGAGAAAGGAATATTTATCTGATACGAAAACAGGGCTGCTTTTTCCATTTATGAACCATTGAAAGACTTGGAAGACTTTTATAATTCATGCGTGAATAGTTGAATTCTTCACTTAAAAAAGAATCTTACTTCTTTTAGAAAAGAGAGGTAAATGCAGCCAGCATTAAGCCAAAGATAACTACCAAACTAAGAAAAATGAAGAGAAAGGCCATGGAAAACATTAGTAAACGTAGAATAAACAATGAAAGAAGACAATGGAATTCTTATTCAACTGTTCAACATTTCAGTTGAAGACTAAAGCCAAAGGGCACAAAGCATGCCACAGCTTAGTCTTCTTGAGAAATCATTATAAATTTCATAAAGAAAAAACTCATCAATAAAGAACAAAAAAGTGGTGTGGATTTTGCTTGTCTTTTAGGCAAATTAAATTCCAATATTTGCTTCAATGGGGCTGCTTTGCCATGATTGAGATTGTCTGAAACTTGTAAGCAACGTCCTCAAATAGTGGGTTCTTTTTCTTTTTGTCTTTTTAATTATACTGATGATCATAACCATTCATCAGGTTGACATAATTTCATCTTTTATATTTTATGACATACATCAGACACAATCAGCAGCGACGGAGCTAAGATTTATGGTCAGTGAAGATAAATATTTAAGTTAATTTAAAATTTTTTCATTGAAGTATAAATTAATTTTAAAAAATTACAAATAAAATTAGCATGTATAATATTTTTTGTATATAAAAACAAAATTTTGCAATAGGAATAATATTTGCATAATTAATTATATAATTTTGACGAATATAATCTAAATACTATTTAGATAAATCATCTTTCACAATAGATACACACACATATATTAATTTAATAAAATTTTACTTACAAAATTCTTAAAGATAGATATAATATGTAAAAGAATGAAATAAAAATTAACGTATCTAATTTTATTATTTACTTTTAATGTATTAGTTTTATCATTTTCTTTTAATAAATAAATAAATAAATTTGTAAAAGAATGAAATAAAAATTAACATATCTAATTTTATTATTTACTTTTAATGTATTGGTTTTATCATTTTCTTTTAATAAATAAATATATTTGATTTTTTATTCATTATAATTTGGAAAATAAAAAATGATTCTTTTCTTTCAAACAATGAAAAGAAGAATGAAGACATAAATCTATATTAGTTAAAGATGATTATTTATTTTTATTTTTATTACTTTATATTTTTATATGTTATTTTTTGGTGTTAAAAAGTAGTTAAAATATTTAAATAGTGCAAGCTCCAAGTCTCATTATCCTTATAACATTACCTTATATCAATATAAACAAATTATTAGGAGAAATTAAAAGTTTAACAATTTCAAACCCTCTAAAAGTAATTTAGTTCATTTTTACAAACTTGAAAATATATAAATATAAATATATATTATAATAAAATTGCTTAGCACTTAAACTGTCAATGTTCAATTACTAGATAAATAATAAAAATTTTCTTGTATTAACCTTAATTTAGGGGGTGGGGGGCAAATATGTTCACAACAATTTTCAATGGGGCAAAATTTTGAATTTTCAAAACATTTGAGATTTTTTATAATAAACCCAAAAGAAAGTTAGGAACTCAGTGGGGAGCAATTGCCCCACATGCTTCTATGTAGATCCGTCCCTGACAACCAGAAATTCCATGCCTTTATGCAATTTAAATTGAGCTACTTTGCCATCATTACCTCAAAAATATAGGCACTCTTAGAAATATTCTGTCTCTTCCTGTTTTTATAATGTTGTAGATCAGCTTAAGAATTCATCAGGCTGACATAATTAATGACACCAGTTTAATCCTTATGAGACCCACAGAAAAAAGAAACCCAAAATGGAAAAAACAAAAGAAAAAAATCTTGAGGCTGAGCACTTTGGTTTTAAATGGATGTTAATGCAACAGGAAAAAGGACCACATATTTTGTAGTATATCTTTATGGATTTCTCTAGCCTTGAAAGATCTTCTGCTGCTCACCAAAGTGGTACAAGTATACAGCCACCTAGCAAATGATTTTTGCCATTTATCGTGATTGGGATGAAGTTTTCCAATTGAACAAATAATAAAATCTTGAGTTTTTCTTTTTCAAAAAAAAAAATCTTGGATTTTTTTTTTTGTACACCGAAACTCTCTCATTATCTATAGGCCATATGGCATTGGCAAAGCTCCACTAGTGTTTTCTTTATTGCCCATGTAGCTGCAACTGAAGGATAACATGCAGAATCCCACTTTCTAATGGAGAATCAAATTTAGTACCCAATAATTGTTTTTCGCTTTTTTTTTTTTTTAAATCTATTCTTCGGCTACTTTGTTTCCTCTTTCTGTGCAAACAGCCTATAGATTTTTAAGTACTGAGGTGTATATTTTCTTTCTTCCTTGTTATGTAGCAACATGGGTTTCTCATATGACTTCCAATTTTGTGTAGTTTCTGCCCTACTTTCACTTCCATTTTAAGAGAAGTTCAATGTGAAAAAAACAAAGTAGTTACAGGCTTGAACTGGCAGGCCACAAGGTTAGGTTTGATGCTCCCTTGGTTAAGTAACTAGTTATTGCCCTCTTGGGTCTTGGCTGATTTTCAGAAAACAAACAAGTGTCTGCCCTGAGGCTCCTTTTTTTTTTTTTTCTTTATTTGTTTCTACCATGAAATTTCCAAAAGAGGGTTTTCATTTTTCTACTCCCACTAGTTATAGAATTACCTCATAATTCTTTGGCAAAGCATGCGTGTTGACAACATCACTCACCACTAAGCAAACTTTTTCTCCATACTCTTCATTTTCCATAATTCGTAATCTTATCCCAAGTTGGTCTCAATCATTTTCATTCATTCCCTCCACCGAAAGGACCATATTTTCTGTAAGACTTAACAATTCTACCATTAAAATCCTATCACCCGGGCTCTTACTGGAGGCTGAAATTAAAGTTACAACCTACTGGAACAAGCTAACGGCGCACTTATTTGATTAGCTGGACCACCACTCGCCTCAGACCGGCAACTAGGGAGACGGATTAACTTGCATCAATCGGTTAGATTACCACAAATGGAGTTTATGGATGGAGATTGACAGGGACGCTAAACATGGAAGTTGGCTCAAACAGTAATAACCTGTATATATTTATTTGACTTGAGATACAAACCTTCGAGTACAAGTTACCTACGAATCCCTTTGGGGACTATGAAATAGTAGTCTTCGAAAAGAAGTGATAAGAATTTACTTCCTAAGAGTTTGGTAGATATGAATGAATGTACGAGTTTATGACATTTACAAGGTGTATGTATGAAATTCATGCCCTATTGTTTCGTCCAACTTTGGTTTCTACGCTTCAATTCTCCTGAAGCTTGCAATGAACTCGTATGAAAGGCTAGTTCATGGTTTGTCAATACAGATCTCTCGACATTAATTTTCAAGCAAGAGATGAGTTCAAGCTCTTGCAATTTGGCCAGCAGTAGAATGTTAGCAGATAAGTTCAAGTACTAATGAAAATAGCAGTTTGCAAATTGCAAAAGAGCATGATGAAAATAAGACAGAAAGAGCAAAATGGCGCTTTCATGCTTTACCGACCTCGTGGGAGAGATTGAACACGCATGTTGTTGATGAAACCGCTGCAAGGAAATAGTCAATGTTGCGTATATGAAGTCAACGAAAGCCCCACCGGTGGAGCACAATGGTCACACACTTTTGGTTTTAGCGGTCCTACGGGATCCAAGTAGATTTTATGCTGCAAAAATGCGGTCTGGTCATAATCCACTTACTGTCTAAATGCAGAGAACACAGTTCTATTATGGACTTTTTAACCCCAAACTCAATGAGTCGACTCATGATAAAATGCAATGACACTCAAAGAAAGTAACTATCATGTTGCGATACCAAAAAAAGGGGAAGAGCAAGTTGCCTATGCACGTCCTATTGTTGATTATTCTGCATTGCTTTTCTCCTACTTTACCTAGTCGGGCCTGCTTCATTCACCTCAAAAGAACTCTTTTGAGTCAAAATTTTTAAGTTGTAAAAATGGAATGATTGAGGGCCGATGACTTTCAAGTCCAGCTTACACACCAGCCAAATCAACAAATGGGGCCCAGAAAAAAGAGAAGGCATTTGTGTAATATCTTGTGTGTTTTAAGGGCATTTCCATAAATGAATTGCTTAAATACATCACCTTTGCACTTCAAACATCCTCCATTCAGAAACTCAACTTTCATATTCAGTTTTCTATTGTAAGCAGCTACAAACAAAGCCATGGGAAATTGCTTAGTTTTGGAAGAGAAGGTAATCAGAGTTATGAAAACTGATGGAAAAATCCTTGAATATCAAGCACCCACCAAAGTTCAACAAGTGTTATCAGACTTCTCTGGTCATGCTCTGTCTGATTCTTTTTCAGGCTCCCACCATCTTCAGCCAGATGCAAAGCTGCTTCCTGGGCAGTTATATTACCTTATTCCTGTTCCATCACCATCCCAAAAGAATAAGAAAAAGAAGGTGAGGTTTTCAAATCTAGAGGTGAATGATGAGCAAGGAAGTCCTGGTGTCATAAGAATTAAGTTGATAATCAGTAAGCAAGAATTGCAAGAACTGCTTCAAAAAGGAGTTTCAGTTCAGGATATGGTCTCTCAGATACAAAGTAAACAAAGCACAAATGGAATTGACACATCTGATACCGACGATAACTGCAGAGGGTGGAAGCCTGTATTGGAAAGCATAGCTGAAGTAAACTAGGAAAGCATATCATGTACTAAACAATCTCACTCTTAGCTAGAATTATCTTACAGACAACGTAGATATATATGAAATATACTGCAACAATATGCTTGTCACCAAATGTCTGCTAGCATATAAAAGTATACCTGCTCTTGAATCCATGTCCTTGTGAATATTCATTATTTTTGTCATGTTTTGTCATCATTTAAATGGCACCCAGTTAAACGAATTAAGAAAGGATATCGATCACTCTAGCACATGCTAAGTCAATAAATTAATAAGTGAAGCTTGTAACTTGCCGTAATACAACAGTAATGACGATAAAAGCCTTTGTTTCCACTTTCCCGCCAACAAAATGCACAAATCTTTATTACCAGGTATCAAACTCAAGAGCTAGCACTTCGGATGCCTCAAAGGCATGGTACATGCTGTTTTTTAGCAAATGACTCATTGGTAAAAGTCCCAACAACCATTCACCTAACAACAAATAAGTCTCAAATCTCAGCACCCTTTTACGTTAGAATAGAATCAAGTTTCATCAATGGAGAGAAGTTAGCATATTTCGCCTCATTGTAAAGAAATTGAAATTAATATGTGCCACAAAAGATGTGATGGGATGATGCATCTAAGCCACTTGAAGCTTATTTCTCACCTGCCAAGTCACTAAAGAGAACTTCTCTAATAGCCATCTCACCGTAAAAGATGTTTGAAAAGGAAACAGGAATGAAAGCAACTTATGCATCCTTTAGAGCCAAACCTATGCTATAACCCAATCCTGAATCATACTAAAAACAATCCTTTGCATTGGTAATTATTAGGGTTATGTTGGTGCGTTTACTGCTCCACCATGATGGTATAGGTGCTATTGCTCATAATTAGTGGACAATTCTTCAATAAACTATTACGACAAGTCAACTTGACTCAGTAAAAAATTTCATTAAATATATATATATATATATATTGTACATGAGAGGCCATGACCTAGAATCGAGAAAATATAAGCTAAATATAAAAAAATAAATTATAAATGTAAAATTTATTAAATATTATCTCTTAAAAATGATTACATGAATTAATCGAATTAAATTTTATATTCAATTTCATTATATATAAGGTGTGGCCTGTAGAAAAAGCTTAAGCAAGTTTTTCTTTGGTGTCTCAGGCATGAATCATGATAATCTGACAATGGTAATACAAAGTCGGTAATCTATTTCCAACACCGATCAAGCTTTGATCAATTTGCTTTTAGGAAAAGCATCCAAAATTTTGCCTTTGAAAATAAGCTTAAAGAATATAAGCCATATATCTTATTCAGGCCAGTACTATATGATGGAAAACAATATAGTGAGATGGGAAATAAGAGAAAACAAGGTAAAATGCACTTCTTTTAATGTGTTCCGTGTCATTGCCACTCTCTGGTAGTTTCATAGATAGAATCATTTCAACTGATCATCATCATTGTTTTTGGAACAAAAAATTTAAACATTTTATAAATGAAAGTTAAGATTAAAATACTTGTAAACTAGGTCAAATATTTGTACAGAGAAATCAACACAGATAAATTAATAGATTTAAACCCTCGTGACAACAAATTAACATAACCCTATGTCTTCATCCAAAGTATGTCAACACACAGAAAAAAAAAAAAAAAAAACTCCAATCACCTGTCTTATTTACCTCATTTATTGGACCATATCACCTAGTCTTGTCATATATATATAGCATTTTTTAAACATGCTGAGCCAAAACTTTTTGTATAGTACCTTATCACTTAGACTTGGGTCTTTCCTCGTTCAAGGGATAACATTGGACAATAATGGAGATGAAAGGGGAAAAAGTATATGTGAAATTTCTTAATCAGCACTACAAGAATAGTAGTAATATTATAGGATTCAAAGTACTGATGATGGTTATTTTCTGTTTCACATTTTCATGGTAGGTATAATACTTAAGAGCCCAAAGACAAGAATCTTGATCTTCCACCTCAAGATGGTGTTCAGATCTTGAAATTTCCCACTACGAGGCCTGGTGGTTGACTGGAAAGCTGCAGTTAAGGTGCAGACTCGGTCTCCAACTAAAATGTTTAATGCTCTAATTGGTATATATGAATAAAATATATTATTACACTACCACAAACACTATCAAATTTCATTGGGGGAGTGCTACATAGTCCAATTAATTTGATTTGCACCTGTTAGTTTAATGTGTTAGCTCCCTCTTATTCATCTTTTTCACAGAAAAAGAAGGGGGAGAAAATGAAGTTCCCTGAACCTTCTTGACTAAGAAAAAAAAGGGCAGTGACAGAGCTGTTCATAAGAATGATGACTTCATGGTAAGCTTTTAAATATAGTGGCCAACAATGCATCTAAGACTTCCATTTTGTTAAATGAAACATAAACAAGAAATGAAAATTCAAAAAGAAAAAAAAGATAGCAGCCCCTTTGAAATAGAACTTGTAATTTTAAATAAGATATGAAAAAAATACAAAAATTACATAATTTAAAGTTTTAACAAAAATGGTGCATGAGTTTGATAAAAATAAAAAATTTTATATTTAATATGTCAATATAAATTATTATACAATAATTTTTATATTTTACACAAAATAAATATGATACGAGTATATAAATTATTTAAATTTACTTTCAAATTATCAATTATTTATTCTTGTACTAATTTCCTAGGAATTGGAATTTGGAAAACTTAAATGTTTTTCAATTATTAGCTTTCATTGTTTTTAGAAAAGAAATTGTAATGTACTGTGATACATATGAACGACGGCCAAATCCAAACAAAAACTAAATAGGAACCATCAACTTAGTTTGCTAGTCTCCCACTACTATATACACAGAGGTTGTGACTTGTGATGTCAGATAGTACATGATGCCACCTGATCAGGGAAATATTAAACATTGAACAAGTGGTTTAACTGAGTTTACAGGGAAAACATTGTATCTACAGGAAGCAGCTCCCTCGGGGCTGTAGAATCCAATCCAGATTCCAGAGCTTTTCTTCCAGCGCAATCTCATTACTTTGGGTAAATGGAAGTGTAAATGGTGGATTGTATTTGTACTGCTACCACAAAAGTTGAGAACAAACCTGAAAAGGCAACAACTGCAACAACTTTTCTTGGCACCTCTCTGATCCTCACAGAAGGATCTTTAGCCAATGGCAGATCGGAACCATAGTTTGTTGGCATGACAAAAGACATTCTCCACTTATCTTGATCTTCCACCTAGATCATAAGTAGCCAAATAAATAAGAACCGATTTAAAGAACAGTTGTATAAAAGGACATAAAATACTTAGAATTTACATATCCAACCCCTGATAATGCAGTGCATGCAATACAAATCCAAGTAACTATGCATCAAATCTGAAAACACCAACAAAGAAAGGCGACTAAAGCCATCAGTATCTGTTTGTAATCTCATATCAACTGAATGATTCATGATTCCATACATGGAATCAAGGATCTTCTTCGAGTTACCTGAACAACCCAGAATAAGAGAATAGGACTTCAAGTGGAATTAGCATTTTCTCTCTTTTGTAAATTTTCAGTTGCATACATGCAATAAAAAAGTACAAATAATAAAATTGAGTTATTTACAACATTTTCCAGAAAGTGCATACACTGAACTTACCTTCTTTGTTAACACAGGTCATGTTGTCATAAAAGAAAAAAGTTTGTCAAAGAACTGTTCGATTTGTTGTCAATGAACAATTCGCCATATCATCAAAAGTTTCAAAGTACCTGCCATTTACGTCGTTGAGAGACAGGAAGCTTGAGAAACGAGAGCGAAAACGAGGGAGATTCGAGCTTCCAAGGCAGATATGGTTTGTCTCTGCGACGGAGCCAAAGTGGCTGTTGAAGTCATTGTTGCTGTTCTCTCTGTCGTGGCCATGGTTCGGTTGATATTAGGGCTTTGGGTTGAAAAAATGACTAGGGTTTTGGGAAGAGATTGAGTAGCCATTGAAGGCTTGAAAAGAAGGATTTGCTTTCTTTTTTTCTTAGGTCAAGCATCTACGTCCATTGTCCAAGCGGAAAATTACAAATTTTTGTTGTATTTTATAACTTGAGAGTTGAGACTCATATTTGAATAGTTCTTTCTCTTTCAGTAACAGCTTATCGACATTCCAATAAATTCTTTCCATGCATACAGGGATGAAGTTTTCCTTTCATTCAACATAGAAACAAAGAGTCAGACCCATGAAATCAAATCTGAGAAAAAAGAGGCTCTTTTGTTTGTGCAAGTGCAATGCATTATAACTTAAGTCTCGTTTCAAAATTGTGGGGAAATATTCCTTGGCCAAGCTTCCCTGATAAACTTCTATAATACAAAACAGGTAGATCATCCTCCACGCCAAGAAGGTGATGGTCTAGGGATAGCGACCCCCCAAGTCGGGCAGTTCCCTGAAGAAGGGCTCAAGCCTGGCGCTAGAAGTGTGGTTTATGCCCCTCCTGTTATTGTCATGCCAAGCAATAACATCATCGAAAGCTAAGTTACCCCCAAAAATATCCAAGGCACTTCCCACAGTAACATCTACATGTCCCTTCCCCGCTGCTTTGATCGTCTCTAAATCATCCATTACTGTGACGCCACCAGCATAAGTGACAGGAATCTACAAAACAAAGACCATAATATGTGAACAAAATTTGAGGGAAATCTACAAGAGTCCCTTGGCATTTTATGATCACAAGATAGCAATGAGGAAGAGCAAAATGAACTGAGAGACAAAAAAAGGGACTGAAACACCATCAAGGAGGCAAATGCATGTGCTAACCGGAGAGTGCTCGCCCAGTAATGCCACAAGATCTTTTTCTATTCCCAGCCTGTAATAAATAAATCATTGGAGGTTATAATACATGGGGAGATACAACTTTTTACCCTCTCATGAAGCTAATGACTATTGCATCACTTCACACCCTCCATCATTCCATAAAGTGAAGTGTTCATTTGGGGCAGGGGCATGATTGGGAATTAAATGTGAAATTCTAATCAACTACCTGTTACAAACTCCCCACCTTGGAACATTCAAAAAACAATATAGTGATTGATCCATATGGTACAATGGGCACTTCAGAACTGTTGTAAGCAAACCAGTCATTTAAGCATGTATAAAGCAAAATGATTGACAGTACTTTTTGAGTGCCATTTTACAAGTATATCCTAAATCAGATAATAAGCTTCAATGAGTCAATAGCCTCCAAACTTCAGTCAGGCACATAAATAAGATATTAAATAACTTAGCCTTAGATTAGTTCTAGCTTCATCACATTATTTTAGATTCCCATTAGTCATACATTACTAATGTGTAGTAGTATGAACTATTTATAGTAACAAACTACAAGCAGGAGTCCTGCAACTGGTACAAAAGCACACCATCACACAGTTCTATAAAGTAACATGGCAACCTCTGCAGGATGCATTTCACTGAAATACAGGAGAGCAAGCACAATGCAAGCAATTAATCATGGCATATGAGGTTACAAAACAGCTAGTTTGCCTTTTCGCATTTCTAGTATACTATGCATTCGATAAAACCAAACAAACAAGCCAAAACTTGTGCTTTTCCCAAAGAAATGGATTCACCATGTTTTTGAGCAAGAATCACCATTGCAATAGGGCACAAATTGATTTCACTGGGAATAATCTATATGGAACTTTTCAATGCAGTAATAAATAGCAATTTAGGAGAAGATAATCGGAGGGAAATAGACAAAGGCTAGGCTAGCAGAAAGGATCGAGTCCACAGGTTCCAACAACATTAATACTGAAGATTATTAAGATGGTCAAGAGATTCAAAGCAGCAAGAACATGATATCACTAATAAAACAGCACAATCACTTAATTCAGATAAATATACTGACCACTGACAACAAAAATTCAAATCCAGATCAAATCACTGAAAAGTCATAATTCAATTGACTGTTATGATTTCAAAGAGCAACCAGATGAAAACTACATGAGCAAATGAAATAGAAATAAGTGCAATTTGCATAGTGTAACAAATGATACACTTAGGACTTACTTTTTCCCTTCAACATCCACGCCATGAACCAAAAATTCATCTGTATAATTGGCAAGAAAATGCAACACTTCCTCATCAAGATCGACATCACTGAACTTTTGCCATCTGTCAGTGACAATGGCATATTTGTCTTCCTGCAATAAAAATCAGCATCTTATGATTTAAACAACTGCCAAAATTAAGCATTCCATCAACTCATTAGATGACACTCCGAGGGAGGGAGTAAAATTGGGAATTCAGAAGTCTGGACATGTAGAATGCTCCAGGCAATACCCCTATTCAAAAGAGATTTCTTCTAGCATTCAGGGTGCAGAAGGCAGTTCCTACCTTCTTTCTGCAGCTAAGGTCCAAGACAAGTCTCCGCTTCCCAACAATATTGACAAGACCTTTCAGCCTTTGAAGGTCCATTTGCCTGTTGTTAAATACATACTGTAACAAATCCAAGAAGAAAATGTACATGAGATTCGATGAATATTTTTTTGCAAAGTGAACCCTCCACATGTCATGACAACTAAAAATGATACAGAATGTCAAAATTGAAAACATACTGAAGTAACAATGACATGGCTGGCTCCTTCCTCGATGTAGCTCAAACAATTGTCTAAATTGATCCCACCTCCAACTTGCAAGCCACCCAGATTTTCCAGTCCTCACAATCAGTTCAGCAGAGGAAATGTCTGTAAGTATTAAACATATTATCAAAGATAGAGAACAAGGATGACATAGCCACTCTCAAGAAACTTCATTTGAAATGTCAGTATAAACAGTAGAAGTTGGCATCATGACTTGAGACTGTGGATGTACACATTAAACCGGAATTCATATCTTTCCTTCAAAGCTTTCATAATCATATCAAGTACTTTTCTCCAAGTTTAGAAAGAAAATCAAAGCAGCACAAAGGTATAACAACATTGGAACCCAGAGATAAATTTTTAACAGCTTGTGAAAGGCTTCCAATTCAACATAAATATACAACACTAGCACCAAACTAGTTTGCAGTGATAATCTAAGAATAGCAGAATTACTACCAGAATAATCTGAAACTCAACATTTAAAAGTCCCATTTACCTAAGAATAAAAGCCTGGCAATTACAAATGAAAACAATGTTCCAACAACTTACTATTGACAATTGACTCTGACTACTCCACTGCATTTAGCAGAGCATCGATCCTTAAATCAATAATTTGACTCTGTTTCACAAGAATATTATATATTAATAATATTAGGATGTGTCCCAATTGCAAGAAAGCAGAAAATTAGCCCATCTTAAGGACAAAAAGTTTTGGCAGCCATCACAAAAAATAACATGATAAACAATAAAGCCAAAGAATAGGAATAAACAGACCATGAAATATGAAACTAAAACATTGGCTTTTACCAGGATAGGCACGCAATGGCTCAATGGCAGCTGGTTTGCTTAGAGGATCAGCTGCAAGCATGATTACATGACCACCCTTTAGCCCATCTTTTTTGTACAATTTCGCATATTCAGCTGCTGACAAATCCAATTCAAAATTGGTTACAAGGGTTGATCCATCCTCCTTTGAATCTCTAAGAGTTGATCCAACAATTCGTTTCACTTTCCCCTGATGTTAAATCATACTTTAAGTGTCAGGAACTAAAGCAAAAATGCCAAAGCCAATCTACACAAGCACCAATGCATAAAGGAGGAAATCCTTTCTCATCCCATAACGCAAGGAATGAGAACAAAAAAAATAATAAAAACACGAAAAAAGCAGTCTATTTCGAAAGAAAAGCTACATTAGGCACCTTTAATGATACTACAAAGCCAAAGAATGAATCTTTGTCTCAGCATTTAATCAACCAACTTAAAGTTCTACAGAGTTGGACACTATTAATCTATAGAAATTACATACCAAAAAAGTCATAAAAAATTGTGAGCTTTCTGAAACCGAAATAAACCAAGAACAAAAAAAAAAAAAATCATTTGCATTAAATTACCTTCCGTATATCAATGCAAGGTCGGAAACTAACAGCACAACGAACAGAGAAATGACAAGATCCTGCAAGAAGAAAATTTTTAGAGGAAAAGAGTGAGATCTAAGAAACCCAACAAGGAAAAAATAAAAGTGGAAATGCTAGAAAAAGTCGACGAATTCTGAAACTTAGTGAAGGGGTGGCTCTGGCAAATGGGTACCTGGGAAAACCATAAAAGGAGGACTTGAAATTCCTGTCATTGGAAGTGCTAATAAGCTCCAAGATTGAAGAACTCCCGTGGAGGCTGCAAGTTCCCATACGGTCTAGGAGGAAAAGAAGAAGAAGTTGATATGCAGTAGTGGCATGTTATATAGCAGGCTCCTTCCAATCCTGTTGGGCAGGGTTAACTTGAGAATCCTGTTAAGGTTGACAGTAAAGCATAGGCCGCAAAAAGTTGTGGGTAGGTTCCTTCCAAAACTTACCCGGAATCGAAACAATAAAAAGGCAATGACAGTTCCTTTGCCATTCACTGTAGCCTCTCTCCTATTCGTTATTTTCTTATTTGCATATTGACCGGTTTTCTATTCTTACAATAACGAAGAATGGCTATGAAGAAGAAGAACCTCCTTAAACCTCTCCAAAACCCTCAACCAAAATGCCCACAACCATTGCCCCCACTTTCTCCACTCTTGGACTCACCCCAAACACCAACACCTTTCCTTTCTCTCTTCCCCACAATGCCCCAACCCCAACCCCATCACCAAACCCAACTCTTTTCCTTCCTCAAAACTCACCTGTCCCACCACCCCTTAACCCCCAAACCCCTCGTTCACTTCGCTTTAGTTTGGATTCTACCGTAGGTATAATGCGGTGCGATTGAGTTCACCGCGTATGAGTTGAATTTAAATGTCACCTCCACTAAAATTCATTAAACATAAAATTTTCATTGAATTTTTTTTTCAATTACACTTATAGTAATTTTTAATCGAAATTACAGTAATTTTCATTATTATTTTTAATCTTACTGGAGTTAAATCTCACGAGCCTTACTCAAAACTTAGCTCCACCGTCGCCCCATTTTCACCCGCTATGACTTCCTAGTTTTCTCTTGGTCTTCCACTGTTGACTCTTTCCGCCATGATCACTCAACTTTGCTATGGATGGCTCACTCCTTGGCTTCTTCTCACCGTTTCTCTCTGCTTCATTCTCTTCTTAGTTTTATAGCGGCCAATCCTTTGCCCTTGCTCTCCTGGTAATTCTCTTGCCCTCAACTGGAACCCCCTTTTCGTTTCATCATTGATGCATTTTGTAGAGCTAGGAAGTTGAATGATGTTGTTTTTGCTTTTGAAACCATGAAGAAATTGATTGATGGAAAACCTAGTGTTGTTATTGCTACCAAACTTGCTTCCAAACAAATGCAACTTTGTTCAGCTCTAGACATGGTTGATAGTTTTCTTTTCAATCTGCTCTTTTCCCATGCTTACAGGTTTTGGGGAGAGGAAGACACTAACATCAGAGCTCCATTTTACATCTTTAAACACTTTTTTTAATCATTTTATTTTTGGATAAAATTTGAAAGCTGGTTCATCCACCTTTTTAAAAAGTGAATTACAATTAAGTTTGATCAATCCCCTTGCAATTTTTTTTTCAAACCCTTAACTTGTGGCCTTCTTACTTTTAAACTGCAATGTCCTTTATATATGTATAAAATAACACACTTCCTTGATCAGGAAATAGCATTTAATATTTGTCAGTCTAATATTCTTGTTTCTATTTTCCTTTTACTCTAAATTTAACAACAACAACCTTATATCCCATAATTTTAAAATCAACTGTATGAAAAAACAAAAAAATCATACTAAGTGATAGATTAAATTTTTTTTCATTCATTTTTATCAAAAAGATTTTTTCCTTTTTTATTTTTTGGTTTTTATTTTTTAACTTTAAACATTTTGATCCCTTCTAAATTTGTTTCTTGATGGAGTATATTTAACTGTAAAAAAAATAAAGAAACCAAATAAAAAAATTAAAAGCTAAATAAATTTAAAAAAAAGGAAAAAAAAATTGAATTAATGTTCAGACAGACGGTCAATCTAAAAATATCAAGAAGGGTAATAAAGTAAATCCATGAACATAATCCCCCCCGCTTTCTAACTCTCTCTCTCTCTCCTCTCCTCAGCCAAGCTTACCACTTTTCCTCGATGGCCTGAGCTTAAAACAAAAAATCTAGAAGTTCTTCCAAAAAAGAAATAAAATTTGAAATTAAAAAAAAATGGCCTCAATCTCTACTTGCCTCATTCTATCTCCCAAGTCCCACCTCCTCACTTCAAAACCCTCAGTTTCTGTCAATTTTTTTCCCGGAATCCAAACAATAACTTCTTCGTCAACGTTTCCGAGAAAATCCGGGTATTTTTTAGGGCCTAGGGTTTCATTTCCGGTCATTAAGGCAAGTGCTGATGTCGGAAGCAACACGATTAGGCCTGGAGGTGTGGTGGAGACGGACAAGTTACCTTCCGATGTGAGAAAACGAGCAATGGAGGCCGTTGATGCGTTTGGTGGGAGGGTTACCATTGGGGATGTTTCGAGTAAAGCTGGTCTTAACTTGAATCAAGCTCAAAAGGCTCTTCAAGCACTCGCTTCTGATACTAATGGCTTCTTGGAGGTACTTTGTTTTTTAATTTTCGAATTCATTTCAGTTCCAAAAGTTTTATCATGTTAGGGTTAATGTTGGGAGGAATTGCTATTTGAACTGAAATGCCAAATTAGATTGTAAATTAAACAACTTCATCTGAGTTTAACGTACCTTGCGCGTATAAAAAAAAAGTTGCCTTTTGTGTTTGATTGATGCAGAAATAGAATTTAGATGTGGTCTGGAAGTGATATCGAATACAATAAATGTGTTGATGTATTTGAATTGCTATACTTGTATGCTGCTTGTTGTTGGCTATGATTAGAACATAAAAAAGGGTTAATTGCATTTTCATTTACTAGTTGAATTAACAGATACCATAATGAAATACGTGGCTTAGTTGGACTTCTAAATGTTAATTTCCAGAACTCTAGCTGCCATACTTTTCTCTTTTTTCTGGATAAGATGATACTGTCCATCATCATATTGGATTTTTTTCTTTTTTCTCTTTGTGGAAGCAAACTAGAGCCAGCCGGTATCATTGACTTATTCCCTAGGTGAGCCTTTGCTGATCTTTGTATGAGAATTACGGAGTTGTTTCTTGGGACTTCCTCTAGTATTATAACCTCTATTCCTGGGATCTTTGAAGTTCTTGATTTGTGAGTACCATTGTTTTCAAGATGGGTTTAACAGGTCTCGGATGAAGGTGATGTCCTTTATGTCTTTCAGAAGGATTATCGAGCAAAACTTGCTGCCAAGTCATTTAGGATAAAATTTGAACCTTGGGTTGATAAAGTAAAGGTAAACATTCGTTACATTATTTTCCCTTTTTGTTGAGGTTAAGGAGAAAAACGCTGGATGTTAAACAATATGGACAATAATCTAGTCTTTTCCTTGGTTGGCAGGCTGCACTTGAATATTTAGTAAGAGTTTCCTTTGGGACAGCACTTATAGCTTCAATTGTTCTTGTTTATACAACAATTATTGCCCTAATCACAAGTAGAAGGTGTCCACTAAACTTGACAATTTGAAACTATTATAATAACATTATTCTAGAGCTGCAGTTGTTGAGAGCAAGATTTGACAATGTGATCTGGTGACAGTGAAGAAGACAATCGGGGAAGACGAGGAGGCAGGTCATATGACACAGGATTCACCTTCTACTTCAGTCCAACTGATTTATTTTGGTAATACTTTTTAGATTGTTACGAATTCTAGCAGTGATAGAAATGTAACGGGGTGTTAATTACAGTTGTGAATTCTCAATGATCTGGCCAACTAGAGGATGTTGATAGATAACATTAAAAGCCAGATAAACATAGGTTTTAAAGTAACTTTGTTTTCTAAAATTGTACTACAATTAATAAATCAGTATCTATTGTGGTAAGTAATTTTGTTATCCATGTTTGGGAGCATAAAATAAGTTTATTTTTTTGGATAAATGAGAATGAACCATCAGATCAACATGTTTTATGCTATAACCATAATGTTAAAACGTATTGCCTCTATAATTTATATCCCTTTCATAAGTTCAAACACTTAAATAACCTCCTTCTCTGGTTTAATTTTATTTAAGGTACTGGGATCCGTATTATTATAGGAGGCGACGGCTACGAAGTGATGATGATGAGAAAATGAACTTTATTGAATCTGTAAGATATGAAAATAAAATTTATGGATCATTTATGGTGTTGCTCAGTTGTTTTGTGCTTCAGGGAAAGAAAGTTAAGTTTATTTGTGACTTTTTTAGGTTTTCTCCTTTGTTTTTGGGGATGGTGATCCAAATCAAGGAATTGAAGAAGAAAGGTGGAAGTTGGTAATACTCGAGCACTAGCTTCACTGGTCAATGCTTACAATGTTTTATTTCAAATTACTGACAGTAGTTATTCAGATTGTTAAGTGTTTTATTTCTTCCTTTACAAAGGTTCACAAAGTTTCACAATTTACTAACCAAAATGTGCAGATTGGACAATACATAGCTTCTAATGGAGGTGTTGTCACAGCCGAAGAACTTGCTCCATATCTTGATTTACCAACCACAAATGGAGCGATGGTATGATTATATATTAATCATAATCTAATCTATCTTGTAATTAGCATGTAATTTGTTTTTATTCCCAGCTCATTGTTTCTCCATCTTATTTCTGCGTTTTATACATAACAGATCATTTAATCAATAGCGTTCTGACCTTTAATCATATATTGATGGTTACTTGCATACTTTGATATCATAAATAATTCACAGTCAAGTAATTCACAAATGATAGGTTTTTCATACACATTCTGTTTAAAAAGCTTCACAATCAGTATTTTGGATTCTGGTTTCTCCTTTTTTCAACAAAATGCTTAAAACTCATTGGAGAATATTCCTAAATCTCCTTGTTGAAAATTGTTAAAATTGTGGCTTGGCTTTTCTTTATTTCAAATTATTTGAGCCTGTCCATCATTCAATCACTATTTAGTTCTTACATTGCATCCATGTTGTTTGTAGCTGTTTTCTCATTAAGCTATTTGACTTTTTTATCTGGTCAATTCTAGAGTGATGAATCATATGTCTTGCCTGTTCTTCTGCGGTTTGATGGTCAGCCAGAAATAGATGAAGAGGTATGTAGAAACAATGTATATGTGCATTACATATAATGTTCATGTGAGTGTGTGTGTGTACTAAGAACAAAGAAGTATTGCATTTATTGTCACCTTAAAATGTAAAATATTTTAAATTTATGAGTTTGACTTAAGGCACTGATGTTTGATCTGTGTCTTTTGAGATCAAGAATTATGTCATCAAATGTTACAATTTTTGGCGGAAAGAGTTCCCACCCTCATGAATTACAAAAACTATTTGTGTAGGGAAATATACTGTACAGATTTCCTTCTCTGCAACGAACAGCTTCTTCTCAAAGGACTGGAAGGAAGGAATATGTAGGAAGAAGATGGAGTGATCGGGTTGGGGGAATCGAGAAATTTTTTAAGGAGAAGCAGTGGCAATTTAGGTTCTTCTCCTCTGTCTCCCTCTCTCTCTATGTTCTATGTTTATTTGGTAAGAATTGTCCTTGTACTTGGAGTTTCTTTTTATTAATAAGCATTTGTTTTGCAGTAAAACAAGTTCATCAGAGAGAGCAATGGTCATTGGTTTGGGTGGGATTAACCTCTTTGGAGTTATCATTCTTGGAGCAATGTTAAAGTACAGCTCTCCCTCAGTATTCCTTTCAATGTGCTTATTTTCTACCTTTCTAATGGCGCTGCTTTTATTCTTGTTTGAAGAGATGCAGCTGTGACACCAAGTGGATTTATTAAATTTGTCATGGATATATTTCCTCTCCTTCAGGTGTGATTTGATGTTTCTCTTTTTAAATAGATGGGTTTTTTGAACCAAAAATTTTAACTATAATGAAAGTATGAGGTCAATATGCATTTTGCATTTTCTCCTTGAATGAAATGTGCACTGTGATGCATAACAAGCCTCTTCTGTCTGTGTACCCGTGTCATGTTCGTGTTGGAGGACATGCCTCTGACACAACAGGTTACATATTCTGACATGACAGGATGCCCAGAATCTCCATAATGTTAAAGACACCACTTTGCTAAATTTCTGTCCATGCATGTGCACCTTGGCTTCTGTCTGTCTTAAGTTTCATGTTCTGATGCCCTGATGTCTGTCCAACATGTTAGTATACCTGTTTATCATCACAGACCTGCAAAATTACTTATGTTGGTTGAAGACTTGAAGTTCAGTCACTACTTGATACTAGATACAGCATATAAAAAGTAAATAGAAGTTTGGAATTGCTCTTTTTTATTTTTTTGGTCTGTGAAAGTGAATAAACTTTTCATGTGTTCTCCTATGATTTGTTTCTCATGCTTGAGGAAATGAAGTATTATTGTCTTGGCTGTGTTTAACCAGTTTGTTTATGGAGCATTCTTTGTTCATTAAAGCTATAGAAGGTTGAAAACTCAAGTTTCTTTTCCCGTGTTTATAATGAAATTTGTTTCAGCTTTGCTTTTTCAAGATTTGTATGAAACATTTGTTTTGCAGATCTATGCTGGTTCTTTCTTTGCAATTCCTTTGTTTCGGTGGTACATCATTCGTAAAAGGAATGCTGATATAGAGAAGAGAAACCAAATAAGAGAACGGTTTGCTCAAGCACTTGAATTGCCCAACCTTTCACTGAGGCGGAAGGTAACCATCTTAGCATCTGTATTTTGATTTTGCATCATGTTTCTAATAATTATAGATATTTTTTATAATTTTCCCTTATGTAGCTTTACCCGGTACTCTCTTCTTTTCCTTAATAGGCAAGTATGCATTTCTAAACATTTTAACATTGTGATGAGAGTTGAAATCATTCTTTATCCATTGTCAAGATACAATTGCTTGTCAATGCAATGATTAATAATGTATTTGCAATTTTTTCCTGATTTATCTTCATTATTAAAAAATCCCAGTGGATCACTAGTTTGCAATTTCTGCATGCTACATTGCATCTCTGTGTGGTTCTCGCCTCCTTGGTCATGAGAAAATAAATGGGAGTTGTGGTCCCTGATACTTTGTGGATAGGCAATGCAGGAATTTTACCTGTTATAGTTTTGCCTGTGTATATTTGAAATCTTATTTTCCTATTAGATTAATTTTAATTAATGATTTTATAATTATATGATGATGTCATTTTATTTTAAAGTCGAATTTCCACTTTTTCATGTACAAGATCATCGTAGGTGAATCTATTCCCATGGAATAATCTCTTTATTTCTTCTCTGGATAAAATGTCAGCTACTGAGTGCTCGAGATATGGCACAAAAAACAGTCATAGGACCAGATCGCGTCGTGTATAGTACTGACAAAGACTTAGTTGAGCAAGACTACGAAGCACGGGAGTGGGATAGAAGATTCCGAGAGATTGAGAAGTCAGAATAAGAAGAGGCTATACGGACTATGGTTACTTGGTAATTTTTCTAAGTTCCCTATGCTAAAACCTAAATGGTTACAACTTAGAAGCAAACCTCTCTCTCTCTCTCTCTATATATATATATATATATACACACACACACACACACACACACACATACATATATATATATACACACACTGTAGGGGAAACCGCTCCTGGCGACAAAAGTTGGTTAAACCTCTGAGCTGCTATTCTTATAGAGCTTCTATTAGATGCATGTATCTTAAGTCTCTAGGGTGTTTCCTTGGTGTCGAGAACATAAAATTTTCCTTTATACTGTTTGCCATTTTTTTTTTTTTTCATATTTATTTATAGCTTTCAGCAGCTCAAATTTGTGCTACTCTTACCAGAGCGTCATTGTATGAAGTGCTTGACAGTACATGGAACCTGTCTCTTGAAACTGTTGATATACCATTGATGGAAGAGGCAATTCTACAAAAGGAAATCAGGAATCTCGCTTCAGTGCTTTATGGAATAGTTATAAGAGGTAGTAATATATAGATTGTTCACTATATTTCCTTGAACTACCTTTAACCTTTTGCTTAGGGATTTCAAAATCTCATTATAGATTTATCAGTAGTTCTGCATTCTGAATTGAAATCCTCTTCTCCATTTGTTTTCATTGTCTTCTTTTTGTTGTTTAAACTGTAAATTATCCGTCCTGTAAACTACTACACAATTTAACACCGTTGAGGCTTCGGAGATCAGTGGATTACTATGCTCTAGGTGTCAAGACAAACATTTTTGGACTTAAATTGTTTACTTTGATATGTAAAAATAAAATTACAGGCACATTGTTATGGTGCTTTCAGTTAAATATTGGCCAGGTTGTCTGTTTATTGTTATATTTATTACTGTTTAATTTGAATTTTGATTGAAGGTTTATGGTAGTTTACAAGGCACACAAGTACAGAATAAATTTCTTAGATTAGTTGTAGTAGAGTACATGGTTTAGCTAGTTTTGCCTACCAAACTAGAAGGAAATTTGTGATAATCAGCTACTCAACTTGCTGTAGGAGCAGGGCAACTAATCTTGCTCAGCAACCCAGTACAGACAGCCACTTTAGCAGTTCAACATGAAACCTTTAAGCACGATCATGATCAGTGATTATATGCTTAATAATCATTACAAGAAACAATCTCTTAAGCAGAGAATATCAACAGGCACAAACAACACAAGTCCTCACAGCCACATAATTAGGGGGCAGAGGGTGAAAGAAAACATTGGTTGTGCCCACTTCGGGCAGCCAACGTTGTTCCTATCAATCTGCAAATGACCATTTTCAAGCGACATGGAAGATCAATATACCTGCATTAAAAAATATCATAGGTTAAAGATTAGTTTCTCTCATGGTGTAACGGTTAACAAATGGGAAATGAAGTCACGATATCCTTAATACTTATATTCAGCGTGCTAAAGACTTCTTTATTGATTTACAGAAAGCATGAACATTTTTTGGGAGCTTAAAATGAAATTTGTAATTTCATGCAGCTTGGCAGGATTATTTCCCTTCAAGGTTAACTCCTTTTACATTTAAGTGTTTTTTTTTTTTTTGCCAGACTTTTAGATTGAAGTTGAACCTTGATTTTTAAAGAACTCCCACAGAGACTACCAATACAGCTTAGCTAACAAAAATTCCATATGTAAGCACTAAAAAATGTTCAAAAATTCTTCTCCCCACTTGATTAATCATAAGAGCAGTTAGATCTCCATACTAGCCAACTACAATCTAAAGGAAACCCTCTATGAACTTTTATTCCCAAATCAACAAATAGAGCTAAATGCTTAAATTAAAAGGAGATATCCTTTTTGCGTCTGCTGTATGACAATTAAGGTTCTTAAAGATAACATCCTTAGAAAACACACTTATGCTTTTGTACTTTGGACTTTATATTTATACACCAGATGACAGGTCGTATAATGTCCGATCCACAGCAGCAAAATATATTTGAGCATCTCAAAGTTGATTGGACAAACAAGCATGAAAAGGGTTTTATAGAAAGAGTGCCTAACAAGTTAAAGATGTAGATGAAATATTTGATAATCTAAAACACATCAAATAAGTAGATCATTTGAATTTAACTCTAAAGGGTAGAGTAAAATAAATATCATGTGCTTACCTAAAAGTGTGAAGGCAAATACTATTGTCAGTATCATTTGTATGGATCGTCGATTAACTTTAGCAAGATATGAAAATCTATCAAATCTGGCATTACCTGCCCCAAGCATCCTTCGCAGCTGCATTACCTTTACAAGAAACCCATGTAATACCCGGAGGACAAGGTCTACAGGTGCTGAACTTGGTCCAATACGCTGACCCTGTGAAAGAGATACAGACCATAAGAGGTCATTGACCAATGGCAACAAGGCTTTGTGGTATCTAGGAATTGATGACGTCTTGCAAGAACCAAGCAACAAGAAAGATTGGCAATTAAAGGCATGTCAAAAACAATAAGGTCAAAACCACAGAGAAGAGCTTTTGAAATTTTGGTTCTTCTTTATAAATTTTATACACTTTTGAGGATAAGAACTCAATTTTGTTCAATGCTAGTATCAGAATCCTGAGCTAACTACTTCACCAGATCTTTGGCTATTGTTTAGCTTAAAAAGACCACCAGCATGCCTTCCAAAGATTAATGTTAAGAAGTATTGAAGCATTAGCACTGGCTAATGAAACATACCTCTGCAGCACGAGAAGCATCAATGTATGATGGGGAATGCCCTTCTTCTCCATCTTTCAATCGCTTTGTATAATTGCTAGGAAACCTTCTCCCATATGCAGTCCATAGATTATTGAAGAATCCAAAGAGATTCATTCTGCTGGAAGTGCCTCTCAACTTATTCTCGTGGAAGAAACTCTTAGGTTTGCCTTCACTAGCTTCTAAATCCCAACTTCCATCTTCGGCATTCCTGTTACGAGAACTCTCTTGGAAATAATCCACTGCATCTAGACCCAATTTTATAGAACAATGTGAACCCACCTTCCTTAAGTTATTGTCCTTCATAGAATCATAATAATGGCTACTATAAGCAACACCATTCATATTCACTTCTTCAATTTCTCCACATTCATTTCCAACAATTCCAGCATCTGTTGAGCAAGATGCTGTGGCTGGATCAAGAAATCTTTTCAAGATGTCACTATCATCCAAATCATAACGGTGATTGTGCTCATTATGATTCCCCCCAGAAAGAAATAACGCCAAACCATCTCTATCTTTTTCATTCAAGTTTCCCCACTCCGAGGTTTTCATGGGATTTCCCATTGCCATTTCCTCCAAGCTTTTCTCAACATTATTTATCTGTTCTCTAATGGCTCTAATAAACTGCTTATGTCTGGAAATCGCATCCTCCCTAGAGTGAGACTGGTCCATCCTAGCTGATGAGCTAACTGCTTTTTCAAAATCTTCCAACTAAGTAAAGCAAACAATAAAATAAGCTAATTAAAGAAACTGGGAAAAGAGTTGCAAAGATGATATGATATAAACTCAAGAATTAAAACATGAATCAATACCTGCCATTTTGCTGTTTCGAGTATGGTTGCAAGATCACGCCTGTGATACCCAATCGAAGTAAGCAGCTTCGGGTCAGAATGATCACCTTGAAAAAGACTTTGTTCGTGGAAAAGAAGACGAAAAATCGATTCCATTCTGAAAATACCAAATAAAAAATCATTAGCTTTGAACTTTCACAAGAATATACCTCAGCACGATAAATCACTCCACGTTGATAAAACAGAAAACCAGGCCAATCTAAAAGCACAGAAAGGACTTTTAAAGTAGCTTTATTTCAATTCAGTAGATACAATGAAGGCAAACTTTGTAAGAAAATCAGAACCAAACTCACTAAACCAACATTCATTTATTAGCTGCCATTATTTAAAAAAAAAAAAAGACAAATCCTGTAGTTCGTTTATTTTAAGGCTAGTTGTACAGAAATTAAAAAGAAAAAACATTTTTTGAGCTGAGAAAAAAGGCGAGCAATAAAACCAGAAACCAATTTCCACAACTAAAAAAATTGAAAAAACTGTTTTTCAAAAGGAGAATCAATAAAAATGAAAACTTTCGAAATGGGTATTTTCCATTTATAGGGAAAAAGGAAAAACCTGTCAGCTGAATCTTGAACAACTTCGGCTGCTGAGAATAGAGGGTCGGATTCCCATTGAAGCAAGCTTGATCCCATTTTCTTTATATAATCATAAAAAATACAAAATAAACGTGATAGAAATTTGAAAACAAAAACTTTCGCTTTCCAAACAAATAGGAACGATCGAGAAAATGAACTCTGAAACGATAATCGACGAAATAAATGAAAAAAAAAAAAAAAGGAAAACCGTATTTTCTTTGAATGAAAATTAAATGAATTTGAAAGTGGAATTTCACTAAAATAGACTTCTTTTCTTTTTTGCTGTGAATTGGGAACTTATTAGGGTTTTAAAGTTGCAACTTGCAAAAAATGATTAATTTCTGTTATTAAACAGTTTTTTGGTTTTAGATTTTACAGGAAAAGTTGATGCGATCAATGAAAGAGAAAAAAGGATGGAAATTATTTTGATCATAAGGTGTTTTTCGTCTTTTTATATAAATATTATTTGCAGCTTCATCAATAATCAGCAATTCTTTTGCTTTCCCCATTTGTTGGGTTTTCTGTTTTTAACTTTTTATTAAAAAATAAATATTGCAATTTACCTCAATTATCTCTAATATTACATAAATTGCTTTTAAAAGATACAGCATAATGGCAAATTTGCACGAACTCAATGAAAACTACAGCTTTAGAAATTCATTTTATCAATGGATCTTGAGTTATGGAAAGCCATCTTGAAGGGAAACAGGTCTCTGTCACACAGCAAATGGCCAAGTTCTTACAATCTTAATCACATGAAGTCGATGGATGTCATGTCTTCATTCAGGCAAAGAACATTTAGGGCTTTAAAAAGAAAAGGCTAATATTAATATTCTTAAGATATTGCTCTTTGGCAGTTTTACGAATTAGATACCCCAAGAGTGTTATATATTTCTAGCAGTTTTTGAATTTTCAAAGCAATGGCAAATCTTTTCACAAATACCCACCAATTTATTAGTTAAATTCAAATTTATTGGAAGATTGTGACAATTAAAAAAAATAATTTTTTACAAATTCTTTAAACCCAAAATAAATAAATTTATTTGAGAAATAATAACATCATTGTTCCTTGAATTTTCTTTTAGAGGGAGGGAAGTTATTGGTCAAGAAAATGCCCTGTTTATCAGGCAAATTTCACTTCAGAGGAAATTTTACAAGTTCATACTGACTTTTGAGCTCATAATTTAGTAGGCGTATCTAACAGAGGTAACTGATGGAGATGAGATTCAGAATCCAATCACCAATCACCAATCATTCTGCAAAGTGCATAAACTATAGATCTTCAATGAATTCAGTAATGAAAGCTAACATTCTTGACTTTAAAGCAAAAGAAAAGGTGTAGCCAAAAAGAAGCTTACTGAAAGCTACTGTTTACCTGAGTCCAAGCATAATAAAGGAAGACTTTCATCAGCAGCCATCTGAAGTAGTTCTGGGAATTTTCTTAGCTTATGAAATGATAAGAGGGGGAAAAAAGAGAAGTGCTTCCAAAAATTCATAAAGGATAAAACAGCAATGTCAGGTTCAGTTAAGGCTAATACAAAAATTAGTAATTTCTTGTGAATTAGACTTCCTTTCAACCCAAGCTCACACTTCAGAACAATATACTGCAATATTCTGCACCACTTTTGTGTTCTTGACATTACTTTCATCAAGTTCTCGAACCAATTTCGTTAAACTTCCAGTACTACTTTCGGTGCAGCAACTGCTAATCCTTACTGGCATAAAAAATCAAGCTTTATAAACCATTTAAGATCTTTCAATAAGTAGAGACGAAGAAAAAATCAAAACAATTATTTTTCAGCTACAAGTTGTTCAGATTATAGAGTATAAGCAACTAGTAAGACCCTCAGCTTTTGCACAAAAAGGAAAAAAAAAACCTCACATCAAATGAGCTGAACAAAAGATTAGCATATAAGACTGTCAAAGTTCCTTCAGTCATAAAACAGAAAGCAATAGTAGAATATTGGAAAATGAAACTAGATCTGTCAGCAGCACTTTTTTGCAGAGGATTCAGACCATTTGGTTACAAGATTTAGTCAAGAATTAAGCTTCATAATTGAAAGGATGAAGGAAGATCCATTTCATAACATTCCAACACAAACCAATGAGGGAAAATCAACAAATAACAATATCACCACTTAAATCCAATCCCACAACTTTTTTCTCTGGAAAGATTGTCCTACATAGAAGGTAAACACTAGATGCATAACTTTGCCCTTAATTACAATATAATTCAACATATAAATCCAACCATGTTAAGGCAAGGAACACTAAAGCTGAAACTTTACAACACATTATAAATCATGTAGAACTAAAATACCATCAAAACATACATGAATGAAGCTTCTTGTATGCATCATCTACTTTGCCCAAAGAAAGGCCTCATTGTAGCTTATCAGGAGGTTGAAAGCCTAACCTAAATGAATGATTTCAGAACATTTGGCTAAAATTACTACGTACTGAGAAGATAAACTATTCTCTAGCTCGTGGTTTGATTAATCTAGCCACAAGATCCTATGTCAAGTTTAATAAAACAGTAACATGTCTAATGATTCCTCCCATCATATGTGCTAAGCACAGTCCAATAACACATCAAAAGCACACAATTCACCAAGAAATCCTGAACCAAATTCCAGAAAAAGTAAATATTCCACAGACAAACACAAGATAAGATATTCAAATAAATATGCCATTGATCTCATCATGAAAAAAAGCATTGAATGTGAACAAAAGGCGAAAGCAAAGCATTACATTCAAGCAAAGTACTTAACCATCTGAATTTCCTTCTGCTTAAAACCACACTTCTCATAAAACACCTTGTTGTCAGCACTGCAATCCAAAATAACCTTGTAACACCCCATCGAACGCGCGTGATCTGCAAGAAACCCCATGATTTTCTTCCCCAACTGCATTCCTCTTGCATTCCCATCAACCACTACATCTTCAATATGCCCAACTTTTCCACAGTTCCTTGTAAACTTCTTCTCAATAAACACATTCCCTGTCGCTATAATCTTACCCGAAAAATCATCTTCGATTACAAAAACAAGATGATCATCACCATACATACTTATCTTCTTGAACCTATCTTCAAATTCTTTGTAAGAAACAGAACCACAAACAGTTAGCTGTTGTAACAGCTCTATAAAGCCTTGCTTTTGTCTGAAAGTTCCAGTTTTCTAACCCGAAAATTTTGTTCTTCTTTTGATGAATTACTGTTCTCCATTTTATTGGTCCAATTCTCTACATTGTGATAAAAAAAAATCTTTTAATTGAATTAATATTCAATACAAATAGGAAAAACAATAATGGGTCTGCAATTCTTACCTGTTAGAGTTTAATGCGTGTAAGGTGCTCGATGAAGCTCCTGCCTAGAATGAATTGCAGTTGATATTTTTATAGTAGTCCTGTGGTTTTCAATAATTATATTTTGATCCATTGAGTTTTCATTAATTGCATTTATACCCTTTTCAAAAGTTATAACCTTTGCAACTTTGAATGAACAAGAAAGAAAGGGCGGCACGTGAGTTTGGGTGGTCTGAGATTGTGTTTGGCACGAGCCTTTTTTACTCATTTGCCCCCAAAGAGAAAAACCCAGAAACATGGAAAAGGTCGAATCTTTAAACCATGGAAGCATGATATGAATTTTTAGTATACAAAAGATAGGAAAATCGAATTTCTCATGTCGAGATCATTGATACAACGCATTTCTCCATTTTTAATAGCTCGAATCAAACAAAACCACAAACTTCTAAGGTCATCTTTTTATTCTTCTTCGTCTTCAGCTCTTCATGAGGCTTCTTCTGAATCCTGTCAATCTCCATCTCCTTCTGTCGATGCTATTCACATAACTGATAATTGCGTCAAGGTAAAACAAAAATTTTTTTTTGCTATGTGGGTAGTCGATGGATCTTTTGTTCTCAATCTTTGTTCTCGATTTCATTTGTATTTTTTACCATTTCTAAGTATTGTTTATGGGATTTTGTTCTTTTTTGGTAGTACTGCTTTCTTGGGTTTTTCCATATTAATTGTTTTGAGTGTGTTCTGTAATTTAATTGGGGGATGGAGATAGGTGGCTCTGCTGTTTCGTTTGGGTGTTGAGAAAGTGCAGGAAAAGATCTAATATTTTGAATTATCTTATTTTCTTTTTAGGTAATATGTAGTTTATGAGAGCATATAGATGTAACTGCTGTAATATTTAATATTTTGGAACACAATAGCTTCATTCAATTTTTTTTTTCTTATTCCTATTTCACTTCCTGCCCCAACCCTCACTCAACCCCAAAAAACTTGCATTTTTTCTTCACTAAAGATTATTGAATGAATTGTGTGAGATTCTGTAATAAAATTGCAAAATCTTGGGTACAATATAGACCCAATAGCTTTTTGTCTATTGCAGTGAAATTTGAATGAATAACCTTGCATATTTTTTTGAATTATGTTTTTAATGGTTTGTGGTAGATAATGCTGCCTAAATGCTTAGAAAATCTACATTTGGTTTTGTGATCATTTTTCTCATTGACAATAGGGATGTTTTGCAGAGAATGAAAGAGTTGCAAGCAAGTGAAGACACATCCAAGGAAAAGATGCTTCGATTGAGTGTTGAAGCCGGAGGATGTTCTGGGTTTCAATATGTTTTTGATCTGGATGACAAAACCAATCCAGATGACAGGTTTCTTTTTTCTCCTTTTTTTGACTTTTTTTTTTTTTTGAGTTTCAGGAAAGTATGCTTAATTTTGTTCTCTCTTCTTACTGCTATAAGCTTTTTTTCTTTTTCTTTTATCATATTCTATTTGCAGTGTTTTTGAGAGGGAAGGAGTAAAAGTGGTAGTTGATAATATTTCCTATGATTTTGTGAAGGGAGCAACTGTCGATTATGTTGAGGAGTTAATTCGTTCTGCATTCGTGGTAAAGTCATATTAACTATTTGGTGCATAAATGTATGTGTGATCTCTTAATCCTAGACCAGAAGTAATTTTCCTCTAGCAAAGTGATTCCCTATGAAAATTTTCAAGTAGTTTGCTGATACGCTGCATGCCTTAAATGTGAATAACTGAGACCCCATATAACATGCAAATATTCTTTATTTATGGTGACATGAGGATGTTAAATTTCAAAATATGATGCAGTTTTATGTTGTTTAGGCACCCTTAAATCTATTTCAGGGTATAATCTTGCTTTTATTTCCATTTCTAGATTTCCATTTATGTTAGCTCTGGTATAGCTCAAAGAAGTTAAGCTCTGGTGTTCCATCCGACTTCAGGAATAGTGCTGTGATTAGATTTGTCATTTATTTGGTTGGATTAGGAAAAGTGGACTAATCATCATCAAGTTTGGCCTGATAAGACAAGGTTTTGTTGTTCTATACCAGAAACTGAGATGTCTAAATTCTATTTATGGTTTGTAACATTTCTTATGCTCCTCTTGGCATATTTTTAGCTCATTCTAGCAGGTTATGCCTTACATGACTATTAGATGATCTTCCTAGTCAAATTCTACATAGCCTCTTGGCACCTTGTCAACTTGTTTAACGGTGCTATTTTTTCCCTCACTGTTTTGTTGAGTGTGATATTACCTTTGTGGCCTAGCTTACTATCTTGAAGTTAAATGCATCCATCATTCATTAAATAACCTTTTGCTTATTCAAGACCCTTTTGCTTATTCAAAAACCTTTTTCTTGGTAGGAGATGTGAACGAAATTGTATGGAGTATCATTGGAATAAATACAGCTATGTTTTGACCCTCTTGGAGTGATCCATAAATGTGTACATGAAATCATGCACACACCTGATAATGCTTCCATGATCAATTATGTCACATTCAATGATTCTAACTAGTAGCAAGACAACAAAAGCACTCTATCAATCACTAATTTGGTCAGCATAAATGCTTCATTATGTAAAGATTCTATTCAGATTTCCTTCTAATATTCTTCAGCACAATATCATTGCTGTAATCAGATGGTGCAAATGGATTATGAACCATATGCAAAGTCAAGTTGTTTTATGAATCCACAGAATTAGTCCTAACGCTATACTGAATGATATTTTACTTCTTTCACCTTGACCTCTTTGGTGCTATATAAAAACTATGCAGTGATCAGCTGCATTGTAGCGCTGTCTTATGTGAATGATCTTGAATCTAGTATGTATTCTATGGTGCCACCTTTTTTTATTGTGGTTTCATTAACATTTGACTTAGTATGATATGCCATAAGCATGGCTGCGGACTGAATTCCAAATTCTTGTGCAGGTAACAACAAATCCTAGTGCAGTTGGAGGGTGCAGTTGTAAAAGTTCATTCATGGTGAAACAGTAGGCCTTTCAAGTAGGCTGCCCATACTTCCAGTGAGGCTGAGAGTTTCAGTTGGCTGAACGAGTCACCAAATCATTTTTCTACCAGATTTTTTTATCATAACAATTATTTGGATACAAAACATTATGCATACTTTATGTATAAAATCATAATGTAGCGAGCCACTGCTGCTTTGCTGTTAACCAGGAACTCCAAGGTTATGTTAACGAGTTTGATTATCTTAAGTCCTTGTTCTCCAATTGATACTTTTTCTCCTGCTTTTACTTCAGTTGATCTAAGTGTTTAACCACTGAGTAGTATTTAACATGCCTGCCTACAAGGCTCCATTGAGCAGTGAACAGCACATGCAATTTTCATTAGTGTGTGTGTATATCTATATATATATATATATATAAAAGAGATCTTAATTTGGATATAAAGGAAGCGATTGCAGGTTCAAAGTAAATTAGCTCATTACCTCAAAGCCTAGCTTGTTTTAACTCAAAAGTAAGAATCAAACCCGGAATGCCATCACAATCCCAAAGCTTCAGCTTGGTTCTTGCAGTTAAAGTTAAAACAACACATGGTCGTTCTTTAGTTTTATTGTGAAATAGTTTATCCTTGAATTCATTAAGCGAAGTGCAGCTCAGTCAGCATATGGAAACTGACATAAGCACTAAAATCTAACACCATTCTGAATATATAGGGCACAACAAGCAAAGCATATAAAGGAAATTGGGACCAAGTAATTTTACCAATAAAACAAAACCACAAAATTTTGCGCCATTCCAGGGAATGTCTTTGTCAGTAGTACAGAAGTTTCTTGCTCATGCTTGCTCAAAAAACAAAATCCCTGGAAAGTAAATGAATATTCTACTAGATGCGATGCGGCCTCCCCATGGTGCTCTTCAGATGCAAGCAACTCAGCTACGTGTACATAAGAATAAAAGAAAAAGGTTATGTCACGGAATCACTGGCTAAAATCTTGAACCTTGAAATACTTCATAAACATAACAATCTGGCATTAAAGTATCTTCTGAGGGCTACCAACAAATATTAAAAAGCACCTAAAAATTATGAAGTTCCACAGACTTCAAAACTTTAATGATTTTCAAGGAGCAGGAACTTAGGTTTTGCCAATTTTTCTTTAATAAAGACAAGAAAATTAACGCTGAGTTGCATATTCTGGAAAATATGCTTCTCCTCCATACAGCAATTTCCCACAGCAACACCCATGCATGGTACCTTCTTAAGTTGGTACTTAACTATAGCTTTTGTTTCATTAACTTTTAACTCCAGGGATTCCTGATGTGTCAGGTGTGCTGGGAACTTCCCTGTATCCGTGTCCTCACCATGTAAATATCATGCCACAAATAAATTCAACAAGAAAGCTTCCCTCTAGACCTTCCTTTCAGACCTATTATATAGACCAAAATATGATCATAAAAAACAGTATGTTTTTAATGCACGAACCTTAAAGGAAGGCCTATTACATATATGCCAAGAAACTCAACATTTCTCAAAATGGTTTATGATCCCAGGTTTATACATATATAAGCAGACTAAACCATTCATCCAACCAAAGAGAACCATTGTTCCCACAAGTTAACAACGTTGATGTTTCATTAGAAGTGTGCATGCCAAAACAATTGACCAAACAACGACGGAAAGTTTGAAAGAATAAAATTTAACTCATGACCATCTCATTCTAATACAAAAGCTTGTCCGCAGGGTGCGAGAATAGCAGCAAGACATTGGGCAGTAACTATAATCCTATTCTCAATCATCATAAGTATGAAGACAATTACAAATAGAAATACTGGCCTGCCTTGTTAAGACCAGGTCCCAAAAGACGAGGAATCTGTTTGATGACAGCTTCAGATGCCAAAAGGCATGGTATTTCTTGGCCAGCTTCTTGACAATTCTTGTTCTTGTTAAGCTTCCTCAATGCTTCCACATCCATCCAGTCCAACCCTATTTTCTCTGCCTGGATTGCCATACATGAAAACGAAAATGTAAGCAGCAACAATAAAGCGTCAAACCTAAACAAAACAAAAATCGAAGCATATCATTCTGAAGAACGCAATAGCTAAGCAGTATGTACCTCTTCGATGTGGAGAGCATCACCGAGCAAACAATCCTCATCTTAGGACGGGAATGTGAGGAAGCTTAACGGAACCGCTGAATCTTTTATCCTTTTGAGGATCATAGTTCTTCAATCCAATCTGCAACTCAATTGTCTCAACAAACTTCCGCGGCTTCTCCTTTGCGTCTCCGACGATGGTGGAAATGACTTCCCTGACTGCATCACTCTGAAGTTTACTGTAACAACAAAACAAACACACGTAAATCACAAAATTATAGCAAACCAAGATTTAAAAAATAAATAAATAAATAAGGAGAAGAAATAAAAAAAAAATACGGAGTTCTGGCTAAGTATATTATGTTTAATGCAAAATTAACCAATCAATTGAATCAGTTAAATTATAGAAATTTGATACAAAAGAAGATGAATGAGTGCCTCATGGTTCCTTGTTCCTTGTTTGGCTTCTACAATGTGAGAAAATCAAATCAATTGTTAATAAAAAAGAGAAGAGATCAAATGAAGCAAGTTGTTTGAGTAGGGGAGGGTTTATGGGAGACGGTGGGAGAACGAACCTGAGACGCTACTGAGTGAGATAGATCATAGAAGAGAATTAAATAGTAACTCGTTAGGGTTTTAAGGACTCAACTGGCAGGTTAAACTCGAATAGCAATTCTATTATCCAATAAACAGAAAAAAAAAAAATCCTGTTATCAAAAAGTTATACAAATGTTAACCAACCATACATCACGATAAATGAATACCAACGATATTATACATCAAGATAAATGGATACCATCTATACTATATACCTAGGTAACAAATCACAAATATTCCAATAGCATTTGCTTGGGTCAAACTATATAGAATCTTAACAGTCTCTTAAATATAATGAAATACATATTTAGTAGTTCGTCTCTCAATCCATACCTTCAAATAAGAGTGTAAATGATATATTAATACTCATAAGTTATTCGAATTTGATTTCAATAAAATTTGAATTTAGTTGATTATTATCGAGTCGAGTTCGAACTCGAGTAGCTTAATTCATTGATCGAGCCGAGTTCGAACATTTTTATTCTTCACTCGAGTAGTTCACAAGTTTAATGAAGCTTTTATATTTAAATATATTTTTATTATTTTAATTAATAAAATATCTCAAACTCGAGCTTAGCTCGAGTATAAATAATCAAATTTTTATCCAATATAAGAATCAAATTTATTTTTATATGTTAATTGAACTTAATCAAACGAATTTGAGTAACTCAATTTTTATATTGAATCAAACTCGAATTAAAAAAATAAAATTTAATCAAATTTTAGTCAAATTTTGAGCCTCAAATTTTAAATTGAACTCAAAATTTAAATTTAATATTATATTGACTTGAATTCAATGGATTACATTTCTATTTTTAAAAGTACTCTTAAAGATTTTCTTGAATAATCAAGCAAATTTTCCATTCTAATCATCAAGATTTTCCATTCCTCTAGGTTTGCTTAGAATAATTACACCTAACACATTCCGCTAGGGTTGCTTAGAATAACTACACGTAAAAATATATGGTGATCTCCATCTGTTTTCTGCGGCCAATCCACATAAGACACAAAGGGATGTAAATAACCACTCCCCAACAAATCGATTTACTTTAATTTCGTTATATTTTGTTTTTTCATTTTTGCCTCTTTTTGTTACATTCTTTGTTTAGAAATAATAAATTGAATCCCATTAATAATCAGATTAGGTTCGAAATGTCAAATTCTTGAATTTTTTAAACAATGAAGAAGTTTACAAGGCAACTGATAGCTCTCTCCCATGGTTTATGCAATTAAAAGAGTAGTTTCACTCAGACCTTAAAATTAGAATAGGATTAAAAAAATGGATATAATTTAAAATTTTAACTAAAAACACATCTAAATTAACAAAAGCAAAAATATGTACTTTTTGTATTTATCATGTAAACACAAATTATGAACTAATAATTTTCATATTTTACACAAAAAAATAAACATATATAACTACATAAATTATCAAATCTAATTTCACTAGTCACTAGTGTTATAGGAGCCGATCGAGATAACAATGGACAACCGCAGGACAGTAGAGAATACTCACATCTGATGTCAAGTGTTGTTTCTCTAATTCCCTTCAAACTAGTAACACAATCCCACAACCACAATGCTTCACTGTCGTTAACACAAATTTGCATGACATTTGCAAACAACAATGGTCTGGAACTGGATTTTACCCATCAAACACCGTTAAAATCACCGCTCAGACATCCTGTTATTGTAAAGTAGGATCCATTCTACTCTGACTATCAACAGTCAATTAAAGGCTAACCAAATCACAAACTTCAAGAAGTTAAGTGTTGACATGAATGAAAACATGATGAAAATGCGGTTCAGTCATTTATGCTGAGATTAATCTACATTCAACAATCACAAATTGCAAAGTGATGCATGAAGTTGACCAGCATACATTGTAGCCATCCACAATTCTGAATAATCCAAAAATTTCAAAGTCAGATTAAAAACCAACTCATGGTTAGGAAACAAATCTGTTCCACCAAAATAAATAACATTTTATTGCTACAATGAGCACTGCTACCTAATAGATATATGCTCAGATCCAATCCTCAATAACAACTTAAAAATATCCAGAAAGAGTATGATGATTTCATTCCTCTGACTGCCTCTGTCCTAGAACTGGAATGTCTTCATACCGTTTCTGTTGTGTAGGAATAATACAAATTTACAAGTTAGTGGTATAGAAATACTTAAGCTCTGAAAGTAAATTGATTATTGCAGACAAAGATCAGCAAACATGCATTTGTTAAGCCACTGTGCCAACAATTCTGAGGGTGCATCAACTTGGATAAGGCAATAAAAGCTGATCAACTTCATATAATCATTATCAAATTGCAACATATTTTGAGACTTGCACGAACTAAAGAAATTATAGATTTAGGAAAGGCAAGATTATATCATATTGTTTAAGAAGAGGAGAGAAAAGGGGAAGCGAAGAAGCAAAAATACTTCATTTTTGGCTACACAGAACCATGCACGCAACTGACAGCAGAAAATTCCAATGCAACCTACGAGATTCAATATGAAATAGATAGCAAGTAACATATCACCACTCAATAACAGTATAAAGTGCTGCAATTGTTGAGCGGGTATTACAGCCTTTTACCTAATTGCACATCTATTTCATTGAAAAGCCAAATTTCAAAGTTGACAACATTTTGAGTTTGCAAGGAAACTACAATCCTTACAGACCCTTTTTCCAGAAAGCCTATCCAAATAATAGGTGAGATCAGAAATATTCCCACAGTTTCAAAATGTTTCAAGAGACACCTTTCCAATCATCTAATAGCACTGATGGAATTATGAAAATGTAACGATGGTTGTTCTCAAACAAAAATCGACATTGACCTAAAGATTGAAAATACTTCACAAATCCAACATGTAAAGCATTTGATTAAAGAAAACCATAAACAAAGACTGGTATAAGAGTTTTGTAGCTAGATTTCTGAAACTGGAATGAGCCAAATAAAGAAGTGGCACCTCGGGCCATCTTATTTGCTATAAAGGTTTAAACCACCTGCCTATCAGGGAATAGGGACTATCCTCTCCACAATGCAATCAAATACAAATCCATGTATGCTTGTGCAAAGTAATATTGACGACTAAATTTGCTAGTAATATGCCAAACAATCTGCCCATAAAAGCCGCTTAAGCCATAAAATACACAACAAAACTAATACTCGTATGATTAGAAATTTTACCCCAACATTGTTGTATTCCCAGAGCTTATGAACTCCATAATCCACAGCCTGCAAAAGTCGAATCAATTAAGACGAATTTTCACCATTCTTTCTCATTAGACCAAAACTCATAAAAAAAGCTAATATTTAAATATGATTAGAAACTCATCATTTACAATCAAAACCCAAATACTCAATAAAAAATAAGAATCACCAGATCAAAAATATTCCAATCAGTAAATAAATAAACCCTAAACTTTTTTGAAAAATAAACAATAAATTTTGATCAAAACAACAGATCAAAAGTGGTAATGAGAAAGGTTTAATGGGAAAAAAGAGTTGGAAATCACCCGCTCTCCGAGGAAAGCGCCGGCGATGACGAAGGTGACGTAGACGGAATTACGGCGCATGATGACTCTGTAGAGACCTTCGAAGAGGCCTCCTTGACCTCTTCTTCGAGCTGCGTAATCCATGGCGATTCGGTAATTTAAAGGTAGTCTCTTTAGCTAGGATCTAAGATCAGGGTTTGCAGAGATGTTGGACGCGATGAAATGGAGAAATTTGTTACGCAACGATGAACCTTTTTTCGAAGAGTAACGGGTCGAACCGAATAACATGGATTTAGAGTTCCTGGGTCAACAGCCCATTGAGTTGGATTTTCTTGTCTTTTGCTTTCCTTCACATTTTTTTTTCTTTGTTATTTTTAACTAATATTAATAAAACTATTGCTTCTTTAATCGTTTTTTTCTTCTTTATTCGGGTGATAAATGGGAGGAAAGGATTAAGCTTGAATAAGATATTAAAGATATCTCTAACTTCATAAATCCGAAAAAAAAAAGATATTTGTAATTTATAAACCATAACAATGTCAATGAAAAAAAAAATTACAAAAGCATCAGTTATAAGTTATGTATAACAATAAAGCAAAAATGTTGATGCAACGAACCAATATTATTAAAATGCATTTGTATGGGATATTATTCACTTTGGAGACTCTGTGATTTACTCTGATAATTTTATTTTATGAGATAAGAAGTCTAAAAAAAGGGAATTGGATTTTTGAATCGTATCATACTTTTTTTTTCTTAGTCTTTTCCTCTTTTCAGTGTAAATTTTCATCTCCATCGTAACTTTTTCCTTCTTATAGTACCTTTGCTTCATTTTTGCTTCTTGTAGCGGCGATAAGACCGTTCGAATCTGGGAGCAGAGCCCCTCTACTTGCTCCTGTGACTGCAAGGTCCTTCTCTGCCCCTCTGTTTATTCATTTCTTCTTATTTTTATTTTTCTTTTTGTTTTTGCTGAAACTTTTGATAAAAGGAAGTGAAATTCATTTAAGCTAGGTCAGCAACTTTAGAATTTCAAATTTTTGTTGCCTTTTATATTTAAGTTAACTAATGTAGGAAAAAAATTTGTTGAAATTGTTTGAAATTTATAATATTACCGTGAAATTTTTTCTTCCAAAATGGAATGAGTTCCATCTCTTTGAATTTGTTTTGAAATATTAGGTTAACTGATGTTTGTTGAAATTCATGGTGATTTGGACTGCGATCTTTTGCAGGCTGTTGTGGAAGAGACACGCACTCGAACAGTCCGGTCCCGGGCTTGGTCACCTTCTGGGAAATTGTTGGCCACTGCCAGCTTTGATGCTACCACTGCCATATGGGAAAATATTGGGTGACTTTGAATGTGTTTCCACTTTAGAGGCATTATTCTTGTTCTGTTGTTGTCCTCTTTTAATTTCTTAAGACTTTTTAGTCTGATTTGATGTTACCTGCGCACCATTTGATACTAATTCACTAAGCAAAACATAATTACACTGAAATTATGACTTAATGGAAATGGTTTACCATGTAGAAAGGGATATAGACAATATCATGCTTCTTGCATTCAGCTAGAAATATTATCGAATTATTAGTATTTAGATTAGTTTTCTTTAATATCTGGTTCATATGTTAATAATATTGGAAACGGTTTATTTATTTGCTATGGTGTATAGGGTCATGAAAATGAAGTGAAAAGTGTGTTTTGAAATGCATCAGGTTCTCTTCTTGCAACATGTGGGCGAAATAAAACTGTTTGGATTTGGGAAGTGATGCCAGGGAATGAATTTGAGTGCATTCATGTTTTGCAAGGTCATACTCAAGATGTGAAATGGTTCAGTGGCATCCGACTATGGCTATTTTGTTTTCTTGTAGCTACGATAACACTGTCAAGGTACTGTATATGCTAAACAGTATCCCTTTGACAAGACCATATGTATCTTTGATCTTTTGCAAATTCTGTTTTATGCCAACAAGATTGGGAAATGTGATTGAATTTGTGATACATTCGCTTTTCCGTGTAGGTATGGTGGTCGGAGGATGCTGATGGTGATTGGAGCTGTGTACAAACTTTAGGTGAATCTAGCAAGTGCTATGCCTAAAACTCTGTCTATTTTTCTGTTTTAGCTAATTTTCTTGTTTATTGTACTGCCTGCATGTGCTTTTTCTTTATATCATCCTATGAAGTAGCGTGGTAGTTGTCTTTTAAATTGTTTAAGGCCTAGAAGATTTTTTGTCAACTGATTTATGAAATTATCGGACTACTAAAAACTCTTGTTTCGATATTTTATGGTCAGTGGTCACTTTTCCACCGTTTGGTAACCTTCTTTTAATGCTAAGGGAGACAAATTGGTAACTTGTAGGTATGTATAACAATTTTGTCCTTCTGGGTTGCAGTAATTGGAATTAGGGTATTTGCTAATGGCATCGCAAACAAAAAAAGACAGTTGTAAGAAGTAGGGCTAAAATAGAAACTGACTTTGCAGTGATGATCTTACCCTGAAGATATGGGACGCAGACATCATAAGGATGCAATCTGGAGATGGTTATGCACCCTGGCAAGAAACATTTCGCTTTTTCCCATTGAATTTTTCACATTTGCTAGCTCTTGATTGTCAATTTGTCATATCAAATCCATAGTCTATGCTGGTTTGCAGATATCAGGACTTAGATGTTTTATTCATTTCCTTGAATCTCGTTTCTCCATTTGTTTATAATGTGTAGAACTTTCTCTGGCTATAGTTTGCTTGCACACCTAAAAATCAGAATCAATGATAAATTCATGGCCTATGATCTTCATTGGCACATTTTGATGTCAAGAAACTCATTCTTGCTGTGTGAAGCTTAGAATCATCAAGTCTTAGCCTGGCAGTTATAGCATTCCTAGCTAAGAATTAATAGCCAAATTATTGTGATTAACATGCATATTCCAAATATTTTTTATGAACTGAACAATGAACATATAAGATCTAGTTTAATCATTAGTTTTATTAATCTTAGCATGTATCTTGAAGAGATTCAAAACTAACTTATTCAGCATTGATGTATAATATTTCCTTTTTTTTTTTTTTTCTCATTTAAGACCTTGTGATGCATAAAGATAATGTGCTTCACTTCAATGGTTGTCCAGGAATTATCTGTGCACTCTCTCAGGTTATCATGATCGAACAATTTTTTCAGTTCACTGGTCAAGGTGTTGACATCATTTATTCTAGTAACTATTTTCTGTTTGGAGCTTCTAGCGTGAGATCCTTTTATTTTCTCTCTCTAAATGGTTGAGAACCTGGAAGTCCAAATTACAACTAAACTGCTTGTATGTTCTTATTGTTGGGGACACACTAGTGCTTACCTATTTGTTCTTTGTAATTGACTTTTTTTTCCTTAAAAAGAAGAAATTAGATAATAACCCTATTCCCAAAGGACGACCTGAAGGGCAGGTTTAACTTTATTTGCATCATCAGTACCATTTTCCTATGACTGAAAATGTTCTCCTAATTCTTAAATGTAAGAGTGACCTGAACATTAGCCATAGTCATGATCTTGAGTAAATGACTCTTTTGCTGATGGATAACCATATCACCTTGGATATACTTTAACTCTCTGTTTTCAAGAATTTAGTGGCAACTTTATGAGAAACGGGATGAAAACCTATGTAGGAAGGAGTCTAATATCAAGTTATCAACTCTCATTTTGAAAATATTTTAATTGATATAACTGCTGATTGGCTGAATTAGTGAAGCGAAAATGTATGTGACTATCTAACATTGTAATTGCTTAGTCTGATTTAGTTAAACTGAGGTTGATTTCATTCCTAACTGTTCCACTTTATAAGTTTGAGTTGGATCATGTAAGAAACAAGTAGCTGTTTCCCTCTATTTTTAATATTTATTTGCAGTCTGAGTAACTTTCTTTTCTTTAAAGTTTTGATCCGAAACTGATTGTGTCTGGCCTATAACTATTACAGAGAGGGAATTATTGCCAGTGGAGATGCTGATGATGCTGTACAGTTGTTTGTAGAGAGCAAAAATTGTTCGGTATGTAACTCTTTCAGCTTCTCTTTTACTGTGCATATTTCCTTTGACAGAAGTGGTTCTGTGAATTCTAGCCAATGTAATTGAGCAAATTGTCCTGTTGTGCATATGAAGAGTTCTTGGCTAGATAATCGTCCCTACCCCTTTATGCTAATTTAGGTTTTGAAAGTGGCAATTCAGCAGATCAATCTATTTTGTGGTTTGGCTACAGATAAATGGACCTTCATATCAATTGCTATTGAAGAAGGAGAAGGCCCATGACATGGACGTAAATTCAGTACAATGGTGCCCTGGGGTAAGATTTGCTTGCTAAGAAATTAATGCGGATTATTATATGTGCTTGCATTCCCATGTACATCAAAGCGGAAATGAATATATATCACAAATATAGATAGATTCTTTATGCACGGTAGAATCTGGCGGTTTGGCTCAGATATTGGGTTCTTTTTGTCTTTTTCTGAAATGGTGGCCTAACGATTGATTTTCTAGTATTTGCTCATACCAATGCCTTTGAAATGGTGGCAAAATCATCCAGAAACGATTAAAAAAAAAAAAAAGAAGTTGTGATTAAATGCCCATTTCATTAGCTTTAGTGTTATGGTCTGAATTTTTTAGACTATATTCCCATCAATTTGACCATGCATGTTTATTTAGCAGCCTAACTACTATGTTGAGCTAGAATTTTCCTATAATTTCACATTTTTCTCTTTAATTACCGTGTGCCTCTGTTTATTTTCTAGAGATTATTTCTTTAAGCTGTGTTATTAGGGGCTTATTCTTTAAAAGAATCATGTCGGTAATAGAAGCCTGAATTGACTATATGGAAAGCTTATACTACCCTGTGGTTGATCTTACGAGGGATTTGTCTTGAATCTCGACTTTAGCTAACTTTTATGTTTTAATTGTTGTTGAAAATAACAGGAAAAGCGTCTACTCACTTCTGGAAGTGATGATGGGACAATAAAGATATGGGAGTTGGAAACTTTGCAATGATCAAAATTTTGCGAAATTTGTTTTTTAATTTTTTTCATACCTTTGGGATTTTACATATGTATGGTTTCCGAATTTTGTAGAAGTGCTTTTATAACAGTTGTGGCTTTGAGAAGTCTGGAAATAAAGTATTATTTGTTAAGGAAACATGGTTGAAATAATAGTCAAGCAGAATTGCTTTGTAGAATTTGTGAGAGCTAAAGTGAAATGCATGATTCTACTCTCTTTCTAACACAGATTTAACCATGCTCCCTTGTCAACTAAGACTCAAGTGAACAAAAGCCAGGCGTTTAACTTGAAGGATTGTCTCTGGTCCCGATGGTGAGAAAGCTCAGGCAGCCAGCTGATTCATTGTAGACACCGGCTATGTTTTCCGATCTGGGACATGAATTCGAGTACATGAATTTGAGTAACACAGTTGGCCCCGGAAGAATTTCGGGAAACGAAGAAGTAAGAACAAATGGTATAGAAAAATTAGTATAGTCAATCATTTGTCACCTTCAGAAATGGCCCCAAATGGCTTGCACCATTCAACCGGGTCAGCCTTGTTGGAAAGGTGGGCTCAGTTTTACTTTTTCCCCAACGTGGGTGCTCCATCCCCTCGATGATAATCATGACATTGACTTACCTCACATGTTGCATTTTCTAGCCTGATTGAACAGGTAAAGATTAGATTATTTCTCTCCGATTAACCCGTAGCCTGTAACAGCTTGTATTGGGAACCAAAAAAAAAAGATGAATGAAAGCAAAGGTATCATCAATCTTACCTGAAAACTAAATCAAAGTTCATTTTTCGTAACTGAAAAGATTTTACCAGATTCATCATTACATTGTCCACAAAACAATCAGAAAAGCAGCAAAATAATCTCTGGCAAATATCACAGGCAAAGAAAATTAACCATTCAAATGCATTTTGTTCTTCAATCTTGATTGATTAGAAAACAAACTAAATATTTAATATAATTAACACCTGTTTTCTATTCTAAATCCGCCAGAATTTGTTCTTCTTCCTTCTTCAACCAGAGCTGCACGAGCCGACATAATCGCGGTAGGAATCAAAGAAGCATCAAATGAAGAACAATCGATCCAATCCTTCAAAAGCTCTTCCTGACCCCATATATCAGGAATCCAAACCCTGCCTGCCACTTCAATCCTATGCCTCTTCAGTCTCTCTCGTTCACTATCTTCTTCCAATAACTCTTCAGCCCTCATTTCTTCTTTTGAAACTTCATCAACTGCTGCTGGAGCTGAGGAAGACTTGTTACATAACGAGTCTCCCTCGTTATTAATAGCTCTATCATTTCCATCACTACTGTATGGACAGGTTTCCAACCCTGAACTTCCTGTCTCAACATGAAAAACATCCTCAGGCTCCTGACTTTTGTCGGGTTCTTCCGGAACCTGGGGAGCTCGTTCATCACTATGCTGGACAGGACTCTGGAGGGTCATTTTTGTAGGTTCTACGTTCATGAAGTTGAAACGAAAGCCCTCTTCTTTCTTGTTCTTGTTCTTCTTCCTTGGCAGATCCCTTCTGGTTGAAAGAGAAGAGAAGAATGAAGCTTGAAGATTACACTTACATGGATAAAAGGGTTTATGTGTGGGAATAAAAGCTAAGAGAGAATGGATGGGGAGTTCGTTTACACGTCATTCTTTCAAAACTTTCCAAGTTTGTTTTGTTTTGTATGGTAAGTGAGAAACGTACGTGTCTTGTTTCAAGATGGCTAGAATTCCATTTTGTGTGGTTTAGTTCCAAGTTTGATAACACCAAAAAGCAATGGAAAAAGAGAGGCTTCAAGAAAATTTGTACTAGATTCCTTGGATGGATTTTTGGAAGGATTGTGAGGTTGATCTTGATTTTGGTGTACAAATAGAAACCCTTTATGATTCTTGGAATATAGTATTAACCAATTACATTGCTGGTTCTGGATTTGAGAAATAAATTCTATAAATAAATTTACGAAGAAATATTAATATTCTTTTTCATTTAATGAGATTTAGACTGCTTCTAAAGATTTTTTTTTTTTTTTTGATGTACACCTCAACTACCCTCTCCCTTTTTCTTTTGTTTGTGTCCTCACTTTCTCTTCTCTTTTAAACAAATTCTCAAACCTTTGCTTTTATTTATTTAATCTATCTATGTTGGTAGAGTACGTGTATGTACGTATTTTTATACACATTTTAGGACAAGTACGGCTACCGTCATTGACCATACACTTTGGGATAATATAGAGCTTTCTTTAAAATTCAACACACTTGTTTTGGATTATATCCAACAACTTTTAAATTCTAGTGAAATGGAGCATCACAATCTTATTTGAATCTTCAATTTAATTTGCGCAATTCTTAATAATTTTTTTTATCAAAAATTAAAGTTTTTTCTTTGTTGTAATTAAAATAATATTTAAATATTAATTTGATGTTTGGTTCGTTGAATATAATTTTTTTTTTATCCTTCTTTTATACATACATTCAAATAAATTTTTTTATAATTAATTGAATTAAATTTAGATAAATTTTTAATTTCGATGATTAATTCGATCTTTAGCAATTTCATATATATATATATATTAACATCGACTTGGGTGACAAATACTCTTAAAATTACATTTTAAGTAATTAAAGTATAGCTAAATACAATTCTTCCATTTTCAACCCTAAAATTAGAGAGAAAAAAAAGAGAGAGAGAGAGAGAGAAAAAGGGGAAAACACGTGTAGGTTTGATTATGTGTAGTCCACGTATGATACACCAAAAACCCTGATAATTATATTTCTTCGTTCCCATGTTTGTCTGTGATCGTGGGAAAACCAACTTTGCAAACGTTGTGGGCTACGTGAGAAAAACATCTCATTATAAGTGGGCCTAGTCTTCTTGACCATGATGGGCTAACCCGTCATGCTATTTCTGGTTAAATTTGATTGGCTTTGCTACTACCATTAAAAAATTAACATAGGCTTTATGTTATTTCCATTTCATCCCTATTATAGTCTCTCTTTATGGACAGTGACACTGTCCCAAGGGGCATGGTCTTATGGATACAGGCTAGATGGCCTTGAGGTATTTTGTGTGTGTTTGTAGGGGCCAAATTGAAGACATTGATGTGGACTCCCATTACAGGTAGTTCTGGACTTTTAGTCCAATTACAAACTAGTAATTAAAATTGTGGAAAGCACCAAACATTTTTTGTAATTAAGTGAAGTACCCAATAAGTTTTTGAAAACCAAAGATTAGTGTCTCACTTCCCTGCCATGAACTTTCCTAAACCATGCAGTTTTGGAAAGCTCATGCTAAAGGACTCTAAATCCTTGGCCAAAATAATCCAAAACTTAGCCCAAACCAAACAATTACTCAAAGGAAAACAACTTCATTCTCAGCTAATCTCATCTGGGTATCCACTATGCACTTTTTTAACCAACCATCTCCTTAACATGTACTCAAAATGTGGTCAATTAGACTACTCAGTCAAACTGTTTGAGAAAATGTCTGAAAGAAACTTGGTTTCTTGGACTGCTATGGTAACTGGGTTTTCTCAGAACTTACATTACTTAGAAGCCATAACAACTTTTTCCCAAATGAGAATTGCTGGGGAAAACCCGACCCAATTTGCCTTTTCGAGTGTTATTAAAGCTTGTGCTTCTGTTGGGTTGGTTGAATTTGGGAAGCAAATGCATTGCCTTGCATTGAAATTTGGGTTCGGTTTGGATATTTTTGTTGGTAGCAATTTGGTTGATATGTATTCAAAGTGTGGAGTTATGCTTAATGCTTATAAAGTTTTCCAAGAGATGGAGTGTAAAGATAAGGTCTTGTGGACTGCTTTGATCGATGGATATGCAAAGAATGGTCTTTTTAAGGATGCATTGTTGGCTTATAAGAAGATGGTTAATGAGGGGATTGCTATTGATAAATTTGTTCTTTGTAGTACTTTAAGTGCTTGTGCAGCATTAAAGGTTTTAGATTTTGGGAAATATCTTCATTCAGTTATGGTGAAGAAGGGGTTTGACTTGGAGATTTCTGTGGGAAATGCTCTTACTGATATGTACTCAAAAGTGGGAGACATGGATAGTGCCTCAAATGTGTTTGGAATTGACTCTGAGTGTAGAAATACCGTGTCTTGTTCTTCATTGATTGATGGATATGTTGAGATGGATCGAATGGAGGACGCTTTAAGTGTTTTTGTTGAGCTGCGGAGGCAAGGAATTCAATCTAATGAATTCACTTTCTCAAGTTTGATCAAGGCTTGTGCTAGCCAAGCTGCACTTGAGCAGGGAACACAGCTACATGCTCAAGTGATTAAATTCAATTTTGATGGAAACCCTTTTGTTTCTTCAGTTCTTGTTGATATGTATGGAAAATGTGGGTTGGTTGATGATTCTATTTGGATATTTGATGAAATTGAAAATGCAACCGAAATTGCATGGAATTCAATGTTAAGTGTGTTTGCTCAGCATGGTTTAGGAAAAGATGCCATAGAATTTTTTAACAGGATGAAAAATGTAGGAGTGGAACCAAATGCAATAACGTTTGTCAGTCTTCTAAGAGGCTGTAGTCATTCTGGCTTATTGGAGGAAGGGTTAAGTTTGTTTAATGCTATGGAGAAGACTTATGGAATAGTGCCTAGAGAAGAGCATTACTCTTGTGTTATTGACTTACTTGGTCGTGCTGGACAGCTTAAAGAAGCTGAAGATTTTATAAACAAAATGCCATTTGAACCTAATGCGTTTGGATGGTGTTCTTTCCTTGGAGCTTGCAAGATCCATGGTGATAAGGAGAGAGGTAAACTTGCAGCAGAAAAATTGATGGAGCTTGAACCTGATAATAGTGGAGCTCCAGTTTTGCTTTCAAATATTTATGCTAAGGAGCAGCAATGGGAAGATGTGAGAACATTGAGGAAGATGATGCAAGATGGTAATATAAAGAAACTACCAGGTTATAGCTGGGTTGATGTTGGAAATAGAACTCATATTTTTGGAGTTGAAGACTGGTCTCATCCTCAAAAGAAAGCAATTTATGAGAAGCTTGATTCTCTTTCGGATGAGATAAAGAAGGCTGGATATGTCCCTTGCACGGATTCCATTCCCTTGGATATGGATGTTGGTGTGAAGGAGAAGATACTTCAGCATCACAGTGAGAGAATCGCCATTGCATTTGCACTAATAAGCATGCCAAGTGGGAAGCCAATCATTGTAAAGAAAAATTTAAGGGTCTGTGTTGATTGCCACTCTGCAATTAAGTACATATCTAAGGTGATTGGAAGAAAAATTATTGTGAGGGACAACAGTAGATTCCATCATTTCTCAGATGGCTTATGTTCATGTGGAGATTTCTGGTAAGGTTTTGACAACTTCAAGTTTTGCCAACAAATTCATGCACTTGACCAAGTAGTATGCTCAGCCAACATGTTATATTAACCAGCTGCTCTCGCATTAATACTGGAGATTGCTGAGGCTATATGCCTATATGAGTGAGAGCAGTTGAAATTGAACGATCTTTTCAACAAAGTTTACGAGTATGATGATTCTTGCACTGAGGAATGCAACTCAACTAACCCATAAAGCACAACATGGGGAAAATAGTTTCCTTTTTTTTTTTTTTTTTGAAAAAGAAAATCTTAAAAGTAATTGAATCACAGAATATCTATTTTATTAAATTCTATAAAAATTGGTCCTCAATTGGGAATGAGATAGTGGTGGGAATGATATCTCGCGGGCTATCGGAAAATTTTGTGCCCATTAAGAGTAGAACAGTTTTGAATGCTAGATAATCTGCAGGAGAGCTTGTTCCAAAGGAAAATTTTTAGACTTCAAAAAAAAGTTCCTGTTTACCCTGCTGATCTATTACCTATTTCAGTTTATCATTAAGAAGTGGGAACATCATGCATGTTCCTGTTGCATTTTGCTGTACAATCTGCTTACCAGATTTTGGTTTCTTGTATTATTTGACAGTATTCTTACGCGTGTTCCTGTTGCATTTTGCTGCATTATCAGCTTTACCAGTGTTCGGTTTCAGCTATTCTATGACAGCATTCTTCTGCTTGGTATTTGCTATTAGGCAACCTCAAATTTAATTTCTCAAAGTATAACAAAATCTCAAAGGGCATTACAAGATCACATTAACACAACCAATATTACCACTGGATAAAACACATGAGTAATCTCATCTTTACTTTCATCAGATGCACTCTGTACAAGCTACTCAAAATTTTATTTCATCATGGTCCTGAAACAAGCTCTAACCTAAACTTCGGGAAATTTACTGTTACTGTAACTTATTGAAAGGGGGTGGAGGTAGTTGCTTGCGATGTAATGAAACAAACTATGTAGAACCAACTACTAACATGCTATACTTTCGAAAAAAAGTATACGCACTAATTAGCCCAAAACAGAAACCAGTAACAAAGAGGACTAGAGCGAGGCATAACTACATTGGTTGAGACACTATGCAGAGAACCATTCAAGCTCTGGGATAGCGTGAACGTCCTTTCTTCTTCAGGAACTCAGGGATGTCCACTGTACCAACTTCACTAAAAGAAGGCCGGCGATTCATTCCAAGACCAATATCTCCCTGTGCTAGCTGACCTGCCTGCATTTTATCAGGAATCCAGTATAAATTAGTGTGAGAGGGAAAGAGAAAGAAAGAGACAGTTGAGCAGTACCTGAAGGGGCCTCCCTTCACTTTCTTCTTGACGTTTAAATCCAGTAGCAATTAGAGTTATACTTACCTAAATAAAGACCCAAAGTGAGGTTTGCCATCAACTTAATAACTCACATTGAGGAACATGAATGTTGCAGCAAGAGGTCTTGCTGGTCTGTGCAAAGATGACATTGTTTATTTACCTAAATGAAGAACCAACAGAGAATACCAGCCTATATGGCTTTCATCATCAATTCAAAAGTTCACATTAATGTCAATGTGAATTCTGCATCTAAATTTGGCCTTATTCTACATAGCTCTGCATGTTTTACCTAAAATATCATAATGATAAAATAAGTCTTCACGAAGCAGAGATACAATCCCATTGCCAATCTCACTGCTAGATAAGACTGAGATACTTTGCTGGTAAGCACAAATTAGATACAGGAGAACTAGTCACTGACGTAAACACAAAGGCATGGCATTTCTTATTGGAGCAACATTTGGCCTCGACAGTAAAGTTCATCATAAAGTTCATATGTTGCCAGGTTTTAATCCTACTTTTCTGAATGTTTCATTTATTGAATTGCTGCTATCACATATGCTTTATTAAAACTACAGTTAGACCGCAGGCCTACTCAAAGTATGGTGATCAAATATGCAGATGACTCTCCAAGTCTAAACTTTGGCATCAGTACACTACAATAAGCATTAACTTACTTGGCCACTAAGTGATGGATCTATTACTGCTCCAAATATTAAATTGGCAGTTGGATCCACAAGATCATAGATAACCTCAGCCGCAGCATTAACCTACAGAAATTATCAAATGAGATGAAAAAAAAAATCTATGAAGGCATATTCTAAACAAGAGGAACATTCAAGATAATCAAGGTCTCCGGTGTACAATATTTCAGTCACCATGCAGACAATTTGTGGTTATTGGTGCGCGCGTGCGCGTGTGTGTGTGTGGGAGGGTAGGTGTTAACTTAAGTTGCTGGAGGGTCAATCATGCATCAGGACAGAAAAAATATAACAACACTGTGAAGACATTCCCACAATCTAGGCCCAAAGATATTGAGAAAACAGTAGGCTTACAAGAACTCAAAATTGAAACATATTTCAGAAGTAATCAGTGGCTGGAGGTGTGACGTTTCCTACAATTGCTTCCTCTCTAAAAAGGAGTATGCACATTTCAGATATGGTGGGGTTGCTCAGGCTTCAATAACTCTTCTCTTACTTGGAAGGGTTCCACTCACATATAACCAATAATTTTGAGCACAAGATACAGGAAAAAAAGGTATAGCTAGGTAGTATAGATAATGTACATATTGCCAGCGCACCCACCCTAACACACAGATGCGGGGGGAATTAGAGACAGAGGGTTACCTCAAACAAGGTTAAATCACTTCCACCAGTTATGTTCCACACAATTCCAGTAGCCCTTTCTATACCGAGATCTAACAAAGGTGATTGGATAGCATTTAGTGCAGCATCTCTTGCCCTTGTTTTCCCTACAAACCAGAAGAAAACAATTAGAGCATAATAACGAATCTGCGACCAAGTGACTTGTCAATGAAAAGGCAATTTAAAAAACTGAATTACCAATTAATAAACCAAAGCATCACGATAAGAAGAGATCACAGGCCATATGATGTGTAAAATTTGTTTCTTTCAAGATAAAACATCAATATGTACAGCCAAGAAAAGGAAGAAGGAAAGAAAATGGACAAGCTACCATCACTTCAATTTTTGTCACGGGGGAAAAAAAGAGGTAGAAACTTCATGCATTTAAATTCGTAGCTGTTGCACATTCAGTTCTGAGAGAAAAAAGGTCAAATTTGTGCCATCTTTAGCATTTATAAAACACAGGTGAGGTGAGAAACATGTAATATGATGGTGGCCCACGTTCTGGCATCAATATATGAACCAGGAGCCCGAGCAACCCCTATTTTTTTTCACTTTTTATGCTGCTCTCTTCTCCCTACTTCTTCCTTGTATCCTTTTGCTCAGAAAGGAATGGGAGAGTATGTGTGATAAGACAAACAACCTGAAATCTTAAAGCCTTAAATATAAAAAGCTAAAGACCTCTTTGAATTACCAGTAGCAGTTCCTATCCCCATCAGTGAGGAACCTGCATTTGCCATTATAGTTCGCACATCAGCAAAATCCACATTGACTAGCCCTGGAATCTGCAATCAGGAAACTCACAACCAATTAGAGTGTACAAGTATGGTCCCAAGTTCATAATACTTCAAACTTTGCACTGCCCAAAGCATTACAGATATGAATTGCTGGTCAAGCAAATATACTGACTTTTACAGGCTCCATGGTTCCATTCCAGAGCTCTGGTATTAATGGAATTTAGCAGCTCCAATGACCAAAGTTATCCCAACTATCTAAGATACAAAGACACTTACTACCACTTTGGTTTAATAAAATATGGACCTTGGAAAATATAGGAGACCTTGGAATAAAGATCATGCTTGATAATGAATCATAGTTATTATTTACAAGAAAAAGGATCTAAAAATTTCATCAAAAAGTGCAGCCCCCAAGAATTATACTGACAAAGGGAATAAATGGACACACCAGTTTTTTCCACCCAAAGCCTACGAATCAAAAACTTCATACTGAAAGGGGGGAAAAGACACAATAAAGGCAGAACTAAACTATTAGTTCATCCTTGCCATCTAATAAATTAGGGAAATTTAAGGTGCACAAATGTTCCTATAACTGATTGATTGTAACATATAAAAAAAAAAAATTCCCATACAATCGTCAACAATATTGAAAGGAGAGTCTCAATTTTCAAGGACTATGTGAGGAGAAGGAAAGAAAATGACATTACGGTTATATTTCTTTTGTCTAAATATTTGGGTTTCAACTCAATCATGAAACTACATAGTTAGATTAGGAGGTTTCCAATAGTTTCTAGAAGCATCCCATACCATAATTATATCAGAGATACCACGAACACCTTGTCGAAGAATATCATCAGCCAGATTAAATGCTTCTGTTACTGGAGTAGACTGGGAAACAGCAGTCAACAACTTGTCATTTGGAATAACAATTAGTGTGTCAACATTCTCTCTCAGAGCAGCAATTCCTTCCTGTGCTTGAACAGCCCTCCTTCTTCCCTCAAAAGAAAAAGGGGTAGTGACAATACCAACAGTTAATACACCCATGGACTTTGCAACCCCTGCAATTACAGGAGCTCCACCAGTTCCAGTCCCTCCACCCATTCCAGCCTGCAAAAGCAAACTTGAAGTCCTGGGTAAAATGTTAAAGAACGATACTAGAAGGCGAAAGAAATCCAAGATCCTTTGATCTACTCCTAATTTTTAACTTGGCAAATATCAATCTATCAGAGCCATGTGCAACATCACCAGAACAAAAATGGTTTTAACCACTGGCAATTTAAAGAACAAAAGTATCAAGGACAAAAATTAACCATGAATTAAATTAGTTCATGAATCATCAAATAGAAGACAAAACAAACACTAGGAAAAATATTATGGAGTTTTAACTTAAATGGCTATTAACACACATCTGATGCTTCGCATGTAATAACAAGTTGAGCTTGCTGTCACTGAAATAATACATAATTTTTACCACTCCTTGACACTATAGACTTTCCACATAACTCATTAACCATTCAATTGATTGAATAGGTTTCATGAAACAAGAAATCACATATCATTAGCAAGATTAGTTGTGTTTATTTTATGACCAATGAATATTTGCTATAAATAGGAGCATTCAAACACTTTCTTTGACAAATATCCTTGACCAGTCTCCTAGAGGAGTCTAGTTAGTAATAATAAACAGAACATAAAACTATTTTTCTTGTTGCATAGCATATTTTGCTTGTTTTGGTGTGTTATTGTTTGTAATATTTTTCATAGAAATACTAATTTTAAATAAAAGCATAAAAACAGAGACAGTTTAGATCCAAGACACTCATGAAATCAGATTAATAATAATAGTAACAATCAAATTCTACGTAAATGATTAAAATTGGAGATGGATGAGAACTTACAGTAACAAAAACCATATCAGCACCATAAAGAGCCTCTTCTATTGACCCTTTGCTTTCTTTGGCAGCATTCATGCCAATCTCTGGGTTCCCACCAGCACCTAGACCCCTAGTTAGCTCCTGACCGATTTGCAAACGATGCTCAGGAAAGACAGGTGACATTTTCATGGCTTGAACATCAGTGTTAACAATCCAGAACTCTACACCCTTCATTGAGCTCTCTATCATGCGATTAACAGCATTTGATCCACCACCTCCAACACCAATAACTTTGATCTTAGCTTCATTATAATTACTTGAACCAGACATGTCTCTTAAGCTCTCGGTGACACTTCCACTAGAACTATCCTTTCTTGGGTTGGTTATTGTATTGTTCCCTTCACCTCTAAGCATTGAAACTTCAGGATGCAGATTCAGAAAAGGGTCTTTATTTTGATACGGACTGACACTATGAGAGTTGGCAGAGCATCTAAAACGAGTCATCATAGACATTTGGCGAGCACTTAAAAACCCACTTTTCCTACCACACATTTTAAGGTAGCTACCTCTCCCTAGAGGATTCTCCATTACCACTCTCCCTCCAAGAACATTAAGTACCGCCATTGATCTAGTATCTGAAGGTGTAAAATAGGGCGATATAGCAGTCGCCATGTGAAGAGCAGCACTAAGAATCAGATTTAATTACGCTATTATAGAAGCCAGAAAATTTAACGTCCAAAATAGCTTAACTTAAAGTTGCACACTCAAATTTTCTTTCAATACCTGCATAAAACACAGAATAAAATAAAAACTATATTCCAAAATATTTTAGAAAAACCCATTAACTTTCTAAATTAAAGAGCACAAAAAACTTATAAACTATGAAGCATAACATCAAACAAGTTTGCAAAATACATTCAGAAATTAAAAAAAAAATACAAACTACCCAAAATGCTTCAACTTTAAAGTACAGAAACAAGATTCACACAATTCACTACAGAAAGTCCAATCTTGCAGATAAAACGCAAAATCAGAAATTAAAAGAAAAAAATTGTATAAACAAGAGAAAATGCATCAAAAGAGAAAATGACATCTGGGTTTTAAAGAGAAAGAGGAAAAGAGAAAACCTGAAAGAGATGCAGAGTCGAAGGTAACAGAAACAGCGAAGTTCCCAAAGGCATTTGGGTGCTAAAGCCCAAAAGGGAGTGGAAATGGGGTGAAATGGCAGAAGTTTTTTTTTTCTTTTTTGTAGTTGATTTCAGGGCTTGAAACTCTCTTTTTTGGCTATGCGATTTGTTTTGTCAGGTTATTGTTGATAAATTTTTTTTTTTTAAGTAAAAAAAATAAAACCCGATGTTACCAACAAAAAAGTAGTACTCCAAAAAATAAGTGAAAAGGAAAGACATGAATTAATGCGATTAATGAATAGGACCCTTATCGGCCAGGGTTTAAGTGTCAGTGAATTTCTGGCCCCTTAAAATGCTTAAACCCTTGTTTTTTTCAAATTCCTTTTTTATAATGAGGGCCCAAGAAAAGTTGAGTTTTTCCTGTCCAAGAATTGCGAAATGACTTAGACCTTTCCTGTGAAGTGGAGAGCACAGCCCAAGTTTCTATTTTTTAACACCCCAAAAAAGTCCAAGTTGTCAACAGCCCACACCAAGTCCAAAGTTTTCATTTTTTTTTTTAACTACTGCTGACCTGGCTTGCTGAGGTAATCCAAAAAATTTTTTTTATTTTTTTCTTCCATTCCTTCTCCCTCTCTTTCTGTTCCCACTATGACTCCTTTTCAGCCATTATTCTGCGAGATCATATTTATTTAGAGGAATGGTAAGATTAATTTTAATGAAATTAAAAATTATAATAAAGATAAAATTATTTATTATGATGATGAGATTAAATATTATAATTATAAAATTAAAATTAATGAGATATGTATTTAAGTATAAAAATAATGATGATGATAAAATTAAAAAAAAAATTATTAAAGATATTAGAATATAAATTATATTAACAAAAATTTTAAATTATTTAATATTTATAAAATTAATTAGAATTTTATTTATATATTAATTTATTATATAATAAATAAAACTTGTTTATTATATATAAATTAATAAATTTACTTTATAATTTTTAAATAAAAAATAAAAAATAAAAATATAAGGATATTTTTATCTTTGTAATATAAAATAAAGGATGAAAAAAAAACTTTGAAGTTCGGTGTCGTTTTTTCAACTGAAGCTAAATTCTCCAATGAAAAAAAGTAGACAATCATACCACAGCTTTGATATCCAAACGGATGTTAAACATCAGCTGGCACAATTTTTGTTGGCAACTGCACCTCCAGTGAGGTGCAGTCGAAACCAAATGGAGCCTTAGTCGTCTAAAGGGTCAAAATAACACAAATAAACTTTGATTCCTTTCAAGTGGCTCCAACAAGTTCTCGCATACGACATCAGCTAACTTGGTCCAATCAGATGGTGACAGAAATGACCATACGTTGAAGATTAAGAGTGAGAAATGAAAGGAAATAGAAAAAAATAAAAAAAATTTTAATTTTCAATATTTTTTCAAGTCATCGTTACAGAAGGTAAAAATATCTAAAATTTATGAGTTTTGATCCGATACGATTTTTTAAGATCAATTTTTTTTTTTAAATCTAATATATGATCAAGTCTGATCGAATGACATAAAAAAAAATTCGAAGTCAAATTTTATACAAATTCAACTTTATTTGATTTGATATATAAAAAAATTTTATTTTTTAATTATTTATTTAATTTTATATTCATTTATATATTTATTTATATATTTTTAATTTTATATTTATATTAAAAATAATATTTTATTAATTTTAAATCGAATACGATTTTATCTAATATCAATTAGATTGAATTCAAATATAAAATAATAAAAAATTTATCAAATTAAATTTAAATTTTATATATTTAAAATCGAATCAGATTCAATATTAATAAAAATTTATCTCGATCTAATTTATTGTCATCACTAATCATAGTAAATTACATAAAAGTAAATTTTATTTATTTTTTTAATTTTCTTTTTTTTTTTTCAGGTAACCATTCGAGTGAACAAAAAATCTAGCTAGCATTAAATGTTATAGAAGTTAACCTTTTATTTAAAATAAAGATTTATATATAATCTTATCCGTTTTAGTCTTTTATACTGAGTATTGGTTTTTAGAGTGCCATTTGTCATGTTGTGGTTAATCTTTTTTTCTTTTTTTTTTTTTAATTTTTAAATTTTTAAATTTTTAAAATTTTAAAATTTAATTTTTTTCACTTTTTCTTTTACAAAACTAATAGTTTTTTAAAATGTTGTACATTTATGTGTAGCATTCGCATATAACAATTTTTTTTCTTTTTATCTTTTTTATTTTTTAAATAAAAAATTGAGTATGATTTTCTTTAGATTTTATTTTTTAGGGCACATTTGAGTGATGTGCAGTCCAACAATCCTGTTTCCTTTAATTATCACATGTCATTTTTAAGATTTTTTTTCTTTATTTTTTAAATTATTTAATAATTTTTTAAAAAAATTATAAAATATATATTTTTTAAATTTTTTTTTTTGCCATTTTAATTATATATATATTTTTGAAGATCTACTTGATACTAATTGTATATTATGTGTTTATTTAATATATATTTTTGTTTTTTCTTTTGTAATTAGCAAATGTGTTGATATTACGTTCGAATTCGATTTTATTATTTTCAATCATTTTTTATTTAGATCAATTTTATAATAAAATGAGTCAATTAATAAAAATAACAAAATAATGAATATCATATAAGTTTTATTCATCTTGATTTGATGTAAGCATTTTTATAAAAAATATATTAAATTAATTCAAAATAAGAGATCAGTTTAAATATATGCATGTCACTTTCACTTAATTTCTTTTGTATCTTTTGCCATTTTTCATTTTTTATATAATTAAACACATTTTTAACAATAAAACCCATAAATATGAATGGTAAAATAAAAAATTTTGACCCATAGTAAGTGCGGGGACTTGTCTAGCTATATATGAAAATTAGATATATTAATATTTACTATAATACCTTATTTGTTTTTTTTTTTTATATAAAAGAGATGGTCATTTAAGGAGAATGGACTTTAAGTATTAAATTTTGAATTTCAAATTTACTTGATATTGTTTTATAAAAATTATTGAATGAATTAATAATATTAAACACAGATTATTTTTACTATTTATTTCATTAAAACTTAACATGTGGCATGTGGTGGTTTTTGTTTTTTTATTTTTTGAGATGGAATGAGAAAATTGATGAGTGATTTTTTTTTGGATTTTTATGATGTGGGAAGAGGATTACTTGGTTTTTTTTAACAGCTTTATTATTAGCATGGGTTGCTTTTTTAATTCGGCTTTTTTTTCAAAATAAAAATGATTTTTTTGTCAAATGTAATTTTTAAGAAGTTATATTATAATGAAAATAATTATTTTTTGTAAAATGTAATTATTACTATACAATTAAGCAACTTTGCATATTATTTATGTACAGAAAAAATTATATAAATAAATAATATATTTGATTATAATATTTAATTATAAATAAAAATTTAAAATTATCTAATTATTCATTTTAAATTAATTTAATATTTATATTGTTATCTTTAATTTTAAAAAGTAATATTTTAAAATAATTAATTTAATTTGTTATTACTATTATTATTATTATTATTTTTGCATAAATATTATGATTTTTTTTTTTTTTTAAATAACGGATGATTCCACACTTAGATTTTGTTTAATAAAAAAAAAAGAAGTAAAAATAAAAAATATATCAATTTAATAATTAAAATTCAAAATCACCATTTTACTTTATTACCTTAGAGGTGAACTATTAAATTAACAAATTTTTACTCGCAATTTCATTCCATTTTTCGTCGCGCGCAAAACATTGCTCTCCAGTTCACCTAGTACAGGTCGAACTGGACAATGGTCTCCAGTTCACCTAGTACAGGTCAAACTGGACAATGGAGTATTCTCGCGCCAAATTAGACTGAGGCTGCAAACTCGATCGTTCTCTGTGGCTATATAGTTAGGTAAGAGGGTTGTAAAGCCCTCCAAGTCAAGTGGTTGATTTCTCTCTCTTTATTCTTCGGCCGCCATCTCTTCTCTTCTGTCGAGACATCCAATCAGTGAGTAATCATGTATCTTGTTTTGATTTGCAAAATTAATTTGCTTTAATTGTTTCTTTAATAGTTTTGGGACATGGTGTTGGTGAATTGAATTGCAAACCCTGTCGTTGATTAATTGTTTCTTCTTTCTATTTCTGCTTCGAATTCGAAAAACAAAGACCAATGTTTCCATACCTATTAAATTGTCTGATCTGAGTTTACTTACTCAAAATCTAACTAGTTAGTACTTAGTACTAAGAACAATTTTTGTTACCTTTTTCTTGGCAATTTATACCAGATTTGTGCAGCAAGATGTTGAGCAAGTGCACTTATCTTCTGTCGCTCTTGCTCTTCCTCTGTGCTGATGATGATTGCGAAAGGGACCTATTGCCGGATGAGAGTGCTACATCAAAGGGACCCAGTGCCGGTGGTGATTGCGAAAGGGACCTAGTTCCGGATAAGAGTCCTACATCTGAAGCACAGAATGACATGAGCCAACCATTACTGTCGCCAAATCATAACAAAAAAAAGTTGAGCCCCATAAAAAGAAAACAGCAAGATTCCAACGAATTATCAAAACGAAGAAGCATCAAAGGGAGTTGCACCAGCACCTTCCATGTTGGAGAACCATCTGAAGTTTCCCAAACACCAAAACCAAAAGGAAAAGGAGTGCCTGTAGAAGAACTTCTCAAGAAGCATTCTGCCTTGAAAGTACTAAAAATTCTCGGGGACAGAGTTAATCGACAGATAAAGATTGTAATCCATTTTAATTCGCAAATTTCACATTAATTAATTTTTATTGTATCCATCATCCATGGTTTTGTTTTTATTAACTCTTGTTTGTATAAATGAAGGACGAGAGGGCAGACCTATACTCTTGTGTAAGTTTAATGAAGTACGTGATGGAGAACGAAGTCGTTGACCTCTATCAACCAATATTTGATTCCCTCAACCGAATCAAAAAGATATGGCCACCGCGGACTGACCTCGAGAACATAAAGAAGAAGATCAAGGAAGAGGAGGACAAGGAACGAAAGAAGAAAAATGGGGCCAGGAGAGCTGGTGCAGCAACGATGGAAGTAACAGATGAAATGAAGCAGACATTGAAAGAAATAGAAAAGATGATAGAAAGGTCAATTGAAAAACGGCGAGAGGTACCTTTTCTTCCCTCGCTCTCCTCTTACTCTTTTTTCTTGAATCTTGCAATAATATCTTCAAGACCAACAAGCGGGTAGGAATGAACAAAAGAAATTGATTCATTTTGATCTCCTTGGCACTCTCCTTTATAAATCCTTGTAGTAAACATGATAATTTTGTAATTTACTCAATTTTTTTAGTTCTAAATCTAGTTACTACTTTGATTTCATTTGATTTGAATGTAGTTACTATTTGATGTCTCTAATCCTAACTTTTCTGTTTTTCAGGACACTACAAAAGTAGAGAACCTTGAAAAAATCCTCACAACTGAGGTATGCAGATTTCTTGCCATTGATATACTGTGTTACCTTTTAACCTATAGTATTATTCCTTCAATAAGATGATTGTTTATCATTTATAAATCACCTTGAACTACAAATTTTAAAAGAATTAGGGATAATCGTAACGTGCCTTTAAAGTTAGAGGTAAAGTTATATAAACCAACTATAAAATCTGCATTGTTATATGAAACTGAGTGTTGGATTGTTAAAAAATAATATAAAAAGAAAATGAGTGTAACTGAGATGAGGATGTTTAGATGAATGTGTAGTAAGATTAGAAGAGACAAAATCAGAAATGAAGACATTCGAGAAAAATTATGATTAGTCTAAATTGAGGAAATGATAAGAGAGGGCCGTTTGAGATGGTTTGGCAATGTAAAATGTAGGTCTACTTGTGCACCAATTAGGAGATGTGAGCTTCTAGATTTAGGAGCAAAACTTCTAAGGGCAAACCACAAAAGATGTGGATGCAAGTAATCAAACATTATATAAGGGTCAAGGAAATAGATGAAACAGATGTTGTGAATAGAAATAAGTGGCACAAGAAGATTCGAAATTATGACCTAATGTGATTCTCTTTTGGTTTTTCATACAACTAACTCCAGAGTTATGGAATATGAGACTTAGTTTGTTATTGTTGTTATAGGGACAATTAGGATTGTCCCTGAAAGCTGCAAAATTGTTCCTATATTTTTGGAAAGGATTATGGTCATCCTGATCCGGCTAAGCATATTTTAAAAATTATGTGCCTAAAATTATTGGAGACAATTGCACACCAATCGTCTTTAACATTAAACTTGACTTTCGTACTTGCTAAAATAGTAAAAGGGTCTCTGAATTTAATTATTTTATTTAGATAAGTTTTTATATTTTTATTGTATTCAAATAAGTCCATCTTGAATTTGTACCTAAATAAACCCTTAACATAAATCCATTTTTTGTTTGAAATAAAAGCTTATGTCGGTACAAATTAAAAAAAAAAAAAGAGCTTATTACGATACAATAAAAGTATAAAGGTTTATTTAAGTAATGTAGTTATGTTTAAGGGTTTTTCTAGTGTTTTAGTCTTTTCATTTTTAAACTTGTAGGAACATTATTGTCTTAAAACTTGTAAGAGTTTTGAATCTCTTTGGTGATGTTAGTCTTCCTCAAATTAATACTATATGATTTAAGATGATAAACATCTCAATTCTATGTAAGCATATGTCAAAAAGAGTCTTTAAGGATCACTGATGGAACCTTCTTCGACATTATTAGGTATGTTACTAGGAATGATTGAAGTCCTATTTCAATATCATCCAGACACATACCCGTATCCGATTCGCATTCAACCAACATATCCATGTTTGTGTTTGGCTAAAAACTCTCAATGCAATCACATCAGCAAAAGCGAAATTAAATAATCAATTAAACATATAAGAGACAGTAATTTAACATGATTCGGTTCAACTGACCTACATCTATAAATGAGAAGTAAGATCCACTAGTTGTAAAGAATTACAAGCATACATCAAATCAAATCAAATCAAATACTCATAACTAATACCTATAGACCATCTTAATCTTCTCTAATCCTATGAAATATTTTTAACCCAAACAAACACTTCACATGTGCACTTTTTCAACATAAACACATACCCATTTGCACCCATACATCATATCTATGTGAACTTTCTCAATTTTCTTTAGTCTACTCCCAAACATTCAAACATATACACCCATAAGACGTAAATCTCCAATACTCCTATGGGGTATCTATTCTACAAAATCCTATAACTTTCTTATATCTTTTTCTCATATCTAACCTTGTAGAGATTTCACCTATTTATAACCATACAAACTTACCTATTAAGCATCTTTTTCTTTTTAGAATTCTTCTTTTGCAAATCAAACTTGTTTATTAAGAATCCCTTTCTTTTTAGAATTCTTCTTCTGCAAGTTTTCTTGTCCATTAAGTAATATCTAACAAATTTCAAATAAATTTTTTATGGGATTTGAGTCATTATTCCTAACAATCTTCACCTTAACTCAAATTTCATCAAATCATCTATCTTTATACTAGACATACTTGGCTCCACCTGCAATGAAAATCTTACAATCTTCTTTTATGTATCTTCACGCTTCACGCAAACCAATCCTTAAAACACAAACTCAAACTTCTTCCTTGAATCGAGGTCCTCTAAGCTTGCCTCTTTTCATGTCTTGAACCATGTTTTGATACCACTTGTTGGGCTAAAAAGTCTCAAACTAATCACACCAGCGGAAGCGAAATCAAATAATTAATCAAACATACAAGAGACAATAATTCAACGTGGTTCAGTCCAACTAACCTATATCCACGAATGAGAAATAAGATTCATTAGTTGTAAAAAATTACAAACATACATAAAATCAAATCAAATACTCATAACTAATACCCATAAACCTGCTTAATCTCCTCTAATTCTATGGAGTATTCTCAACCCAAACAAACACTTTTCATGTGTACCCTTTCAACACAAACACATACCCATTTGCACCCATACATCATACTTATATGGACCCTCTCAATCTTTGTTAGTCTATTCCCAAACATTCAAACATACACACTCATAAGATGTAAATCTCAAGTACTCCTATGAGGTGTTTATCTCATAAAAATCCTACAACTCTCTTACATCTTTTTCTCATATCTAACTTTGTAGAGACTTCACCTATTTATAACCATACAAACTTATCTATTAAGAATTCATTTCCTTTTAGAATTTTTCTTCTGCAAGTATTCTTGTCCATCAAATAATATTTAACAAATTTTAAATAAATCTTTTATGAGATTTGAGTTACTATTCCTAACAGTTTAGATATGGGTAATTCTAAAAAATAAAGAATTAAAGCTCCTTCAACATTATTAGGAATGACTATGTTTCTAAGATTGGAGGTGAATGAAGTCCTCTTAATTTCTATATTATTGGGGACGACTAATGTTGTCATATATTGCTTTAAGTGCTAAGGTAAATGTCTTATCTATATGTGCAATTTATATAACATAGCAAAACTTAGACATTCAGCATGATGATAAACCAGGATGAGATATATAGATGTCATGAAAACTACCTCTAGAGAGACATATGCTATAGAAGCAGTTAGGGCAACCATCTTTCAAGTAAGAAGTGAATTTAGCATTATAAGATAGCTATATCGAATAAAAAAAAATACTAATATGAATTGACTATAGAAGAGTTTTCTTTTAAAAAAAGATAAGAGCAACATAATGAGTGAAGCACAATAAACTCAAGTGCTATAAACTTTGTACCTGCAAGAGTAGGGTATTCTTTCTGACACCAGGATGACCGGCAATCACTCAACTACTTTGTACGGTTTCAAGTTACCATGGATAGCTATAAGTACATATGGTGCAAGGTGGGCTGCCACAGGCGACTGGAGGTCGGGCGTGCTCAAATCAAACTGATCGGGTTCTAATCCTGCCTTTCCATTTCCAGTAGTCGCCAGCAAGACTACATAAGTTTCACGTTATGCGTTTTATAGCACAAGTTTTATAACATAAGTTTTATTGCTAAACTTAGTCTCTCATGAAAACAAAAAATAGCACAAACAACAAAAAGAAGGGGCAGTGACACTGGCAATATTCCACCTGTATAGCTAATTAGAATGGGCAGAAACGAAAAAGAGAAACAACTCAATGAATTCATTGTACCATATATATTATATTCAAAATGGGATCTATTGCTACAACTCTCGCTGAAGTCTGGAGAATAGATTCATTGAAAACGCCTTCTCTCTTTTCATTGAAAAAGCATCTTGCTTGATTTGTCCTGCATCCACCTCTCTTTCCTCTGTGTTTTCTGGATTATCTGGCTTCAGTGTTTCAAGTCATCAGTCTTAGACTTGTCCCTGTTTACAGCTTGTAATGTCGATGAGTTATTTATTTTCTCTTAAATTTCAGGGGGTTAGCGTGGATACTCTAAGAGAAGAGGTATGATATTTACTTCCATTGCACAAATGATCATGTTAACTTTGTTGGTGGAATCTAAAAGCTCCGACTGACAATGAATTTTATATATATATGCTTAATGCTTATGTGGGTCTTCTTCCATGTTTGCTGTGTTAGCTTTCTTCGGCATTTCCATGGCTTTTCTGGGAGAAAACTGCAGCTAACGAGCCTACTGTTGATCAAGGAAGTTGGCGAACTCGTGAAAAGAAGCTTTTTGCCAAGGACAAGAACAAAGTGGATGTTTCAAATTTCCAAGGTTTGGAAGATGAAATAACGACTGCCGAATTGAATGATCTTCCACGCTACCTAAAACTTGTTGCTCGCAAATTGGAAGACCATCGTGGTGAAGCTACTGATTTTGCAGATGCCAATATTCTAGCTCTTCTTTTCGACAACCTCAAAGAGATGGAAAGTCTGCGACCTGAGCAACTCAGCCTGTCTACGTTGTTTAAGTGGGGAGCTACGGTGAACAAGGCCAAAGAACTTCTTCATTACCCGGTTGATTTTGTTGAAATCCACTTGAAGAGAAGTTTGCTTGCTTACTTTGGTTTATTAATTTCAAAAGCATCGAAAAAGGGTCCGGAAATCAGAGGCTAAGTTCAAGGTCAAGATGAAGGTGATGCTTGTGGTTTTTATTTTCGTTTGTCTCCATAACAACTTATTAGTGGTTTTTGTTGTTTTTAGTTCTTACTTGGAACATGAACTTTGAAGGTGCGTGGAGTTCTTTTTGGTATGTGGTATGTGGACAGTTACACTTTAATCATAAATTTGTGTTTGTGGTTTTTTTTTTTTTTTAATTTCAATTCTAAGTATTTGTAATTTTTTAGTTTAATCCTAACTCGTAAATGTTGAAGTAATTTTTTTTAGCTGAAAAAGAGAAGAAATATGAATAGCTATGATCTAAACTTCTTTTTTCAAGAAAAAGTGAAGAATTAATATATTTATAATCATACTTTCTCCCTCTCGTTTTTTTATTTATATATTTTTGTGTCCTAAAATTATTTTATTAATATTTAAATTTAAAATTTTTATATTTTAAAATTATATTTATAATATTTTACTTTTTAACATTAAAAATTTTTTTAAAATAAATAATATTTAGAAAAAATTAAATTTTAACATTAAAAATATTTAAATGATTTTTTTTTTAATTTGGTGAAAATTAGTAACATCCGACGAATGAATATAAAAAGAAGCTTCAAATGGGAAGATTATATAAATAAAAAAATTAAAAAAAAAAAAACGAAATTCCAAAAAAATAAATAAATAAATAAATTTCGCATCCCTTTCTTGCCATCTCCTTCTTTCCTCTTCAATCTCAGGAGTCTTGTCTTTTCGATCCTCTTCAATTTGCTCCGCGACTGAAGCTGAAGAAACGATGACGACAGGGCGTATCCAATTTCCTCCTTTAATTCAGTGCCATTCCCATTCTTCATTTTGAATGTCCTGGCTGATTTTTTTTTTTTTAATTTTTTACAAACCCATGGCTTCTCGGTTGTGAGCGACAGCCGCAAAGAAAATCGAACTGGAGGCTGTGAGGTGGCAAACCCTGTCGTTGACCGACGCAGCCGCCTCCAGAATTCGTCACCTTCTTCAACAGCGCCAAAGACCTTTCCTTCGATTGGGTGTCAAGGCTCGCTGATGCAACGGCTTATCCTATACCCTCAATAACGCCGGTTCGCATCCTGTTTTAATATTTTTTATCTTTACTTTGGAAATGAATTAATATTGAATTTTGTTTTATGGAATTGGCAGATAGATGAGAAAGGAAATTTTGATGAATTGGTTGAGGACAAGGGCGTGAAAATACTAATTGATCCAAAAGGTTTGATGCATGTAATTGGGAGCAAGATGGATTTTATAGATGATAAACTCATGTACCTAAAGATTTAATCTTTTAGTAGTTTTATTTCAATTTGGTTACCAAATATTTTGTCTTTATATGATAAATTAGTGGTGATTAGTAAGTTGAGAAATATAAATTAGATTTAAAGCAGTTGCTTTTGGCCAATCAAGAGTCATGAAAAGGTACCATTTGGTTGTGTTTGTGTTTTCTTCCCAGGTGGAAACCGGAACTGAAACTTTTTACTTGAACATTACATGAAAATTTTCAATTTGGGTTTCAGTTGTGCACCATGCCATTTTCCAAATTCATTATATTTCGACCGTTGTTACCTCTTTGGTTCTACGTGTCTATTGTCACGATATTTCCAAGTTCATAGATAACATGGATGCATATTATGGGCACTCTACCGGTCACCATCTCCCCCTTCACTGCAATTTTCTTATTGTTTCTCATTGTTCTCTCTTAGACGAGAATGCTGATCCCTAACCACTATCACATTCCTGCTTACTCGGCCAACTATTGCACATTTTCTCACATTTACATTGCTAATGCTTCTGTCTTCATCTAACTAGGTTATTACTCTCTCTCTCTCTCTCTCTCTCTCTCTCTCTCTCTCTGAGTTTGCACACACATGTGTGTGTGTGTCCAATTCAAATGCTTTATAGCAGACTGCTGATGCTGTCTGCTTCCCCCCTGTTACTCTTCTTAAACAATTTAGTTGGCGGATACCATACTGTAGTAAAGCAACATTTCTTTTTGCATGTATGTTAACGTGAGGTAGAGATTGCTTTTGTTGGATTATCAAATAATTTATAAACTTAGGTGGTTGTTGTGGGAATAATTTTTTTTCTTTAGAGGGCCTTTAACTGGATAAAAGGTAATGTTGCACGTGGAAACATCCAGCATGTAGGGAGCTTTGATGTTAGCAATGTTTAACTTTATTTGATATGTGCTTGCATGAATTTAAATGCTTTGTGTTACAGAAACTGGCTTGTATTTGTTGTTGATTTTTTCCTGTTTAAATTTGTATTCTATTCTTTCTGTACAGGTCTTGAGTTCGTTTTTATCAATCCACACTCTAAAAGGCAGTGTGGATGTGGCGAGTCTTTCATGACAACATCTTGTAGTAGTGGTGGAGCTGCTAAACAAGGTGTTACATGGGATTTCAAAGACCTTGTAATAAGATAGGTATTGAACTAACCTACTTGATTCGAGGGAGCTCCTTAATTCACCACTCAAATAAACTAAGAGGAAACATTTATCCGCAAACCAGGTGAACTTTTATAGCAATTTTTGCCAGCTGATTTTATGAGTAGAAGTGGAGTACGGTATACTCCACATATTGCTGTATCGCTGATGCGAGTTTGGCGTCTGAAAATCATTTCTATACTACATTTTACATAAGTTCTTTTGAAATAATAAATGTTGCTGCACCCTTCATATTACAGCTAACTCGTGCTTTTTGTTCATTGACCCTTTGGAAATGATGGCACTTAACATCATTTCATGAATGCTTTATAGTTACAACATTATATATATTTGGATCAATCAATGAAATGTTTGTCTACATTTGCAATTTGCGGAGTAATAGCACATAGAAGTCGGGAATACCTCCAATTAAGGTGTTTTCAAGGCTGTTTGAGTGAATAGACTGTTGTTTGACCTTTTTACCTCAAGGTCCTTTCTTTTTTATGCCAAGTGCGAATGCTTTTTTTCTGATCTCAAGGCTGTTCAATTATGAAATCTCCGTATGGTTTCATTGTCAAAACCTGAATATGGAGATCAACATTGTTGATGAAACAATTTTTCACCCTTAGAATACATTGAGCGAAATTTAAGACAGATAATACAGAAACAATGACATACCTATGTCTGAGAAGCAGACCTGTATAAAAAGTACAGCATAATTATTTCAGACTTCAGAATTTGATTATTTATAAAAATCATATTTCCAAAGCCCTGCCCCACCCACTGACTTTTTTTTTCTTTGCGGCCGCCGCCCGGGGGGGGGGGGTGTTTAAGAAATCCTCTGACTCTGTCATTTATTTTAAGGTTGATGAGCTGCAGATTCAGGTAGTCAAAATTTCTTTATTTCAAACTGTTCTCCTTGCTAGCTTTAGGTCGGTCGTAGAAAGGCAAACAACTCAAATTTTACCTTGTGTCATTTTCGTTTTGCTTTACAATGAACAACTCAGATTTCTTCTCATTATTCTTAGTTTCTCTTTAGCATTTTGGGCTTTGGTTTATGTTTTCATTTTCCATTCTTCAAAGTACTGCAAGAAAATTACAGGCAAATTAGGAGGAACAAAGCAAAAACTGAATCATATAGAGTTTCCAAATTACTTGGGTGCACATTGGCATCAATGCTATATTCTTCACAAAAATTTTGTTTTTTGGGTGCCTCGTGGACGGTGCACTTGGAATCAGTTAGATGATTTACCTGTTGCTTTCTTTTCCTCTCGAGTTCTGCCCGTTAAGATGCAAGTAAATCAGAGTAGGTTCTTAAAATAATAGATGATGAAAGCTATATGAAGACCTAGAAACTTGAGAAAATGAACAAAAGCAACAATAGTGTTACCACTCCCTGCTTAAGGTGGGCATTCTCTTGTTTCAATTGGATCAATTCTGCTTCAAACTCAACTGTATGTGACTGTAAAAAATAAAAAACCACCAACCTTGTAACAACGGCTACTTTAGAACTAATTACAATATTCATTTCTCCAAGAATCTATCACTAGTATAACAAAAACTTGAAAGTGTCAGTCACAGAGTCAATTCTATTTCTCAGCTTAAATTTCCTTTTTCTTGCTAAGCCAACTTAAAATTATTAAGCACATATATTCCAATTGCCATTCAGTCACACAGATCTCTCATGAAAAAATATATTTCTGTTCTATATAACCCCCTGAACATCCTATTCCGGATCATGAACTTTAGTAGCATTAACTGAGCCATCGCATATCTTCAATTCATATCTCTGTGCTTGCAATAAAGGTCGAGTTAAAAGAAAGATTATGAAAGCAAACAACAAAATTATCAGAATCTAGGCCCTTTGCCTGGATGTTATATAATTCAAGTACACCTTTATGTTTAGGTTATGCAAATCCTGGGTTGGAGTTAATGTCTATACATGTGATATCCTATAGGTTTCCATAGATTATAAGAAGAAAAAAGGGAGGTGTAGTCATCAGGTTCATCCATGGCCTAATCGCCAATGCAGAAACCAATAACTCTGGTACTGCATTTAGGCCTAGGCAAATTAAATTGTGAAAATAAGGCACAACCCAGGGAAGCAAAACAATATTTGTCAATAAACTGTTATTCGCTCTATATATGCATTTACATCAGCAAGGCGTATAACTATCAATTCAATATACAGTAATAGTACCTGTTTTCTAGCTCTAGACCTAGCAGCTGACTCCCTATTCTTAATCATCCTGCGTTGCCTTCTCTCAACTACCTTCTCTACTGGACCATCAATGACCATTTTCCTTACTCGTAGTCCTCCCATCTCCATCCCAAATTGAATTGCTGCATTATCAACTTGATTGGTAAACATCCCTTCTGATGAGTCATTGGTGACACCACTCCCATTGCCGGTCCAGGTCCATAACCACCAGCAGGCGCAGCTACCTTCCCTCTATAACAAACCACTGTCGATGGCAGCTGGGTAGCTGGCAGGTAGCCACCACCCCTCTTACCGTCATTAACATATCCTGATGAATCACCGAGGACTCGACCTGGAGGCATTGTCTGGTAGCACTCCCACCAAAGCCACCAGTGCTGCTACCCATTCCCATAATAGGCCTGGAAACAAAACCTGGACCCACTGCAGGGTTTTTGCTAGTCTGATACAATCCGTATTGTGGCTGATGCTGCGGAGGTGGTACCGCTGGTGGCGTGCAATGTTCCCTGACTACCCCTGCCTTAATCAAGAAATCCTCCAAGGTCACCTCCCCAAAAGCTGGCTGCCTGGTATTGCTGTTCTCAGTATTCTGTACATTGCTATTGTTACTGAACTGTCCTTGCCCTCGCTGCCCTTTATGTATCTCAGACCAAACTTCATCAACAGTCTTCCTACACAATGGTTCAGGAAAGGTAAGCGAGGCTTGCCTAGGCAAGCTAGGCTGCTTATCTATGCCTTTACTGCTTGCTGTTTCTTTCAAAGACAAACGAACATGGCTGCTAACTCGTTTATTTGGACAGTTGTACTGATGATCGTTATTGTTGGAGTTGATACCTTGGTTTTCTTCAGCGTTCCAGATGCTGGTGAGGAACTCATCCATGTTCATAGACCTGAAGTTCTTGCCACCCTCGCACAACGTGTTTTGGAACTCATCAAGAGTGAGAGAATAGATTGAGGATTGTCTTCCAAGGGCTCAGAAAGGGTGGTTCTTCTGCTGCTGATCCACCACCTGCAACGGTGACTCAACCTCGCCAATCTCAGACTCCCTAACCACCATTTTTGTGATGAAAACTCTACGAAGCTACGGCTCTCTGATACTGATTGATTTGGCAATACCAATTGACCTGTTTGTGAACAACGAGAAGGAAAGTAGATGGAGTATTAGATTCAGAAAAAGACACTAATATTACAAAGAAAGAGACCATGAAAATCTTGTTTTAAACATTTTCCCACTAAACATACCACTCAAAATGTGATGATAATTAATCAGCGGTTTGTTCTAGCAGATCCAAGCCTGATTCTTGAAAATGAACCCTACCTGTAAGCAAGGGGAAGAAAACAAATTGAAGAAGGAAAAAAATCTACAAAGAGTATTGCCCTTAGAGCAATCAATAATAAATCAAAGCACATGAACTGTAGGTTCCTAAAGCCAAAAGTTCTAGCAATACAACAGGGCAACAGTATCTAGAAAATAATGATGAACATTTACGGGAGATTAAATTCAGTAAAATTAATCTAGTAATTGAGGAAACAGAATAATTAAAAAAAAAATTTTAATTGAATACTGTTTTTTTATAAAGGAGAAAAGATTCTAAAGTTTCTGCAACTATGGGAATCTATAGCTTATCTCGTTTCCTCTCCTCCACCGTCCACAAATTAAAATAAAATATAATATATGTATCTATCATGCTAGAAGATTTAGAAGGTGCTTTAAATTTCCAATTACTAACATAGTTCAAGAAATCAAACACTACTGCCGGGTTCAAATCCTCCTTTCCCAAATAAATAAATAAAAAAAAAAGAAATCAAAAACTACCATTTTCCTTTAAGTCTTAATTAGTCTTCATTAATATATATTTCCATCACTTATAACAAAGACTAAAGTTAAAGATACTTAAACCCTAATTAAGTGACAATCTTAATTTTTTTTCATAATTCTAGTCACTCTTTTTTGAGAGAAAATGTTAGTATGTCCAAATCTTTATTGTAATTAAAAACTGACGTGGATCAATCAAAGCCACATGATAATGAATGAAAAATATATGTATGCCCAGATGAAGCACCAATATATATTGTTTGTGTTTGTCAACACTAAAAGTGATGTGATTAGTGAAAAGAGCAAAAAAATATCAAAATGTCAAAAAATTTGTGGGAAAAAAGAAAAAAAAAATGATGTGGTTCCTTAAAGTGGAAGACAATATGGATGGTCGAAAAGGAAAATACAACAGAATCTTTCCTATTGTGGAAAAGATAATAGCAGCCATTAATTTAACAAAGCTTTGTTTATTTAAAAAAAAAATTAAAACTTTGTTTAAATTACAATTAAACAAAGCTTTGCTTTGTCTCTCATAAGGGATTAGAAAACTATATTAACCAAAAACTGCAAAAAAAAAAAAGGAAAGGGTGGTTAAAATTTCAAAGCTAGCTACCTATGACTACACATGCAAACTATCCTCATTAATCTTTTTTAATATGATTAATTAGAAGTTATCAAGTTATAATCAAAGAAGGTAAGAGCTTTGTAAAAATAAAAGTTATTAGAAGAAAGAGGAATGGTTAAGATATATATGTCAATTATAGTATAAAAATAATATCTCAATTATGACTTTTTAAAATAAAATTACATGGCTGTATAAAAAAAATTTACATGTATTGATAACTGTATCAAACCATTGAGGTAAATTTTGAATTCAATAACATTAGCAAATGTAAAACATATGCATAAAATAAAATTCATTTAAATAAATTAATTTTTTTAAATAAAATTGGGAATGAAAAATTAAATTTTAAAAGTCAGATATAAAAATAAAATATTGCATGAAATATCAATTAGGATTAATGAGTTATTTTTGCTCATATAATTCAACATTTACTAAGAATTTCTTTTTCCTATGTACCACATAATAAGATAGTTTGCCAAGCTCCAAACATTCCTTTTGTTTTCCACTAACCCTTTACTGCCTTACACCACTGAATAATTAAGAAATATCATCACATAAAAAGAAAGTGGTATTAATCATGACTCCAAATTTCACGTTCCTTCATTTTCAAGCAAAGAATAGCTAAAATTTTGGATGAAGGTTAAAATATATCTTTAAATTAAAATTTAATAATTATTTATGTTTTTATCAATAAAATTTTTAATTTTTTATTTCGATTCAAGTAAACTTTTAATTTGGATGAAATTTAATCACTTGACAAAATTGAATCAATTAATCTCGAAATTATAATCAATTGAACCTTTAAGTATCTTAAACAGAGTGGGAAAAAGAAAAAAATTATTTTTTAATTTTTATATATATTAATTGCATATCATGATAAATTTTTATTCATTTTATTGATATCACATAAAATATTATTTTAGTTAACAAAAGATTAACGATATTAACTTAAAAGCTTAAAAGCTTAATTAGATGTAAACAAATATTGAAATGATTGATTAATTATAAAATAAAATAAAAATTTAAATATAATTCAGAAACTTTTTAATATTATTTAGCCTAAAATTTTCCATGATCTTTCCATGGTTATAACAATATCATCTTCAAACTTTGATTCCTTTCCCTTGCTCAGTTGAGTGATCGGCTGCTTCCAGACATTTACTTTACTTTGCTCGACATTGATCATCCACGCGGACGACATCAAGAATATACAATCATCATTGCAATTATCGATTACCAAACTCTCATCATTTTCTCTACATAATCTAAAACATGGTGTTGGAATTTTGTTTATGAAAATGAAATCATTAATAAGAATGCAGAAAAAGATCATTAAAAACGACCCTACCAAAATAATTGTCTTAATACACACTTCCATGAAATTTGCCTGAGATCTGCTTTCAGAACTAAAAACTGTTGCTTTTTACTTTGTAATCATGTATGGAGCGTATTTTGCTTTAAGGTTATGGCTTAATGTAAGTAATTTTTACGGTTTATTTGCTTCTATATAAACCCATCTGAACTGAACCTTTTCTGGAAGTGATTGAGAGTAGGTTTGTTTGTAGGAAAAATGTTACTAAAATTAAGGGTTTTGCTTTTGCTGGTCATTTTGTTCATTCATGGTGATGGTACTTCGGCCTCAGACCCTGACCCGATTCAGGATTTCTGTATTCCGAACCCCAAATTCGGTTCTATAAGAACTGCTCATCTCACCATTCTCCCATGCAAAAACTCCTCAGAAGCAACCGTCAGATGATTTCGTGTTCTCGGGCTTAAAAGGCACTGGAAATTTCACTGACACAGGCCTTGCAACAATCCCTGTCAATCCAGCAATCTTTCCAGGGATTAACACACTAGGCATGTCATTTGTACGAGCTGACCTGAAAGTTGGTGGGATAAATCCACCTCATTTTCACCCTAGAGCAACTGAGATTGCGTATGTGGTGGAAGGAAGTGTTTATTCAGGCTTTGTTGATTCAAACAATCGGGTTTTCGCCAGGGTGATTGAGCAGGGCGAGGTGATGGTGTTTCCAAGGGGCCTGGTTCACTTTCAGATGAATGTTGGTGAGAAGCCTGCTACAATATTTGCAAGTCTTAATAGCCAAAATCCAGGACTCCAAAAGATTCCAACTGCTGTTTTTGGATCTGGTATCAATGAGGAGCTGTTAGAGAAAGCTTTCGGCCTGAGTCAAAAGCAGATTGGGAGTATGAGGAGAAGATTTGATCCCAAAACAGTGAGCTAAATTCATGATTGAAAAAGGTTGTCATGGAAAATATGAAGACCAAGTTACATGGCTTTGCTGTAGTATAATGAAGATTAAAGATTGTGTCTGTCTGTTTATTTTATAAATTCTGTTCGTTTACACTGTCTTGCTTTGGAGCTGCAACTAGTTTCTCCTCTCCTCACTTTCACGAGTGTTTCACCCAAAGTTTTAATTCAATTTAGTTTTCTGTGGTTGAAATTTGAACTTGATTCATGCATATTGGCCAAAAAAAATCAGTTTTCTTGAAGAATAACGAAATAGTATGAATCTCTCTGCTTTATTACAAAATGTGGGGATAAGAGAATGTGATGGTACCATTGCAATGGCAACAAATACAGGAAAGGGTCCCTGGGATGGATGCCATCATTATTTCAAGGGACCATTCAGCCGAAGGTGCAAAAGAAAAACTTTAGAAAAGATAAAGAAGTTGCCAAATCCTATTGCATCATAACTTCATATAATTAATTCAACCACCTATGAAGAGCAAAGAACCAACTTTAATGTTAAGCTCCAATACTACGTAAATATTTCAGTTTTTGGCAAACCAAACTCCGAATCATTGATACTGAATATCCTACACATAGACGTTGGAGTTTTTAAACTCCACAAGTTAAAAGACATTCGGATTCTGCAAATTGACAAAAACATCCTTGTTAGGCATAATCACTGTCAAAACTAACTGAACTCATTATTTGCAGCTCAGGATGGACAAACACATCTGAATATGGTACAAATTTTGTAGTATACATTAGAATGTTTAAATTTCAAATCTCAGCTCATAAAGCATTACAAGAACATATAAGTGACCTGAGGTAGCCCATTACTCACTACTTTTCTCCAAATAAAAGTGCCTTTATAATAGCATGGGACATCCCATCAGCCAGAGGAAACAAATGCCCAGCACCCGAAACCTGATGGTAGTGCAACCAGGGAAGTTGTTGAGCAATATAGCGGTTCATTGTAATGGGCACAATCCTATCCTGATCCCCATGCCAAAGGTGTACAAAACCCTCATTGTTTGGGAATGGATTTTCCAGCTCCAGAGGATCGAATTCCCAGGCTCCTTGTCCAACTATAAGATCTCGGTGAAGGGACTCAAATTCTCCTTGCTGTGTAACTTGTTGTGACTGTGAGGAATGCAACAAAAGTATTAGCGCATAACAACAATATCATAAACCCAAAGTTCAATTTCCTTGTAATATCAACTAAAGGAAAATGGTTGAAGGAGAGGACCAACTAATATGAATAGAAAATCTGCCTACATAGAAATTGATGAAATATACTTTTTGTTGGAAAACAATCCTGAAAATACAGTCAACGTTAGGTATTATCTGATGTTTTGACCAAGAAAAGAAGTTTAAATCTTATCTGACTAAAGATCTGTTCCCTTAGTATTGGAGCCAGAACTTATGGAATACATACCATTACAATATGTGCCTTTCCTGTATAAACATACTGCAAAAAAAGAGGAAATAAAAATAGGCAAAACAAACAGGCATTGAATTTATGACGAGAAATACAAACCGCAAAATTCTTTCTTGCAGAAATCTGAGACATGATTTCTTTGTCGTGACTGGACAAAATATCAGAATTGCCAGCTAAAACACTAGAAGCAGGGAACAGTTTTTGTGTGTTCCACCAGTAAACAAGCCAGGGGACATAGTGAGCAACACGAAAAACCCATTGGTCTTGTGGTGACTTCTGACTGAAAGCTTCATTAGATACGTTTGCAGGAAAATGAGGCCACCAATAATTAACAGATGGAGCTAATAGTGTTGCTCCTGCTAATCTGTTTGGAGATACGAAATGCCACAGATATGAGAAAAAGAGAGAAAAGTTGACTGCTAGATGAACTAAATTAGCAAAGCACCAACTGATTCATATACTATTTTGTGGTTAGCTCAGCGAACAATACCTATTAGGGATGTACTTGAGACAACTCCAAATCACTTGCCCTCCCATGGAATAGCCAATTACATAGAATTTGGATCCTAGTCCTAACTGATCAGCAAACTCTTCTATATCCATTGCCATGCTCTTTACTGTTCGTTTTGGATTGGGATCACTTTCTCCATAACCTGGTCTGTCAAAAGACACAATGTAGACTCCCAACTCTTCAAAAACTTCCTGAAAGAAACCATCAAAATGTTAATGGTTGCACTAAACTTTTTACCATATTAAACAATAAAGAAACCATCAAAAAGTTAATGGTTGCACTAAACTTTTTACCATATTAAACAATAAAACCTAGATGAGAGACATATAAAGAAAATGTAAGCCAATAAATAAGTACCGGAGATAGAGTAGTTGCAACAACGGCATTTAGCCTACCAGACTTGAAAGCATGCACGTATATAATTTTATAAGTGGCCACATCCCTTGGAACACCATACTCTTTGTACGCTAAACACCTTCCATCTTTAAGCCTTATTCTTGGTGCTGTAACAGGGGGGCCATTAGGAGAGCCACATATCTTTGGTGGAGGTGGTTGGATTACCTGGTAAATACATGCCAAAATCCCCACAAACAAGACTGCTAGTATTGTCCTAAACATACCTGAAAAATTCTACCTTGTAGTGTAAATATGGTTCTTAACTTTTCAAAATACAATAAATTCAATTTTTTGTTTTCATTTTCTTACATGTGCTTATCAACCAAAAAAGCAATGACCAAAAGTAAACATCATGAGCACCTGAAGAAAGCTTGAAATTTTAAGTAAGATTAGATCAAATAAAATGAAAATTAAAGTAAAACCCACCTGCAGGAAGCTTGAAAGAAGTACCCCGATTAGATTTTCTGGTGTGAGCCCTGGCTGATGCTGCTGATATCTTCCTGTTAACTCCGCCTGCCATATTTTCTCTCTCAAAACAATACCCAGTAACCTGAAAAAGGATGACTTCCTAAAAACTAGTTCAGCTATGGAGAAAGTAAATAGGGTAAGCTCAACTACCATACCATTAACCTCTTTCTAAGTTGTGTTTTTACTTTTGGGTAAAATATTAATGCAAGGGAAAGGCATGGTGACGACTGAAAACGCAGAAGTATGATTTTAACCTTAAAAAACGGTAAAAGTGTTTACATTAAAATTTAGTACTACTTTGAATTACTTTTTTTTTCCTGTTTTTGGACAAAATGCTTTTCTGGTTAAAAGTAAAAAATTTTAGTAAACCTCCAACTATGAGTTACCCTTCCTTTTTTTCATTTTTATGGTGGCCTTTTCTTCTGGTCTTTACAAATGTTAAGGTGGAAGAAGCCTGCATGCCTTGCAAGTGCAGGAAATTCTGAAATGGAGGAGACCAATGGTCATAATTCTATCTGTAATAATTTCTTTAAGGTTAATATGTAAAATGTTCCTCCATCATATATTTTTGTGGGTATGGTATTTAAAAAATTAAAATTTTAATTTTGATATTTTAATTTTCATTCCATTTAGCATATTGATGTTTTTACGATATTATTGCTAATTAAATGTTTGACTTGTTATAAATATCTAATAAAATTTTATCTCATGTTATAGTTATTATCACGGCAATAAAAATTTTAAAATATTAAAATAAAAAAATAAAATTTGATTTTTTTTTAAATTAAAAAAAACGAAAAGGAAAGGTTAAGAAAGGAGAGGAGAAAAAAGGGAAGGAACGGCGTCAATCAGCCTAAGACCAGATCGGCGTCGATCTGTTTCGGAACTTGCGGATCAGAAACGATCTGGCTCAAACGAGAAAGATCGACATCAATCCACCAGGTCCGAGACAGATCAACCCTGAACCGACCCTAAAACAACCAATATCACCGCCCTTGCTTTCTCTTTCCTCCTTCTCTCTCTATTTTCTCCTTCCTTCACCTGTTCACTCTCTCCTCGATACTTTCCTCGATACTTTCCTTCTTTAATTTTACATTAAAATATTTTTAAAATTTTTTTTTCAAATTTTCATTTAAATACTAATATGAAAAATAAATGATACGATGATAATAAAATATGTATTCCATATTTCATGACGACTTTATTAGATATTAATGTTTGAAAATTTTATTTCTTTAGTTATGAAAGAAAATATGGAATACATGAGTATTTTAGTATTTAACTCATTTCTTTAATACTTTCCGTTATAAATTATGAATGTGGTGGTGTAAATGTAATAATTACAATTTAACATGAGAATTTGATGGTTTTTTATGGCACAAAATTTGGGTAAGTTCAGCCCTTCTCTTGAATCATCCTACAAAGGAATGTGGTTTTTACAAAAAACATAAATGTAAAACTGGGTAAAAAGTACATTATCATTGTTGTAAAGCTTCACAATCCTCTTCTTTATAATTTGTACATAATTTGGTTGTTCGAAGAGTTGAAAATCTCATACTTGCTTGTATCCTGGTTTCAGTTGAACTGGGTTCTTGTAATGGCAGGTTACATCCGGAAACAATCTGTCAGCATCTGAACGGGAAATCCTTGACTCTGCTGTTAGGTCGACGAGGATCAACCTTTCCACAAGTTATTAGTCAGGCTGACATGCCTAATTGCCTCCAATCTCATCCCCCACAATGACTGCTAAAAGAAGAGATGATTCATCTGGTTAATGAATGCATATGAATAAACTAATTAAAAGAGGTAAAATTGCTTTACCTTTAGCATTCTTTAGTCTCTTGCCATGAAATCTTTATTTGTCTGGTGGAGATGACGAGGCCACATGAGAATCTCTTCTGAAATGCCATGAACAACAACCTTGCTCCTTCCATGGAGGATGTGCCTCCTTTGAATATGTGTAAACAAAATAAAAGAAAATTCTAAATGAAACATGACTTGCTAGAGGCTAGACTGCCCTCTGTCACCAAATCTTTTGATGTATGATCTATGTCTAAAACCAGAGCAAAATTGAGTTTATATAGGCAGGAGAATATCACCAGCTAGAAATCTAGAATAGTATAGAAGATCTGCTCAGGATTGTCTTACTTAAAAATTGCAGATTCTTAGAAATATATTTGGTAGTTGGTTTTGATAACATGGAATGGTGAGTAAATACTTAAATACTTATTTAGAAACTTTTCAAAGTTACAGAAAAGAAAAGAAAGTTTCATTCCTTTTCTAATCTCAACTGTCATTATCAACAAAATGTTGTTTTTTTTTTTTTTTAAATGAATTTGGCTGGTCTAAAGTTGATTTCCTTTCAATAAGAACTCTACTACCTCCTTGAAATACGGAAGTTCCCCTTTTCATCCCTTTTCATAATTTTGATAATTGAGGAAAAATCAACTTTCACAAAAAATATTTTATATATTTTCATTTCTAATTATTGTTTTCAAGATATTCAAAAAATGAGAGAAAATAATTAAATCATTAATTTTAAGAGGTCTTTTATTAATTCATTGTTTTCTTTTTTTTTACTTGCTCTTTTATCTTTTGAATCTACTGTTAAAATATATACATATATATATTTATATATATATATATATAACTTTTTAGTTTTACACTTGTGTAAATTCATACTTCACCTTGATAATTTATATCAATTTTTTTTTTCTTTATTCTCTTTCCGTCTGTACAAAGCTAGTTCTATTTCTATTCTGTATAAACTATCCTTCCTTTTCATCCACGGATAATATTGGCAAACCTTATAATGCTATGATAATATTTGAGATCAACCAACCAAAATGGAAAATATGAATGTGCATGTGTCACGAATCGAGACTCAACTTTTAGATTTGTGCGATTTTAAGACCTAAGCATGCAATTATCCGGTATTTCAAATCAATCTATTTGTCATAGTTCATATATTTGTAAGGTATTGTCCGCTTTAGCTCTTTTGATCTTACGATTTTCTCCTACAAAAGTGCTTCACAAGGAGAAAACGGTGTGAACCCTTATATCCCAAGATCAACTCTAGACCGTGACATCTTCTCTTACTCTAACGAGGGCTCACCGTCCTCTGTAACACATCGTTAGAACCCTCAAAGTTAGCTCTGATACCACTTATCACGAGTTGAGACTCAACCTCCAGGTCATGATTCACACTCTTATGAAGTATTGTCCGCTCTGACCCTTTTAACCTCATAATTTTATTCTACAAAAAACACCTCACAAAGAAAAGACGGTGTGAACCCTTATATCCCAAGATCAACTCTAGTACTCAACCAATGTGAAATTCCTGACTTCACTCCAAGACCGTAACACATGCAGCTACCTTTAGCAAGCATACTTGATATCATGATATGCTAAATTTCAACAACTTAAAACATTAGTAAGGAAAAGGATATTTTAGAAAATGCAGTATCTTAAACAACCCCCCCCCCCCTTCAATCCTCTTTCTGTCTCTGTTCAAACTAGGTAAATACATCCTTTCCAGTCCCTTGTAGAACTGTAAAGTCAACCATTGAAAAGTGACATGCATCAATATTGGTTACAACTTATAATGGGTCATAATGGGATAAGGAACAAAACCTATAAAGGCAGACTACTTCTCTCCCACCAAAAGTGCCTTTATCATAGTATCCGTCATCCCATCAGCAAGTGGAAACATATGTCCAGCACCGGGTAGTTCGTGGTAGTGAATCCATGGGAGTTGTTGGGCAATGTAGCGTTGCAATGTAACAGGCACAAGCACATCCTCATCTCCATGCCACAGGTGAACAGAGCCCTCGTTATTAGGAAATGGGTTGTCCAGATCCATGGGAGAGAATTCCCATGTTCCAAATCCAATTATCAGGTCACGATGCAGGGACTCATATTCACCTTGCTGTCTTACTAGTGCCTGAGGAGATGACAGACAAGAATCAATATTATGATGGTAGCAATATCAAAGAATAAAGTTCAAAAATAATTATAAAAAAAAAAAATCTAAGAGTGTGAAAACGAAGAAAAAGAGAGAATCAATTGATAGAGATTAGTGCAGCAAATCAAATTGTTGGGGATATAGATAAATTTGAACAAATGTGCTAAGAGTCCTTGAATTTTCATCAACTGCATTATTGCAAACCACCACTACCACTACAGACAGGCACTTCAAAGAACCACCATTAACCTTGTACAAGCATTTACTACCACAAAATCCTTATAGTGCCAACAGATGCCCATGACTGAACCACCACAATCCACAAATACAACTAATCACAGGTCAATTATAAGTCAAAAGACAACAATCTTTCTACCTGATTTCACAACAAAAAGTGCAGCAAACAATGAATACACTGCTAAGACAACAAAGAGTGCAAGGAGCTTTTTGGCAGAGAGAAATACAAACCACATGATTCCTAGTAGAGATTATCTTTGACAAGAGTTTTTTGTCCTCAGTAGAAAGAATATCAGCACTTTGACCAATAACACTAGAACTAGGGAACCATTTTTGAGTGTTCCACCAGTAGGTAAGCCAGGGAGCATAGTGAGACACACGAAGTGTCCATCGCTCTTGTGGTAACTGTTGCTGATATGCTTCTTTAGATAAGTTTGTAGGAAAACCAGACCACCAGTAGTTAACAACTGGCGCTACCAAAGTTGCCCCTGCTAACCTGTAGAAGTCACGAATATCCCTCAAATGATAGAAAAGATGTGAAAAAACAAGCAGTATACCTGACAGCAGAACAAACATATGTAATCTCTTTCTCTCCTGCATACTTTGCATTCAAGTAGTTCAGAAACAAGAATACCTGTGAGGGATGTACTTGAGGCAGCTCCAAATCACCTGCCCCCCCATCGAAAATCCAATTACATAAAACTTGGATCCTAGTCCCAATTGATCAGCTAGCTCTTCTATATCCAAAGCCATGCTCTTTACTGTTCGTTTTGGATTAGGGTCACTCTCTCCATAACCTGGTCTGTCAAAAGACAAAATGTAGACCCCCAATACTTCAACAATTTCCTGGTAGAAACAACAATGAAACCAAATGACACTTACTTAAACATGTTATGTCCGAAAGCCCAGACGACCACCAAAATAATACAAATAAGAACAAACTAATACCGGTGAGAGATTATGGGCAACAACAGCATCATGCCTGCAACAATCAAATCCATGGACAGAGACAATTTTATACTTCGCTGCATCTCGGGGAACACCATGCTCTTCGTAGGCCAAATGTCTTCCATCCCTCAGCTTTATTCTTGATGCTGTGACAGGTGGACCATCTGGAGAGCCACATGTCTTGGGTAGAGGCGGCTGAATGGCCTGATAAGCCCATGCCAAAATCCCCACAGACAAGACCAATAGTATCTTCGTGAATATCCCTGCAATTTTTGAGTTATAATTCAAACAGTTTATAAAACTGGAGAAATCAATTTGAAATAAATGGCAGTGACAAGACATCATCAGTGACACAAGAAACTGCATATACACAATGACATTATAGGCAGTTAATCAGCCACCTTGGAGTTGAAAGCTAATTACTGGTTATCCTATCTCGTGTTAATTCTAACTCTGGTATAAAGAGGACCATTTCATTTTGGATAACATACAACAATATTAAAATTTCATCAAACAATATACAACTTGAGGGCAACAAAAAGCCTCCTTTCACCTTTAAAAGTTGCAGAAACCCTCTTTTTCAAAATGAAAATTCAACTCACACTCATTCCCTTCAATTAAAAAAAAAAAAAGAAACTCGTTTTTACATCAAGCCAAGCTTGAAGTTCGAGATTTTACCCAGAGACACAGTAAATGCAATGATTTTCTTATGCTTCCTAATACAATCTCAACAGAAATAAAGAGAAACAAAAATCCAAAAATTAACTACCCTAAAATGAGTAAATATTTTAAGAATCTGCAAGAAATGAAGAACCAAAGATCCAAAATTTTCAACTTTCTTATGCTTTCTAAGAATCAAAGCAGAGTAACAACAAAAACAAAGTGACCCAGATAAAAGAAAATTGCGGATTCTACAAAGAGAATATAACCAAAACTAGAGCAAATAAAAATAAAATCTTTAATTTAAAAGAAAACCCGCCTGAAGGAAGCTTGAAGGAAGTGTTTTGCTTGGCTCTTCTAGTGTGAGCTCTTGCTGATGCAGCTGATATTTTCCTATTAACTCCTCCTCCTCCTGCCATTTTTTGGGTCTCTTTAAACAAAACCCACCAACTACAACAATCACCTAAGACTGTTAGAAAAACAAAGAAACCAAAGAGATCTGAAGAAAAGTTCTTACCTGAGACAAAGGAGTTGGTTTTCTTGATTTTTTCAGTAGTAGTATGATTAAGACATGTGATTTTTTTTTTTTTCTGATTTTTACCATATGGACTGAAAAGGACACCATTTTTAAGAAAGTTGCGGGTAAAGGTGAAGGCTTTTTCGGTAAATTGCTGACCTTTTTAGATTTGTTAAACCTTGAAAAGCCCGGGTTTTGTATGTAATTATGACAGTTTGAATGGTTACTTTTCCTGATCACATTGGACTTTAGCATAATATTTCTTTGGTTACAAGTGAAATGATATAAGCCTAATTTGACAGTCAACTTTCAAGAGTTCTTATTCGACATATTGATTTTTTTTTCAATTAAGATAGCAACTGAAAAATAAAAAAAATATATAAATATTATGATTTGAATTTTAAAATTGATAAAAATTTTTAAAAGTAAAATTTAGATAAAATAATTTAAATTTTTATAATTTAAGTAAATTTTAGATAATCTAAGACCATGCGCCATTGAATTATGAATATACAATTTCATATATGGCTACTAGTTCACCATTTCATACTCCATATCCATATTTGAAGTTTTAAATTAAATTAGCATTTAATTTATACTTGTTTATATATATATATATTTATTTTTACCTCTTTAGATAATACAACTACTTGATTTATTTTTCTTTCATATAGCTACTTTTGTTCATGTTTATTTCAATAATATAAACTATATTTGATTTAGCTACTCATATTTCTGAGAATTATTATATTATATATTACATATATAATGATTAATTCTTCATTGACTGTCTATTACAACAAGTGATATAATTAATTAATAATCATAGTTTAAAATTTAATTTATTAGTTCTGGTTTAAAACCTATAAATAAGTTGAAAGTGGAGATTTCACATACTAAATTGAATTATTTCTTATAATTAGCAAGTCTTCAAAAAATTTTATTGTCCCATTTATCCGTTAATCTAGCTTAGCTAGAGTTGGGTTGGGATTTTCCTGTCATTAACAGTCCGATTCTGAGATGAAGCCCAACGGATAAAGAGAGAGTCTTAGCCCAAGTGGTATTAACATCCAAAACATGATAAATTGGTTTTTTTTTTCCTTTTTTTTTTTAACAATGGAGGCAGTAATTTCAGGGTAAAAAAATTTATAAGTATTGAAATTTAAATTTTAAAAGTGATTATATTAACTTAAGTTTTGAAATTGAGTAATTATTTTTGGATAAGAAAAAAATGTGATAAAATAGATTAAAAAGGATTAGGCAAAATTCAACACATATATATGATAACTTTTTCTCAATTTTACCCTAATTTTTGGTGGTTTACTACTTATTTTAATATCGAGCAATAAATATAATAATTCATATATTTATGTAAAATATTAAAATTATGATTTATATCATATTTTATATGAAAATTATATATCATAATTTATATCGATATAAAAATATAAAATATATTTTTTTATTTTATTAAATTTATATATAATTATTATTAAAATTTTAAAATGTATCACTTTCGTATTTTATTTTCGTATCATATTTATATTATATCATCATATAATATTTTAAATTATTATATCTATTAAATAATTTGTTGTTTTAGTTGCTAAATCAGTACTTATGTCAATATTTATATTGAAAATTAATAAAGCTTTTTGTTCAATATTAATTGATATAAACTATACTTATAATTACATTTTTTATGAAGGTGGGAATAATTAATGGTAGAAAAGGCCAAAATTTAAATAAATATGTTCATGATCATCAATATGTTAATGAATTAAAAGAAATTTTTTTATTCTTTTTGTTCTTTTTTTTTTTTTTTTGGCTGGTTTTGAGAGTACGTGTTAATTTCCTATAAGAAAAAATGAAAACGATCCCTTTGTGGCACTAGGCGACTAGCTAGTAGCAAACAAAAGAAATTATACCCCTACTAAATAATAATAGCAACAAAAAAAACACCCTCAGGGTACCAAGATGGGATATATTCCAATTTCCAATAAATTATAGTAGTGCTTTAAGTTTGTAGTAAACAGTGAGAAACATTTTCTAGAGCTTGACAGGCTATATAGAAAATGATTTAACTAGTTTGATGTGATGTCAATGGCAGTAGTTTGAGCTGCTTTTGCCATTGCTAATAACTTACAAGCCATGATTTTTTTTTTATTTGTGATTTATCTTTTAATTACTATAATTTGTAACTCTTTGAAAAAAAAACTATATCTTCCTTGTAATTTATCTTTGTTGTTTAAATTATATATAAGATTGAATTTCATTATTCCTTGAATTTTTTTTAAGCTTAAAATAACATTTATTGTAATATTATGAGCATAGGGATAAGATTCAAATTTATTATTTGCTTAAAAAATTAATAGATTGAATATATCCCATTTATATATATGAATGAATAAGTGTAATTTTATCATTGCTTTTTTTTAATTTAGTTAAAAAATGATTAAAAATTAAAATCTTATGATAAATTTGAACTTTATCCTGATATATAATTTTAATTTGGTGAACAATTAATTAATCGCTTTATTTTGAACAAAAATATTAATCCTATGAAACTGAAAACTTTAGTTAACTTATGAAATAAGAGGAAAAAGAAAGTTTCAAATTTTATGCCACGTACGATAACTCCAATGATTCTGACGTTGAAAGAGTACTCTAGTACCCTAGTAGACATCACAAATTATAATGACAAAAACAGGTGAATAATTCACAGGTTGTAGATTCATTTTTTGAAACCAAAAGCTTATCAGTTTCAACACTTCAGCAAGCCATGGCAGAGTTTCAAAGAGGATCTCTGCATCAAGTTATTTAAGAGTTCTGGGTACAACCCTATATTTTTACAGACTTAATAAAAACGACCACACAGTTTACTTGAAACCCCCCCCCCCCTTTTTTTTTTGTTGAGTTTTGACTTGATCTGCAGCTGGTTAGCGTCTTCTTGCAGCTGTCTCTCTTTGAGCATTGAAATAAACAGCAGCAACAGGGAGGCCAAGATCGTTTTCAGCAGCAAAATCTCGGGTGCTGAAGTTATCCCTTGAAGATGGTGACCTAATTATCTGTCTACGTTTCTGCTTGAAAAGAACAAAAACAAACCTGTGGATCCCTATATTTGGTCTTGGGATTTCATAGCTCACCACCTCCCTTCCTGTTTGATCAAAAACCCCCACAAACAAGAAAGAGAAGATGAGTACTTTGTCATCTTTCTCAAATTGTCCAAGAAATTTTTAATTACACAGAAAAACCTACCAAATGTGGCATCTGTTGTGCCTGGGATGTCTGTCACTATCCTGTAAAATGGTCAGACCAATGAAATTGTCAGCTATTATTATACTCTTCTCTTTGTATCTGTTTTGTTGCTTTTCCAAATGGTAAGATCTAGCTCTTATCAAAGCATGCTGCAGACTTGATTATTACAGCGTTGAACTTGTGAAATTTCATTAGTCTCACCTCTAAGTAAATAGTAAACTGATTATAATAAAGGCATGACTATAAGTTTATGGTTGCTGTTATCTTAATTATTAATTAATAGATCAGAGCTTTGCTTTCCAAGATCAGTTTGGGTCCCTACAAGATCAATATATGAAGCTATGGTGGTGATGAAAAAGTAGAAACAATGGATTTAGATTCACTTTGTAAATAACCCTCTCCCGGCTCTAATTAAGGTATGTGTCTCAACAGTGAATTCTTTTAAGGGCATGTGTGGAGTGGGATGATCAATTTTATAGCATACACATATATAGAGAGACATATATCTATTTCTACCATATATAGTGAAGTAATTGGTTAGTTTAATTCACCAGAAAAGAAGTTGGTTGATTGAATGTACGCCGTAGGTTGCTCAAACCTAAAACATATAGGGTTTTGACAGGTTTTACTGTTTTAGTACTACTTATGAGCTGTAGGGTGTTTGTGTACCAGTGAAGGTGCTCCCTTAAATAAGGATCACTAGGTCCAGGGACATCGGGGTCCGTCATGACCTGCAACAAAATAGGCACCAGCTCACCAGGTATCAATTTGAACAGAAGAGTTTGAACAGTAGAAAAGACCAAGGTGAAACAGCTTGGGAAAAGACAGAAAGAGATCACAAGAGCTTAAGAAGGTTACCAGAGTGAAGAAGGTTCTCATGTCACCTCCTTCAATCTCTACCCTAGGTTTGGTGGCAACAGTTGAAGGATAGAACTCATGTCCATTGAAGACTTGCTTATTGTTGAAAGTGACTGACATTTTAATGCTAGGAATGAAAGAATCCAGAACGTCTCCTATGACTCTCCCAACAATGAGAGGCTCTGCCAATCTTGACATCGTTCCTGTTTGAGAGTCCGAGGACTAAAACAAAGAGAGAAAAGATGAGCTGATCGAGGGATATTTTTTAACAAATAAGACAACTGGATCGGAGTTTCGTGTTGCAGAACGTGTGTAAGAAGAAGCTCTATTTATAGCGTATGAGCTCCGCTGGAAAACTGTAAGTTCTCTAGATCTAGCTATAGGGCTTTAGAGATTAAGAGTATAAATTTTATAATACGGGAAATAAAGAAAGAAATGAGTGGACTATCTATTTCTCCATCTCTCTCTTTCTCTCTCTCTGCCTTACTATACCTCCTTTGTTATTCCACTCAATCATATTAGTTATATGATTATTTCTCATTTGGGGGACCCTGGAATTGGTTCTTGATTGGCTGTTTTATAGGCTAATAACATTTCATTCAACAGAAGGATTTTTTCTTTGAATACCATGGTCAGAATTGAGTTATAAACAATCCTCCAAAGTGGGTCCTTATCATGCAAGTTGCCAACTCACTCACTTTTAAAACAAAAAATACCTGTAAGCCCTGTGCCTGAATATTAACAAGCCTGATAACGGAAAGTCATCTTTTTCATTTTAGGCAAGTGAAAAGATCCCAAGAAATTGTTAAATGCTTTTTGATTTTCATAGAACCTTCCCAAAATTACAGATGCACACATTTGAAAAGAACTTCTTACCATTTTCAGAGAGATTCTTTGAGAAGAGAGAAGCATAAAGAAACTCCACCACCAGTGACGACCAGGCAGCATGATCAACCAGTGAATGGTAGAGCACCGAGGTCACTTCATAGTTATAAAACAAATAAGAGAAGTTTCAAATTGGCTAAGTGAAAAGATGGTGGATTTTCCATAACTGGAAGCCAAAGTTCCTTTTTTTTCATTTCGTATGTATAATCTTGAATGCTAATTAATCCACGAATTAGAAGAATCTGTTATTGCAGTGATTATTGCAGTGATTAAAATCTTGTCGGAAACTATATGTAGCAAATGAATTTTTCCGTACATCTAAAAACATTGATATAGTTTGATTCAAAGATTATCAGACAAAAAGAATATTGGTATTTAACCTTAGCTATATGGTACAAATTCTCTTGCATTATGCTTTAAGGAACTAATATTGTGTCTTGTCAGAAACTATAATTACTTCTTCAAATCTCCTTTCAACTCAGCTAAATTTTATCCATATTCTAGTTAATTCATGAAGTATTAGTAACTATCTTTCAATTAACATTGGATATCCGTCCGTACATATTTTTTTTTATTATATAATTTCTCAAAGATAAAAATTATAAAGATTTACATTTAATTTATGAAGTATTATCCACTTTAATATAAAAATTTTACAATTATATCTCATAAAAGATATTTATAGATTTAAGTAAAATATACACAAATTATAAGATCACATCTTATGTTGACATTTTAGAAATAATTTTTATTGTGTAACACTTAATTTATGCAGGATTTTAAATGTGATTTTCACAAAATAACATTTAACTCTGATTCTATTGGTGATTGTTCTGATATCATTTATGAAAGTTTATATCTAATTTATAAGGTATTATTTAATTTGACATAATAATTTTATTATTTTGTTTTATAAAAGATATTTTATAAATTTTGAGATTAAATTTTAACTTATATATTATAATAAATTTTCAAAATACTTTGATAAGATATTAAAACATTACAAAAACATCTTCTGTTTGATAAAAAAATAATATATATATATATATATACGTATATATGTTTCTTTACTTGAGAAAAAGGATTTGAACTCGACTCTTTTGAATAAAGATACACGGTCATGTCCTTGTTAATTGAGTCAAATGTTCGGCTGCATATCAGCATATATATTATTCCTTTCTCACGGCTTCTAGTTTATCTACATACATAAAACCATGTGGGATCGATGTGATGTAGAAAGTTTGAGCTGACGGGGAAAAAGCAATGTAGCCATGTATACTCTTACCTGACAAATATGTTATAATGCTTCGGAGACTAGTTGTGGCCCGTCGGCATACCAACAATTAAATGCTGTTGCCAGCTAGAAAAGAAGGGAGAGGAAGATTCAAAGATTAAAAGGAAAAATAAATGAAAAAGAAAAGAAAAAATATTAATTTTATATTATTATTATTATTATTATGAAGATCTGATTGATAAATTAATAACTATCAATAGTGGTACGATTGGTCTGTAAAATATTGAATTCTCTTTAAATACTTACCGTCTTTTACCAACATTGCATTAAATTGCACAAATGGATCCCACTGGCATTGCTCAACCAGCCAGCAGCCTGTAAAAACATATACCAAGAAGAGGAGACTTTGCTAGATACCATCACACAAGAGAGAAAGAAAGAGATGGATTTTTTCTGTTCATTAATTGTTTGTTGCTGTGCAATGCAAATGTTGTGATTGATACTTTCTTCTCCACTACATATTTGATGTTATTACTGTAGTCTGTAGGTGTCAGGCGGCTGCAGCCTGCAGGCCAGGAAACTGTGGTCCCTTAATTTTGGCTAAGCAAATTGAATCATTGACGACTACCCTTTTTTCTCCTTCTTTTGATTTCTTTCTTTTTTTCCTTTTTTGAAAAATCCAATCAATTAATTTTGGATCGACAATGAGGTGAATGATGAATATCATGTTCTTATGGATCAGAGCTCAGGGCTGAATCTGAACATTGTAAAAACTAAACAGGGCTAGGCAGTACCGCAGTGGTCATAGCCCAACATAGCTCAAAAGTCATTGAAAATGTCCGATCAATAAGGAAACAAAATGGCATCTGGCAAACACCAAGCTCAATGGAACTTTGAAACAATCACATACAGGAAAAAAGTTGGAAAAACAGTCTCAAAAAATAAATCAATCTGACAGCAAGCAGATGGCATAACATGAATATTTGGATACCATAACTTAATTCTTAAATTACATGTTGATCTTTAACTCCAATATCTGAGGAAATACGGTACCTACCTTTATATTGATTTTCTGTTTATATTATGCCTATATTTCCTTGTTTTGTACCCCAAAAGACTCCATAAATTGGATCCCACAAATTTTCCTTGGCAAGGACTCTGCAACTATGACAATGTTGGTCAGTCCTTCCCTGGACAATGTGGTATAAGCTGTAGATACGGTAGGAACTGCACTGGAAAGATCAGAAATTGGTAACAAACAATTGGCAAGCAATGCACTGCTGGTTGCAGTGAAAAATGCTTCCCAGTAATGTGGTGGAGGGATACTGTTAACTGCTTCAAGATTGATCTCGAAGAGCTCTTCTTCTTCGTCTTCCATCTCTATTATAAGACTCTGGATCTTGGCGCTTGTTCCTGACCCATGTCCTGAAAGTTCTTCTTTGATAGCAGAAGCCATTGCTAATTTTCAGGTCGTTTTGTGTGAAGCTTTCACGAGTGTTTGAATAAATATGTGGGGGTTTATGAGTAGTGGCGTGAAGGGGAAGCTGGTAAGTAGAACGCTCTTCAACAAATTTACAACAAATTTCGGTCAAAAAGCAACAAATCTACAGCAATCAGAGATCAAATTCCATTTTCATATATAATATTTCTTTAACAGTTCCAAATACAAGCTTAACGTATTCATAACATAACTAAAGCCTCTAGGCTCCATTATTAAAATACAAACCCAAAATATAATAATAAGCAGTTATAACAACAAAATTAAATGGCTGTAGTATGACATTGGTGGAAGGTTCAAGTCAACACCATCCAATTAATTGGTATTTTTCAATTACTATTTTTTATTTTGATAAAATTTAAGCTCTAAAAATAAAATATTTGTAAGAGAAAAAAAATCTTGAGGTCAATTAAACTTGTCACATCCAAACTATTCTTAACTTCATATGAAATACATGTTAATTAATTAAATAATTTTCATTACAAATAAAAATAATAAATTTAATTTATTTGGTTCGTCACTTTTAAAATAAATTTAAAATTTAAATCTCAATATATATAATTTTTTCTCATTAACTTACGGCATTTTTTTTTAGAAGTAATCATGTAGAAAAACTGTCTTGTTTTGCAGATTAAGTTTCAATAATTTCCAATCTCTGTCGCTTTAGGACAGTGAAAAAAACAAAGAGAATTTTGTCCCCATTCCCAGGGGAAACATTCCAATACCGAAAAAGGATGTTGGATTTACTGAATTAGGGACTTTGGGAAAGTCAAATCGTATTGTAGTCGAAAACTATAGGTACATGTAACAACAAGTACATTAGATATTAGTTGCTTTCCTTGGATGAGAGAAGCCGTTTCTCGACAAAAACAAATACCCTAAAACTATATGTAGTTAGATTTAGATTAGTGGAACTGATCCAAATCCTAGCTCCACGTTATCTTTTTCATTGTCAAGTCATTGAGAAGTAGACCTAACTACGCCAACCCAACACGATATTGCACGTTTTTTGGAAAAAAAAACAATTAGGAAGCAGAATTTAGTAAGGTCTTAAACAGTCGCAATGTCTCAACCACCGTTCCAAAACAGCATTTCTATGCATAATTCAATGGTGGTTGTATCTTAAGAGGAAAATTAAGGAAATTGAAACCATCAAGTATAATTACGATACAGAATTTTTTTGTATCTTTCCATTGACCCGATTCAGTCATAAAATATTAAAATTAATCGCTTCTAGTCTTATTGGCCAACTAACGAAATGATACTGGTGAAGCTCATACCTTTCTTGAAGCGCATATCTTTCTTCTTTATATATATGTTGTTTAATTCAAATAAGTGACAGCATCCCTGTTTCTTGAAGACTGTTAGTAATTAGCACTGGTAAACTTGCTAAACAATCAAACACAAAAAATTCCAGAGGCTGGTGTGTCAAAAGCAGGCTAGGTTAGCAGTAAAACCGAGTTGATAGTTCCTCCATCATCAAAAACAGAAATGAGCAAGCCACACTGCAACGACTCCCAAGAGCATCTATGTCATTCGCGCTTATATTCCATCAAGGTGGGTTATGACTTGTTTACGGCCTCGATTATCACGACTAATCATGTTTTAATTAACGAGGATGTACAAATAATATTTCTTTGTTCAGTTTAAGACATCCTAAAAATTCACTTATAATGAACATGGACCTTTGTCTTCACCCCCATGATGTCACTGGCTTAATCTAGATGTTATTTTACATTCTTCTTCGTTGACCTTTCTCGCCCATTCACACCGGAACTCAAAGAAGAAATCAGTCGGGTGGGAAGTACGAAAAGCTAGGTATTAGGTGCTAAAAACTCAGGGTAGAAGGGAGTAGATCAATACTGGGTATTTAGGTTTTGGTTCCAGTTATCTGAGGTGGATATAAATCTGAGCTAAAGGAGGAGAAAAGACAGAAATCTCCATAAAAAGGGGTAGGGAATAAGTTGCTGAAGGCCAGAGAAGAGGACAGAAACTTGGGCTATGAGAGAAAGCCCTAGAAGCACAATATTTCAAAATTCAATGCAGAGAAGTTAACCAGGCACCAGCATCAACTTACCTAAGTTAAACCTCTGACATTAAACTTAAGTGCTCCATGAAGTTTTCACTATGACTGCTCATGATTCAAAGACCCTTTGATGCTTAAAAGTGTGGAATATAAACCTACATCAGATATGATTTTTAAAATAATAGTTCATACTGAACACCATAGCATCAAAAATTCTAATTTCAAAAAAAAAAAAAAAAAGAACGGGATTTTCCTTCTGCAAGATTGCATGCAAATTGAAACAGTAATCACATATTTATACATCTCACATCCAGTCAGACTGCAGTTAAACATATAATTGCAATTGGCAGGTTTAAATTTAATCCGATTCATGCAGGGCATATACCAAACAAGAAGGAATGTCTTCTGAAAGAGCATATAACAGTTTTCAAGGGAACCATTAGAAGTTATATTCGGCCCAATACTAATGATAGAAACCTGCAGTCTTACATCTGCTAAGAAACAAAATAGAGTATCACCCTGTACATCATTTTTTTTTTCTAATTCAAAATGTTTACAGGCTTTACTTACAGCCTCTAACAAAGTTAATGAATATTTTCATAAATCCGATATTCAAAACCTGTGAAATTATGAAAACAACATCTAACAATAGAGACAAGCAAGAACTAAATTCAAGCATTAATGTACCGACTGCAAATCTCAAGTGCAACTATATCTCAAATTCTCAAGGGCTTCAAGTAGGGCAGCCTAGTAACCTTGACACCAACCAAATAAGCTAAAATCAATATTCAGCGTTTTCTAAATCAGAATGCTTTACTACATGTACAGAGCACAGGCCTCTTCCAAAACTAAACTCATCTGGCCCTTAAAACTAGAAAAGTTGAAAGGCATCATTCTCAAGACATTCAAGGATGCATAGCAAAAAAACACTGATTCCTAAGGCCGAATGAGAAAGCTTTTTCCTGGTTTCCTCGATGCTTTGTCTAGATGAATAAATAGTTTTCTTGAAGAGTATGGATAACCCCAACAAACTCATTCGAGACACCACCTCCAACAAGATAGCACTAGCATCCAATAAAACAGAACCATAAAAGAAAGGACATCAATAAGGGAATATTCTGGTCATGAACTATGTAAAATTAATACGAACTGATAACAATGAAGATGGTAAAAGCCTGTTTCACTTCATGCAAACAAGTTCATCTTCTTCATATTCAAGATCAAAGAGTTCACCATATCACAATAAGCAACTTTGAGCTACAAAAGGCGCAATTCTGTAAAATTTTAGATCAATTCAACATTATAGATATCAAATTCAACCAAAAAGAGAAACCCTTTTACATTCATATCATCCCTTAAAAATCTAACTCTAAAGAGAAAAGAAAAGAAGAAAAAACGATTGAGCTTCAATTAAAATATGACAAGAAGCGAAAACAAAGTGTAGATCAAGAAACAAGCGTACGCGATAAGGCCACGATGTTCTTCGCCTCCATCAGCAAGCGCCACCATTAAATTGGTGCAAGCCCTAGTGGCCCAAACGACAAAAACCCCAGCCATTGCGTACCTTGGGACGATGCTGCCCTGCGGAATAAAGAGCGATGTTGCCGATAAGATCACCACCGGTAGCAAACAATAACCAACCACGCTCGTACACGTGTGCAGATCTAGGTTGCCGTTGCGCCCCGCTAACATGTTAAAAACGATGTAGAGGAAAATCGAGGAGACGACGATCCAGCCGAGGATTACGCCGAATTGGATCTTGCCGGCAAGGAGTTGGAATAAGCAAAGGGATAAGTAAAAGAAGATTGGGCCGGATAAGTCCGAATCTTTATGGGCCGTCGGGTTGATGCGAAAAGGGTTGAGGATGGATTTCGTTTTGTGCCATATTTGATCCGGGTGGATACCGAGTTCATCGAGAAGGGGTTCTTCGTCGTCGAATGAGGCGGATCCAGATGCTGATGAGGCGGAGATTGTACCGCCGAAGGATCCGGACGATGACGCAGCAGAACCGATATCAAAGGACATGAAGGGTATGGCGGAGGAGGAGGATGGAGGGCGTGAGGGTTGAAATGGAGCCGTGGGTACTCGGCGCTGGTTGATATTTCCGACGGCAGGGTTGACTCCACCGCCGGAGGGGAAGACCACCGGCGGCACAGTGAATTCTTTGGTCATTTTTTTTTTTTTTGGTTAAAGCTACTGCTATTCTTTCGTGGGAAATAAGCGAGAGAGTAACGACGAATTTTTTCCTTTCTTTTTCCTCCTTGAATCTTGCTGTGCTACTTTTTTTCTTAATGGATTTTATTGGTCGGTGAATTGAAGGGTATTTTTGTTAATAAGAAGGATCGTTCACCTCATTTTTTTAAAATCATTTAAATTTTTTTTTTTCACACTCCTTTTACTTTTAAATTTTCATATTTATAAATTCGAAAGATGTTAAAAATCTCCTAATTTACATATTTAAAAGTTTAAAAAATTTTATAACTATTTTTTCTCGATTATTTTTTTAAATTTAAATGTAATTTTTTTAATTTATCAAATATAAAAATTTTAATAAATTATATATATAATTTATTAAAAATGTATATTTAAAAATTTTAAGATAGAGATTAAAAAAATAAATAAATAATTTTACTTAAAGAAAATTAAAAAATAAATTGTATTTAGAATCTCACATGTTTTGCACTAACGAAATTACATTATTACATTTGCTCATTTTTATTTTTTTTATTTTTCGCTTTTTTGTTAAAATGGCTTTTTTCACATTTCTATATTTTCTGTTTAGTTAAGCTCTTTTTTATTATTATTATTACAAAGAGAGGGTATTCATAACATTTGAATATGGAATTTGTTTAAACCCAAGAAAAAAAAAATCAAAATAGGGAATTTGTATTTCGAATTTCACTTCCCTTGGTCACTTTAGTTAAATCATCTGTTGATTGTATAATGGATCGTTGGTTGTTTTGAAAATATTACTCCACAACTTATAACGTTATAAGTGTTGTCTTAGTTACATTATATTAATTATAATTTGGTTGTCATGAGGTGTTATATGGATTGTATCGGATCAATATAATTTATTTGTTAATAAATTATGTTGGTTTAATATTATTTTTAATATATTGTATTTGGTACGATTTATAAAAGTTAAAAATATGATAACCATGACACGTGATTTTTAATTTTTATGAATCATGTTATGTCAAGTACAGTATTATTTTTCGTACCAAAATATATCAAGTATAATCCATTAATAATTTTTTAAATTTATAATTATTTTTTAAAAAATTTATTTTATTATTAAAAATAAAATATAAGAGATATTGAGAGTAAAATAAATAAAATTGTATACAATTTATGTGATTCAATAAAATATCTACATTTATAAGGAGGGGTAATAAAATTTATTAAATAAATATTGAAATTACAATTATAATATTTCAAAAAATACACACATACATATAAAAGATATATAAAACAAAATTTTATTATTTTATTTTTCATTCTCATCATTTGTTGATTCACTTATATAATATATTTTATCTTGTGCATTTATTTTCTACTTTTCATTTTATAGTAATTTACTTTGTTAATTAAATTTGTATTTAATTTAAATTCTTAATTTATTTTTATCATTTTATTTTTAATAATCATTAGTTAAATATAATTTAAATATTTAATAAGTAAACTTATTTAATATAATTTTATTTTATAAATTATTAACAAAATATAAAAAATAAATATAATTTTATTATAATATAAAAATAATATAAATATATTCAAAGGTTAAAAATCTACGTATAACAATTACAAGTCAATATAACACAATTAGAGTTTTGTGCCATGTGGTGCTAACTTTTGTGCCATATTTTGCCACTAACCATTATAGGCTTGTGCCGCGTTAATCTTTAGGCTTATAATCCGATAAAACACACATATAAATAAAATATATATGTATATATCAAATCAATCTTTAATTTTTATCAAATTTTTAAAGAGTAACAATCACTAAATAATATTAAAATTTTAACAACGGCTTAAAATAAATTATGAAATTTTATCAGATTTGAGCTACGTATTGAATGAAAAATTATTTTAGTATTTTTTTCTATATTAAAACTCGTACTAGGAATTTTAAATTTTAATCAATGGAATATCCTTTTAAAAATTAGAGATTGAAGTTATACAACATGAAAAATTAAGGTGATTTTTAACTTTGTTGCCCTAATAAAAATTAAATAGGGAAAAATGAAGATTTGAATTCGATTTTTTTTCTTTTAATGAAATGATATTTTCTTGAATATGAAGGTTAAAGTATATTATTTAAAAAATTAACAAATAATATTATTAATTAATAAAAAATTTAAAAAACATATTTTACATTTAACAATACATAGAAATTATAAAATATAATTTTTATATTTTGTGTATATATATTAGATATGAAATAAATATAAAAATATAAATTATTAATTTAGACAGACCAAAAGGACCAAAATCCATTAAAAAGAAAAATTCAAAAACCCAAAAACAAGAAACTTGAATTCCGACCCAACCGGTCATCCCGAGGTCAAAACCCGAAACCCCTCTCGCTAAGAAACCAAAAGAAGAGGAAGAAATCGAGCCGGAAGCAGCTTATATTTCCCACCTTCTCTTCTTCTGTCCGGCGTTCCAGGCTGCCGCCACCGGGAATCCAAGCATGGAAGAGAACAAAGTTAGCTTATCGAAACCGGTAGCGATGATTGCCTGCATCGCTATGACATTATTTTACGTCGCGATTCTTTATGCTCCTACTCTGATCCTTCGCCTCCCGCCTCCCCAATCTTTCAAAAATTTCATGATCAGACGGTTCATTTGCGCCGCCATCTCGTCGTTCGCGTCCGTAATCTTCTGCGCTCTCGTCCTCCCAGTACGCCCCGAATGTTCCTTTGTTTCTCATTTTCAATTCAGTAATTCTTATATATATATATATATATATATATATAAATTTATATTGCCCCAATTTGAAATTTCTTTTATGACATCAATTATGAACTAAATTGAACTTTATTTAGTAAGCTAAAAAGTAAACTCACATATGATTAGAGATGAGCAAATGGTTAAATTGTTAACCGGCATTGAAACAAAATTGTTAGGGTTTTACAAAAATATTAGTGGTTATATTTATATCCAAACACGTTTGTTTCGTTTTACTTCTAATATGAATATTCAACATGTTTGATTATGCTAGATAAGGAGTGGGGAGGCTTCGTATTTGTTTGGGGTTTATGGCATTCGATCGGATCATATTGTAAGTATTTTAAAGATATATTCTTACCTCATTATTGCACATTGTGATTATTAGGTTTATTATTTATATTCTTGTATGATCTGCAGATTCAAAATCAGTGACTGAAATGCAATTTTATTTATGAAACAGTGGCAAGCAGTGCTCTTTCCTCTTTTCTTGACTAATCTTATGTATGCTGGATCTTTGATGCTCAAGTCCATTTTATTGGTGAATAAATGGAAGGAGCATAGGAATCAAGACGGAAGGCCATTGTTGTGTTCTATCAAAAGTACCCTCCTTAGCTTCTCTGACCAGATGTCATCTGTTGCTTCCAATGTTTTATTCTGGAGGAATTTGGTTGTGGTTAGTATGCTCACCAATTGAGTTTCTTCATCTTTGGGGTAAATGCAAAAGTTCTAATAATTACAAGGTCTATAAATAGGTTAATAGGGAATGTTTATGCATTTTTTTTATTGTTGAAAAGGTTGCCTTTTGCTTTGCTTGTTCTGTCAAATAGTTTTGTGATAGAGAGTTATTGTGTTATTTGTTCTATTCTTTTTTGAATGTTTGGCAGTCCTTCTTCGGAGAATAACAATAACAGAAAATTAGAAGGAAAAATTCAAATAGTTTCCTGTTTGTTCAGTCTTCAGTCCTTAATAGTATTTCGATGAACAGGCACCATTAACGGAGGAGTTGGTGTTTAGAGCATGTATGATTCCTTTACTTCTTTGTGGGGGATTTAAAGCGTACAATGTGATTTTTCTCTGCCCTACTTTCTTCAGTTTAGGTGAGTCCTTTTTTCTTGAGCATAGTTAGATCATTCATGTAGAGAGGATTTTATTAGTATCTTTTTCTTGTGTTAAGTACTTATTATATGTCAACTGCTGTTGTTTACATCTATTAAGCTTGGACACATATCACCTCAGACGTATCGCCGTTGTATGTGTCACAGTCTATATTTGAATTCTTTTGCCATAGTACAAAGCAATTAAGGGGGCAAGGTTGGCACAAAGTGGATGTGTTGTTAAGCTCTTTTTCTCCGACTTTGAATGTGCTTGTTCATACTTGCAGCTGTTGTTGCATTTACATTTTCTTGTGCATTTAGAATTTGTCAAGCATCACGCCACCCATATGTTCCCCATTGCATTGTGACTTGAATGACATGTAAACTGTTTTAACTTTTAACTATGTTTTGTCAATGTCTTGCAGCACATTTGAACCATATGATGGAGATCTACGGCCGGCATAATTATAGCTTGGTTAAAGCCTCCATGGTTGTAGGTACAAACTAGATTTTCCTCCTTGAACTAATAGCTGCAGTTTTTGTTGAAGAGGGAAAAAATGTAAATGCATAGATGGTTGCTTATTTTTCTTATTTAGTTATAAACTTTGTGAGGCTTGAAATTTTTTTGACACCTTTGTTTGAGGAACAAGAATAGCATTTGATGCTTTTTAGATGCTAATGTGTCATTGTTTATTGGCATATATCTGGATTTCATAGGTCTCCAGCTGGGCTACACTGTGATCTTTGGTTCATATGCTTCATTTCTCTTCGTTCGAACAGGTTGGTGATTACTTGTTAATAAATGTTATCATCTTTTTGACACTCCACTGGAGTTCAGCCATTGCAATGCATCTTCTGCCTCATTGATTCTTGCAGGAAACCTTATTGCTCCTTTAGTTGCCCATGCATTTTGCAACTATATGGGATTGCCTGTGCTGTTTGTACCGAGGAAAGGTATGCGAATAGAATTTTATCATACCCCCATGTAATTTTGCATTTTCATAGTATACTAGTATGCATGGGCAATTGGCTGACCTTTGGTGTTCATTGTAATTTTTTAGGGATAGTTAGCGTGGCATTTGTAGCTGGAATGATATCCTTCGCGTTGCTTCTGTTTCCTATAACACGGCCTGATTTATACAATGACAGAACAAATAATTGCAGATGTTGGCAAGGATATTGTTCATGGAATTAAACTAATGACATCTATGGGAAAAATATTGCTGTTACATTGACTAGTGCTTCATCTGGATGGGCGGTGGGGATCCACCGGAGCTGTTATTTTGCCGCTGAGCCCCATCCACACGAAGCATATAGATGGAATGTTCTAAGCGAATGAAGAAAGGAATGAATAGCAACTGATGTTTCATTTCTCCATGCCTTGTACTATTTTGGCCTGGGTGTTTGACCTGGGCTATTCAGCTGTTGTAAACTGAGGGGAAATTGAATTAAAACTTATTTTATTTATCCTGGTCTCAGACTCATACGTTTCTAATTGAATTTATATAATTCAATTTGCGATTCTAAATTTCCTAACTAAACAACTACAATGGTTGGTTTTTTTTTTTTTCTTTTGTTACTTCAATTTAAAGGCTGGATGATTTAGATCAAGGAAGCAGCTATATTATAGTTGTAATCATTCACGTACCCGAGATCGATCCCCGGTAACGGCGATTTTATATATTTTTTTCCATTTTGGAAAATCAATGTCAGAGAAGCGGAAGTCGGTGGCTTACCTAGGAAGCAATCGGTTCCCTGCTCATCGAAGGTCAGTTCAGACTTACAATTTTTTAAATTCGTCGATTTCCCTGCCTTTTGTAGCTTTGGAAAAAGAATGAGCACAAGAACGAACTCACTTTTTTCAAATTTAAAATGTTTTATCCCACTTTTTTTTTCTCAGCACCCAAACATAGGCTTCGGAGGAACTTCTCTGTTCGAGCAATTGCAAAGGAATCCGGTAATCCTGAGGCCTTCCTTTTTATTTGGTGTTTGGCATTGTTATTATGGCATGGGTCTTAAATTTCAATTCAACTTTGATTTGAAACCAATGTATAAAATTTGCTCATTGTAGGTCTTTCTGCCTCTGGTTACATTTGCTTCTACATATTGATCAGGATCACAATTTAGAACGTAGATCGCTTCGCAAAGAATTTGCTTTCTTGCTCTGGCTTTCACAAGGTACGAGAGAATGTGTTGCTTAGTAAATAAGGTCCATTTTTTTGGTTTTTACTTCAGCCCATGGTTGCCTTGGAACTCATTTACTCAAAAGATTGAGCCAATGGTTGAAAACTGACTTCTTCTTTGAGACATTAGACCTTTTCCTTCCGATGCTTTGCGGTGGTGGGCACATAGCCACCTTAGAAAAAAATTGAAAAAATTAAAATAAATTTAAAATTATAGTTTTTAGTTTGGTTTTTATCATTTTTTTATTTGGATTAAATTTAAATATTATATATATTAAATTTAAATCAAATTTTAAATTAATAAATAAATAATAAAAAATCTAATCTAATCAAATTATATATTTTTATTAATTTTTATATATTTTTAAATTTTTATAAAAAATAATTATTTTATACTTAAATTTATTTAAATATATTAAAAATTATATAAAAATAATATATATAACAAAAAAATCGATGAATCTAATTGAATGAATATAATTTTATTTGAATTAAATTATATAAAAATTTGATTTAAATTTGAATTAAATTTTATAAATTTTTTAATTTTTTAATTTTTAAAAAAAATTAAACTGAATTTAATCCTATCATAATGATTATCACGTCTAACGGATTATATACGTATAACAAGGGCAAATGTGGATCTTAGTTTAATTGAGATCTGAGTTTCCAATTTTTAAAACTAAATATCATAAAAAAGAATCGGGTTTCAATCCTTGACTTCAGATGACACAATAAAATCTACCCTCAGGATAAGGGAAGCAAACAAATTCAAAGACAAATGGGTCATCTTCCATGACAAAACTTAAATTTAGATAAATTTTTTAGGTAAAATTTATAAAGATTTTTTAAAATGATTTAATAAAAATTTTAATAATATTTTTAAATCAATAAATTAATAAAATTTAATATAAAAAATTATTAAAAATATTATTTATAATTTAAATTTGATCGATATATATTTAATGATTAAAATTTTATCAAAATTTTTACTATAAATATTTATTTAAAAAATATATCAAAATTTATTATAATTTTTAAAAAAATTTACACAATCTATTTAATAAAACGTTTTAATTTATCAAATTTAATTTTTAATTTAATTATTTTTAATATAAAACATGAATAAAAAATTTTCTAAATATTTACCATCCTTCAAAATTTATTAAAAAAAAAAGGTTTATTTATTTCCCAAACATGTTTTTGATTGTGGGTCTGTGGGTGGTTCAGCACTGACTGACTGTCGTCAGCCAATCCTTTACTGGGTCTTCTAAGGAGATTCGAGTCATCATGCTTTTGTCCTCCTTTTAGTTTCCAAATGGACTAGCTGAGCTGGTGACAGGATTTGGTGGCCTCAGAGGTAATGAAGGGCAAGGGCCAGAGGAGGGATGTGTAGACTGTAGAAATATTTGAGCTTTGATAAGACATGCTTTTTTGTTATCTGGAGGAGTTTCCTTGATGGTCAACCAGTAACAGCTAAGGGACTGTGTCATGTCTGTGTGGGTTACCACTTGTTCAAGCTTAATAAACCTTCATTGACTTTCTCGTTCTGAATCTTTTGTTGACGTTACCTTTGATTAGATCCTCCCATCGCTCTCTTCCCAAACAGAATCTGAATGAAAAGCCCCCCATTCAAATCTTATGATATTTTGTTCTGAATTTTTTCTTTAAGGAAAATCTATATTTCTCGGCTTCTTAGAACAGGCGAGAACTGCATTTTTTTTTCGCTGGTTATTCAATATTATGACAAATTAGATGGTTTTATTTCCAAGTGTTGGGTTAGTTAATTCCCGAAGCCATGCCATTTGGCTTTTTCACCTGCTTAAGCAGCTCAAAAGTCACCCATTCTTTTCTGCTTGTTCGTTTTTTTATATAGTACAAGTTAATTACTTTCACAACAATAAAACATGCAGCAGGGTTATCTTTCTTTGTTTGGGTAAACCAAACGTCCTTAGCAGACACTTGAACGCCAATTGTGGATTAAGTACTCATGTTCAGGATGAAGGATATTTTTACCGAATTATGTCTGGTATTTTTTAAGTCACTCAATACTCTTTTGGGACCGTCTGCATTTTCAAACATATGCATGAAATAGTATTAAGGAAAAATCTAGTCTTCAGCATAGAGTTCAGTGACAATTTAATGAAACCAGCGGTGCTGAGAGATATTTCTAGTTTTGCAACGTTTTTTTGGTGATTCTGAAACATGGAAGTCCGTTTGAACAATTCAGTAATCCGCCTGTTTTAATGAAGTCATTATCTAATTTAGAGAGAGAGAGTAAAACTAGAACTATGATAATATTATATTCCTTTCTAACAGGTAGCCTGATACATCCTTTGTTCACACATCCATATCTTAACACCCCCACAGAAGAAGATAAGAGAATGATGAAAATAGAAAATAAGCCTGATAGACAGATACTAGTACTATCCTATTTAATTGAAAGGAAGCTACTACTAGTGTTTGGCTATGGTTTTACACAAAAAAAGGGCAAGGGGGAGTCTATGTGGGGTCATGATGTCTATCCTGTTGGATCAGGGTTTGCTAGAATTGGAAGGATTTGGGTTAGAACTGGAACTGAGGTTGAGGTCAGGAATAGTGTTTGCTGAATTTCCCTTTGAGTTGGCCTTGGAGAGTTTCTGTTTCAGCTCGGATAGCAGGGCTTGATTCTCCTGGTTGAGAAGCTGTGCTTTCTTCCTCAGCCTCTCATTCTCTTTCATTATGTAACAGTTCTGCAGGTACAGGTTTGAGTTCAGCCTTTCCATGACTATGAAACAAGCTTTTTCAAACTGCCTGTAATGCCCCTGAATCCAAAAAAACCAGAAACAGATGGTATCAGGATAAAAAGGGTATCTCCCATAATATTCTTTATTGCCACAGAAATCATTGCACTACACATGGAGACAGTAGTGTTATACTATTTTTAAATCCATACTTTAAAATATTACTTATATCAGCCTTATCTTAAGCTAAAAATCAAGAAAATGCAGAAACACATTTAAAAAAAAAATTTGTCATATTGCATTAATAGACACTATGTATGTATGCATGACATTAAGCATTATTCAATGAGTTAAAAGTACTAGCATAAAATACAACATAATGAAAATCCAAATGTCTGTCCATAATTATATGAAGTTGAAAAAAATACAAAGATCAAATATTTTAAAGACAAAATATCACCAAGAAAACAGATAAAAGAAGAGAGAGAGCCACCCAATTAGTTAGTGAAAGTTCAAAACTAAGTTGAAACCTATATGAAATTGTAAATTTCTAGAACAATTCCTCTCTATTTTCTTGCTTTGGTGGATAATAGTGGTTATCCTATTAGTAACATAAGAAACCAGGGACAACTACCAACAGAGAAGAAACAGAACAGGTGAATGCCAAAAGACAATTGTGATTGATGTTTGTTGCAGCCCTGGCATTTAAATAGACCAAATAATTTGTACGTAGAATAAAGGAGGGAGGGGGATAGAATTAGAGTAACAGCTGTCCAAGACTCTTTCGGCTGCCCATACATGAAAGAAAGGGATAAAGGTCATTGAAAGATCGAGTGCAGATTGAACTTGTTGGTGACTACATTTGCTTGTGTTATGGTTTGACAGATAGAAATGGTTTTTAGCCTTGTATTCAAGTAAAGAATGCTTCCTTTTGGTATAAAAGAATGGGCCGAAAGTAGTTAAAAGAAAAAACATAAAAAGAAAACAAGTTCAGACGAGAGGAAAGACAAAGAACTCCATAAAAGAAGCATGGGGGGATAGGGGGTTTAAAACTTAAAAACAAATGTTGCAGAATCCAAGGAGAGTAAACATTAAAAAACTACCGATATAAGACATCCCTCAAAATGAGGTGAAATAGGAAGAAAATTCCAACATTGGGAATTTGCTACTTTCTAGTTCTCATCCAAGATAACAGAATCCAAACAGTTGGAGAAAACATCATATGTAGGATGTCTGGTTAGAAACATAACAACATTCTAGCCACCCTTTACAAAACTACTTAAACTAGTGCCGATCAACATGGACTGTGTCTACCCTTTCTTCGTGAAAGAAAGAAAATAGAAGCTGAAGAAGAGAAAAACAAGTGGAGACAGAGAGAGGAGAGGTGGGGGCCTCTTATAACCTCTTTATCTTTTCAAAAAAGATCACCTTTTCAAGGAGGTTGGGTAGAGAGCTTCGGCCGAGGAAGCTAAAATCTGGTTTTTAACAACTAGTAGCAGCAGTAAAAAAAAAAAGGAATAGAAGTGAAGTGAGGGACAAAGTGGTAGAAAGGAGGTGTTAATATATAGAGCTAAAAGGTACAGGGAGAGAGATAGAACAGAAAGAAGAAAAAAAAAAAAAAAGATAAAGAGAGAAGCTTTGGTGTGGAAGGGGACATGACTCTCTCGTCTGACACAACAATCATGCATGTGTAAGCATAGAAGGCGGCCGGTTAGGGGCGAGGATTTAATGTTTTGGTTTTAGTATGATGATGGTTGATTAAGGGGTATGGCGTCATGTGAATGATGATGGATGGAGAGGGGAAGAAGAAGAGGGAGGAAACACCAACTTCTTTGTTTTTGCATAGACTGGAAGGGTATTTTCGTCATGAAATCCACATCATGGTCGATTGTTTAGAGGGACAATTATGGGTTTTCCGGCTAGGTGGGTTCTAAAATGATGGTGGGCTAGTCCGTCCCAAGATTCGCAATGATGGTTTGGATTGGTTCGAACCATCATCACCACCCCCACACCCTCTTCCTTACCCTTCCCTTCTTCATCTCCTTCCTCAATCTCATCATCAATTCTATTTTGTTTTACTTTCAATATTCAACAAATTATTTTTAACACTTTTAATTATTTCTTTTCTAATTCAACTTCTTGGTTTGGTAACTGCTTGGTAATAATCATTTTTGGAGTATTTCTTTTCTTGAAAATGGCGGTTTTTGTGCATCCCACAGGCTCAAAAAGTCTTCTATTCTCTACCCAATGTCACTGTTGTCAACAATTATATCTACAAAATAGGGTCACATCAAAAATTATGTCTATCTATAGGGGCAGATTTAGAATTCAAATTTGATATAAATATACTACTACTGCTCTATTAACTTTAACACTTTTAAATTAAACGGTTTTGTTATTCTTCAATTGATGAGTTCAAAGTATATAATAATTGTGTTTATATTTACTGTATTATTAATATATAAATTTTTATTGTTAATAAATTATATGATATCATTTTATTAATGAAAATATATTTTAAAAACTAAAATTTTGATGTATCTTAAAAACTTGTAAAAAATTATATTTATTTATTAATGAAATAAATTATATGATTCAAATATTATTTATAATTTATACATAAATAACATATTAAATATTATAAATTCATAATAATTTATAAAAATACATGTAAATAATAATTAAACAAAAAAAATAACAATGGGGTTTTTAATACGGTATTTTATTATTTAGCCCCCACCACCCCAAAAAATATTTCATCATTTATTAAAATTAGAAAAAAATAATTTGTATGTTTCTTTTATAAAATGTTGTGTTTAATTTCCATCATATACTAAAACAAGGATCTTTTGGGTTTGTGAAACCAATGGGCAATTCTAGGTCAACCAAAGGACGACATTACCCCTAGAGCTTTGCACTGTTATACACCATTGATGATGTTTCGTTTTACGTTATTATAATCATAAGTTAAGCATATTTTTTGGCCAATATTTGAGGTGAACTTTGAAACAATGAAGAAGGAAAAAAAAAAAAAAAAAGAAAGGGGTTGGGCCAGCTTCAACCCCTCATGGGTTATGAGTACCTTAACGTGAAACATCATAGTTGACAGATGGTGTTTATGGATGGGTCTATGGGTAAAATCGTCAATTCAATACTTTCTCCCCTCGTGGAGATCGTTCATTTGCGGGCTAATTTGAGCTTTGCGTTCCTCAAATGCAATTATGATGGCCTGGTGTTCAAAGGGCTGATTGATGCTCTAATTACCCATTTACCCTTAACGGTTGATTGTCCATCCTTGAAAAAGTTGGAAATCTTAGTTCGACGACGTTTCAAAACCAAATGGAATCTTAATTTGAGCATAATAATAACTAATAATAATAAATTCTAATAATTATTACTGTTTTAATTGATTGTGGTGTTCGATTAGTAGGAAAAAAGGGAGGAAAAGAAGAAATTAGATTTAGACTACTAATTGCTTTTTCACAATTGAAATTATTTCTCTTTGATGACTTTTTCAATGGAGAGGTACTCAATAATCAAGAGATTGAATTAATTCATTAACTTTTATGCTTGTGTACTCTATAACTTAACTTCGAATAATATGAACTCTATTTTTATTTATGATTTTTTGTATTCAATCCCCATTGATTAGCACAATCTTGATGTAGTAATATTTTTATATTTTTTATATAATAAATTTTTATTTATAAAAAAAAATACAAAGCATCTTTATAAATACCAAATTATGCGAAAAAATAATTTAGCACATTTTATAAATTTTTAAGTCAAAATGCGTTATATGTCTTTATATATATTTTTAAAGATTTTAGTTCAATCATTGACAATGCATAACGATTAAATTTTTTTAAAAAATAATATTATAGGAATTAAATTCTTAAAAATCGAAGGGACACATTTTGACTTATTTTTTACATTATTTTTCTCTTACTTTTAAGATTAAAATGTTTCAATATTCCACATAAAATTTGGGATATATTTATTTAGGGGTAAGTAAAGAGATAGAGAAAGAAGGGGCTTATTTCCTTTATTATATGATAACTTATGTAATGCTTTAAAAAAGAAATTATGTAAGAAAACAAAGTGAGTGAAGGGAGAGTGGGAGACTGGTAGCACTACTAAACAAAAAGAATTAGCGAAAGTCGCTTCTATCTATATATCTTTGAGGTTCTAGAGTAAGGAAAAAGGTGGAGCTTGACAGATTTGCTCGGGACAACATTCGGTTGTGTTCCTTTGAACGGGACATAAGAGGAACATTTAGGCTAGTTTTGTCTGCATGGCCAATTGCTATTGGTCCATCTCCATCCTCTACAATAATAAACAAAACATTAAAATAATAGCTAGACAGATTTTTACTCATCTAGATTACTTATGTAGATTATCCACAGACAAATTTCTTGTTTCGTGGAAGCCACCTTGTGGGGACTAATTTCTTCTCGTGTGTGTTTATATATATATATATAGGATAAGATTAATTAATATCAATATAAAAATTTTAATTATTAATTTTAATAAAGTTAAGGAATTTCATTCATTAAATTTATTGAAATTAATGATAAAAAAATTTTATATTGATATAAGTTGACCTTTACCATAAATATATATAAAAAATTATCAAATATAGAGATAGTAAAATTTTATAGTATATCGAATATTAACCCTCTATGTATATATTATTATATGATTGTGATTTAAAGTTAATCATTCTTAAAATTGTAATTAAAAAAAAGTTGAATATAAAATTATACTTAAAAAAAAGTTGAGTAGCATGATGTTATAATTTAAGTGATGTTATTTAATATTTGTTAAATTTAAATAATTTATAATCGTATATTCAAATTAAATCTTTTCATTATTATTAATTAAATTTAATTTAAAAGCTTAACATGATATTAAAGTTAAATTTTATTCTATTTTTTCTGCCACTTCTAAGTGATTTACTCGTGATAAATTCCTATTATGTTACCATTTCAAAATTTATTAAATTTTGAATTGGTCGTGATCTTGCATTTAAATGGTGGTATCTTTGGCCATATTCTTTCTTACTCTAATGCTTCATTTAAATTTAAGTTATCTTACTTACATCTTTGGTAATAAAAGACCGAACTCAACTTATACCAAAGCATTTAGCTCATTGATGAATGTATGGATCTTTTAGAAAAACCTAAACTCAGAACCCTTCGTCTCAAATAATAAAAATAAAACTTGATCAAGTTAATTAAAAAAAACCAACATAACTTTTTTTGTTATACATCATATATTCTTGACTAGATAATGAATTTAAGAAGATTTTGTTTTGACCAGATTGACAAAGAAACTAGAACAGCAACTAAATCTTTAGGAGATTTGAGTGGTTTGTCGCATTTTCTTACATGTTTTCTCAACATTCAAGTGGAATGAATTATTTTCTGGTTCAATCCATGGCAAATATCTTTCTTGACAGAGTATGCTTCAAGTACTATCTGTCCGAATTAACTTCCAGCTTCATGTGGGCTCTGTTTTTTTTTTTTTTTTTTTTAAATGTTATGCTTGGCTGCTTCCAATGAGTGCCATTTCCATCCCTAATTCCTCTTCAAAACCTAAGCTACAACTTGCTCTAGTGGGAGGGACTTTTCTTTTTTTCTTCTGGATAATGAGAGTCACTTTCCCCCAATTTTTTGGCATTTTCACTCTTTCAACATTAAAACACCTTTGATTAAGAGATTTTGATTCAAATCTCCTCATTCAAATATGAAAATTATTTAGTTATCATTGAGTTAAATGTAAACTCAACAATTTGAATAAAAAAATTAAAATTAAAATCCAAAATTGTTTCTGTTAAGACTTGACAAACTAATTAGATTATATTATAAATTTGACAATTTATATATTTATACTATGTTTGTTTATATTAAATATGTATAAAATATAAAAATTTTGTATCATAATTTATATTGAAATAAGAATATGAAACATATTTTTTTATTTTTTTCAAATGCATATATGATTTTGATTAAAATTTTAAATCATAATATTTTCATATCATATCATCATGTATTAAATCTATTGGACTATTACATATACTTTTAGCTTTAATGTTTTATTAAACATAGGATACGTAGCCACAAAGTCAAGTGGTGCAACATGTGGTAGTTCAAGCTCAAAGCCAAATCTGTTATTCAAACCATATGATGCAGTCAACCCAAAAACTATAGGGGGACAAAAGAGGTCTGCCCGAAGGTGGTTCAATGACAGAGTAAAAATGGTTAAAGTAATGTAGCTAGAGTTTTTAAGTCTGTTTCTGAAACACCCAATGATGGCAAACCCCCAATAATAATTGTCTCTCTTCCCCTTTGTAATCCTTTCAAAAACCCACCTCTCCCTTCTTAAATAAAATTTTACTTTTTGCAGTAATTTGGAATGCCACCCCCTCTCCTTGATGAAAAAGAAATTTAGGTTCATGATTTAAAAGGTGGGTTAGGAGTTGGGTTTTTCATTTTTTTTTAATTTTTAATTTTGCTTTCATAAATGTGTATGGCAGTGCTCAAGAGATTTTGCATGGCCAACAGAGAGATAATTACAGGCTTTTCTCATGAGTACTCTTCTCCATCATCATCGTCTACATTGCCTATTAACTACAATTGAGAAAGTTGAGACTCCCCCACCCCAACTGGATTTACCCAAACCAAAGAGGGAGAGATGATTACTTCACCCGTGGGGATTGCTAAGCAAACTATAGTTTTTGAAACTGTACAAATATGATTGGCCATTGTTGAAATGCTTTACCTTCACACGTGAAAGCAACAAATCTTTTTATCATGACTCATTTCTCTCTTTTCATCTTGCATGATTGTCTTTTCCCTCTTTATTTTTTCCTTCCATTTTTCTGAATTTTCTTTATCTTTATTAGATATGCCCCATTTAATCAAAATTTATAAATAAATAAAATAATAACATCGATATGTATTTATATCAAGCTTCAAATTGAGAGTCAAACTCTTAAAATTATATGAAAGAAAAGGGAGTGATTAAAGTAAAGATAAGAAGTATTCGTTTCGTTTATATTCTAACAATAAAAAAATCAAGATTAGAGAGATCGAAAAAAAAAATGTAAGAAAAGAATGAGATTAAATTAATAGTATCTAAATGAGTTTCTTTATAAGAATCAATTGAAAGGTTTGTGAGATATAATAATGATATAATTGAATTGATGTGATATTAT